AGACCTAATCCTATTTATTCCTAGTAGGATATTATTCTATTTCTTTAGCCTAAGTAGTTCTTTCTTAAGTGACCCCCTTTTTCTTATAGTAATAATCCTTAGTTGTCCTATAACTTTTAGAAACCATCCTAAGGCCTTCTTGCCTTAGATATATACTAGATAAGTATTATTATAGCATATTATCTAGTGCTTACTATTATAGTTAGCCTTCTAAGCTATACTTACTTATTATATAGGCTTAGGTACTTTTCCTTACTTTTTCTATCAGTAGTTACAGGTAAAGTGTCCCTTCTTACTATAGTTATAATAGATCTTATCGTCATTCTATTTTATAGTATTAAGTTCTATAGGTCCTATATACTATATAGATCCTTAGGCTGTAGTGCCTTTTATTCATACTATTTTTCTTTCTTAGTTAGGGGTCCTTAGGTGATATATCTATAGTTATTATCTCTTATATTCTATCTATTATTTATAAAGTTAGTTGTTAATCTAGACTGTAATTATAATATACTATATAAACTCCTTAAATCAGTCTATTTTAATAAGTTTATCCTTAACTTCTGCCTTTAGCTTAGTGTAAAACATAACTATTAGAGGTTTATCTTTCTATTTAAGAGAACTTAAAGCCTATCTAAATCTAATAGTATAGCTAGATATAGATCCTATTTATTAGAGTGCTATCAGCTATTATTCTGCTGTTTATTTCTTATCTAGATCTCTAAAAGCTGTCTTAATAGCTTTCTTAAATATAATAAAATCTCTTATAAAGATGGCTTAAGCCTTAGGGTCTCTATTATTCTTTAGATATTCTAAGTAATTCCTCTATATAGGTTTAAACCAGGTAAGGGCTTCTCCTTCAAGCTAAGTTGCTATAAAGAGTATCTAATCATCTAGGTAGAGAAAGTTAGGTTTATACTTCATAAGATATCCTCTATACTAAGTAAGGAATCCTTAGAGACCTTCCTTACTTCCTCTATATATTAGTGGAACTTCATACTTCACACTCTAGGTACCTCCTACCTATAAGGCCTGTACTAGAGCAGAGAGTCATTGGATTTCAGCACTAGCTTGTTCCATCATAAATAAGGGTGTGTTATTAGCAGATTGAGATCCTGATATAGTTTCTGTAAGTATTACTTAGGGTGCGGTCTACTAACTAAATAAGAGTATTTAATATATAACAATCCTTAATCCTAAGAGATAAGACTACTTTATAGGACTAGAGGTGTATGGATTTATATAAGTAGTAAGTAATAGATATTGCTGAGTAATAGTGATTGACTTAATCATAGCTAAGATAGCTTTACTTAAAGGTGCTTTATTAAATAAGATACTTTAAATACTAGAGAGCTATCTAGAGTAGGTATCTAAGGGTAGACATTTATCTATATATATAGACAATAGATCACTTTAGATTATAATAATCCTTTATAAGTCCTTACTATAGAGCGTAGTGATCTATAGTGAGGGATCACTAGCTTAGATAGCGATCTTGAGGTCTGTACGTTTTCTGCCTATCTTATCTTCCTGACCGCCCGGGGTGGTGTACTGTGGTAAAGGCGGTTGGTTTCATGACACTAAGTCTTCTAAGTTATTTAAGGCTGCTAGTAATTAAGATTGTTTTACTAGATATACTAAAGATATAGATTCTCTTACTCCTCTTAGAAGAGCTTAATAGAATTTATATACTGATTTTTTATATATCTAAATTCTCTATAGCTCTAATACTAAATATATAATCTACTATATAAGCTATAAGCATCCTAAGAAGAGTAGGACGATCTTCTAGAATTATTAGATATAGGAGTATTAGGATTATAGAGGGCTTATTAAGAAGTATTTTAGCCTTAGTTTTCTCTATAGGAATTACTAGAGATCTTAACTATATAAACCATACTAATAAGATTAGAGTTGAATTTTTACTGCTTGTTATAGTCTTTATATATCTCTTTAACTAGATTTTTAATGCTTAAGTAGAGATCTACTAGGGTAGACTTAATTTCTATAGTGAAAATATTATTCTTATAGATAGGAATTCTATTATAACTAAAGAGATATCTCTAGATATTATTATATATATCTTTAAAAGTATATTTATATTTAAAGGATATATAGTTATCTACTATAAGACCTTTAATAATTAGATAGTCTTTAATATAGGCCTTAATATTATAGCTATTTTTACTGTCTAAGATTTAGCTTAGTAATTTATTATATAGAAGGTTACTAACTTTATACTTTAAGATTCTTAATAAGAGTGTAATTACTTACTCTAAGTAGTTAGAGATAGGCTCTCTATTATATTACTTAAAATTATTTACTATAGAGAGGATCTTATAATTAAGATCTTTAGTATCTAGCTTTAGAAACTATTTAAGAAATACTATACTTATCTTTATAAAAGAGGATTTCTTCTTAGAGCTTAGCTTAATATAAAATTAAGTAATAGCATTCTTAATAAGTCTATTATAGAAAATAATATAAGAGTATTTCTTATAATCTTTCTTATTAGGAAGACTAATAAAAAGGATATAAGCTTTAATATTATCTAGATATTCTTAAGCAGTTAAATAACTATTATCTAAGAACTTCTACTTAAAATCACCTATAGTTTAAGAGGGTCTTATAACTCTTTAAGGTGAAGATAGAGTATAGATATAGGTAGGGGATAGTAAAGAAGATAAATCTTATTAAGTAGACAGACTAGAGGGAATCAACCTAAGAGTAGTAGGGATCTTAAAAGTTAGGGTCTAAGAATAAGAAGTAGACTTAGTCTAAATAGATAAACTCTAAAGAGTAAGCCTAGTAAAGTTAGATATAAGAAGAACAACTTTATTATAGTTAAAAGGTTCTTTATCTATACTAGGAATTAAATAGTAGGATGATAACTTCTAAGTAGATTAATCTTAGTCTATTTTAGAGATTAGAGGTAAGTTAGGATAATTTAATATAACCTACTAGAGATAGTATATATATTAAATAGAAGGAGAAAAGAGAACTTTAATAGGCTAGATATAAAAGTCTAGAACTAAAGAAAATAAGACTATATAGTTAATTAGATATATTATAGCTAGAATAAGAATTATTATAAAGAACAGTAAGCTTATAAGATTTCTAAATCTATATCTAGAGAGAGAGAAGAGGATAAGTTATTCTAAAAGGCAGATAAGATAGAAGAACCCTAACTCCCTCCCTCTAGAGCTCTCCTACCAATCACTAGAACTTAGCTATAGTGATTTAGAGTTTAAGAGAGTAAGTTCTGATATATAGATATATAAGAAAGAAGGCCTAGTTCTTATAGCTTATAGAAATTAGTCCTAAAGACTTAGAAGATAGAGATATTAGTAATAGACCTACTAAGATCTATAGGTAGAGAAGTCTAGCCCTACTAATATTCTACTTTATTAGGATTAAGGAAGAAGCAGAAGATTATCAGGCTTTTTAGATTTAATAGTCTTAGATAATAACTATTAGGATTAGAGGAGCTAGAAGCTATCTACTACTTTCTTTACTTATTATATCTAACTAAATAATACTAATATATTCTATAACTACTATCTTTTTTCTTTTATTATATGTTTTTTACTACTTATTTCTTACTTACTCTTTAGTTTTTTAATCTTTAAGAAAACTAGAATGTTCTTCTCTAATAACTATATATTAGGCTATATAGCTATAATACTTACTAATAACTTAGCTTACTATATATTAATCTTAAGAAATATATATAGTTAGTATATAGGTTTATACTATACTCTTTAATATACTTTCTCTATATTCTTATATCTAGCTAATCTATAGCTAGTTAGAAACACTCTAGGTAACTTCTAGTAATATATATAAGATAATTAAAATATATTAGTAATATTAATAATAATATAAGATATTTAGCTTTTCTATTCTTCTCTATAGGCAGTACTATATAGTACTATATCTTAACTATTCTAACTATCTTCTTATACTTTACTATATAGTTATATTAATTAATATATAGATATAGAGAGATATAATAATAATATCATATTATATAGCACTATCTAATATCTATTAAGGCTTATTAAGATATATCTTTTCTACTATATTATATCTAATAATATTAAATATATAGGAAATATTATAAGTATATTATAGAGTATCTTAGTATATCTAATCTATCTTTAGCTAATAAGACTATATCTTATCTATATTAGCTAGATACTCTAAGTCTTCTCTAAGTACTAACATCTTATCCTTATAGATCCTATTAAGGCACAGTAAAAAGAGGGTCATTAGAAAGCTCCTAATCTATAGAATTCAGTAATAATAAAATCATATCTATCACCAACAACTTCAAGCAGACAGCTCAATATAGCTTAGATACTATAAGAATTAGATGAACTCAACTTCAGCTCATAAAGGAGAAGCAGATAGATCTTAATTATATAAGACTGTAAAATAATGAGAAAAAACCCGGCTTGCTGAGGAGATTATAAGAGAGGAGATCCTGATATAAAAGACGAGATATTTCCGGCTCGAGGGACTATGAAAAACGCCTAATAAAGGTAGGGTCAAAATAGTGGTTTTTTGTGGCCTAGAGAGAAAAGAGAGGAGCCGGAGCCATCGGCGAAATTAAGGGTATTAAGAGCTATTTTTGGGTGGGTCGCGCAGCCAGACCTCACAGTAATCAGCCTCAGACGGTCAGACCGAGACCCTGACGCCCCACTGTGACCACTGACCAAGCCCCCTGTATCCCCATGGATCTTTGAGGCTCTAGTGGACCCCACATCACACTTGGAAGTGTCCGATAGAGTCAACGAAGCCGTCACTGATTGTGCGCTGGACTCATAAGCCCCGCCAAAAATTTCCATCTCTTCCATCAACGACAGCGCATTCTGTCATCGAGTCTCGCGTGGGCTCCTCGCACTCTGAGCTGCTTCTCCAACAACCCTCGCTACGCTTGACATCAGATCTGTGCAATTTCGTTCATATAGTCTCGGAGCGCTTAGGGACATTGCGCCATGTCTCGTGGCGGCGGGCGAGGGGGCCGAGGAGGGCGCCGAGGCGGCATGGCCAATGCGCCTTGGGCCGAGAACCTCGATCCCAACATCAAATCAGACGGCAGACCCGTCGAGCTGTTTCCTGTATGGCCTCTGCGGCTTGTCGCCGAGTTCCCAGTCGGGCCACCTCCGAAGCTAACAGTCTTCTGAATCCGCAGGACTACAAGGTCCCCGTCGCTACGGCGCTCTCCAAGAAGGAGAGCCACATCGTCGAATGCTACCTCCTCGTGCGCGAGCAAGTCCACGCCAGTCCTCTCTACACGCATACGCAAACATCACGCGCCGAGGCCACAAGGGCATATGGCCAGGACCAAATCAACCAGCGATATGGGGTCCAGAACAAAGCGACGATCGATCCATTCGTGGCGGTGCCACTATACTCGAACCGTTTCGAGAAGCCCGAGAGGACGCTGCCCGACTTGTTAGCGAGGCCTTTCAGTACGTAGATCGGATTGCATACACCCTTCCCAGAATGCTCGGGAATTCCATTCATCGTAACAGCATGCTGACAGTTCCGCAAAGGCGTGGAACTCTTCCCTCCCGAACTGAAAGCAACCCTCGAAGGGGAAGATTCCGGCCGGAGGGGCCGCCCCAACAAGCGGCGCAAGGTGCTCGCGCTCGCAGACAACACCTCCCTGCGCACAGCCGAAGAGATATTCAACCAGCCCAAGGCATCAGATGTCGCCGACAACGCGCAAAAGGCGCTGGACCAGCTGGGTCGATTCGAGGATCTGGCCGAGGGTGAGGACAATGCCGAGCTGGATCTCATCGAAGACGAAGGCGATTATGGAGACGACGTGGACGAACAGTACTCGGACGAAGACCAGGAGGGTGGCGATTACGACGCCGAGAACTACTTTGAGGATGGCGAGAATGATGATGACTTTGGTGACGACGGCGGGGATGGCGAGGATGCCTTCTAACGAGACGCATAAGCCTTGCGAGCGCGTACGCTTCGCCGTCGGAAAGAGATCCTCCCACGTCGACTGGGGGTTGTTGCATAACAAACGGAGTTTTGGTGCTTCATCGGTAGCCTACCTTCCTTGGAGTTTACTGGGTTTTTGTCACACTAGATACCATAGCCCAAGGCTCCAGAGAGCTGTTCTGGTGTCCTTTTCTATTGCACGGGCAGATCATATCATTGCTATTACTTTCAGAATCTCGTGCCCTCCTTGCCTATTGTGATTCCACACGTCGCACGTCGGCCCATGTCGCCTGAAGCCTCATCTGGGCCATGCATTCACGAGCTGGCCATCCATCTCCGCCTAATGATCCACGAACTCCGTACCGGTACCCAAGCAGTTGACCGTTGACCACTGACACCTCAAGGATCTCTGGGTTCAGCTTTCTCAGCGCAAGCCATTTGAGCTGTTGCCCATGAACGCTCCGAGCTGCAGCTCGGTCATCTCCTCCCGCGCGCCACCAATCACACCCGCAACCTTGAGGATGCTCTCTTCAAAGTCCCTCAGCACGGCTGCCAGCTCGGCCACCCTGCTGTCCGCGCCTGCCTGCGCACCGTTGGTGGACTGCGACGACACCCTCTGCAGCGTCTCCAGCAAGTTTGACTGGACGCCGTGCATGTGCATCTCGATCTCGCTCAGGTTACTCGTGAACTTCTTGAGCTGCTCGTCCATCTCGTCCGACGTCTTGGAGAAGAAGTTGATGACATCTGAGCTGTCACCGCCGCTCTGGCCGGGGTTCGTAGCATCCTGCTGCTGCTGCCGCGCGGACCACAGGCCCGAGGTGTGGTACTGCGCCGGGAGTTTTAGGTTCTCGACAGCCTTGAAGCTCATCCTAGCGTGATCGGCATCGACCTTGACAAGCTCGCGCAGACCGTCGATAGTCTGAGCGTCGGAGGCGAGGGCGTTGGCCACACCGTCATACTTGCGGGCGACAAACTTGACGTCGGTGGGAATGGCCTCCAGCTGCTCGCCATGGGCGGGCATGAACGCATCCACTTGGTTCTTCTGCTGTATGCAGCCCTGAATGAAGTTGTCGAGCAGAGTGATCCTCTGTTGCAGTTCTTCTTGGAGGTCGTTGAATCGCGTCGTTGGCTTGATATTGCTTACGTCTATCCTCACGCCGGGGACAACTTGCTGTTGTGAATTGGTTGACTGGCCCATTGTGAGACCGGGGCCAATAGAGGACGCTCCCATCGTCGAGCCACCGCTGAGATCAAACATGGTCAGTAAGGGTGCGTGTGTCTTGGTGTTGCGCATCAAGGTTGGTACATACAGGAGGGATGTGCCAGCAGGTTTGGATTGGCCAAACAAGCCACCGCCGAGGGAGGGCGCCTGTTGCTGTTGCAGCTGCGGCTGCTGAGGCTTACCGAACAGACTGCTCGTGCCCAGCGAGCCACCAAACAGTCCTCCTGTGCTTTGTTGCGGTTGCTGTTGCTGCTGTTGCTGCTGCGCTGAGGTGCCAAAGAGACCGCCGGTGGTTTGCGGCTGGGCGCTGGTGGCTGCAGTTCCAAACAAGCCTCCTGATTGCTGGGGTTGCGAAGTGGTGGTGGCGGCCGATCCAAAGAGGCCACCAGCTGGCTTGGCCTGGGCCGTCGATGCCGTTCCAAACAAGCCACCACCGCTCGCCTGCGGTTGGGATGCAGCGGCGGTGGAGCCGAACAGACTGGACGTTTGCGGTTGCGCGCCGCTTTGTTGTGTCTGCCCGGATGCGGGCGCGTTGCCGAACAAAGAGCCTCCGGTCTGGGCAGGTTGCGATGGTGCTGTCGTCCCGAATAGTCCACCCGCCGGTGCTGGCTGGTTGCTCTGCGCGCCACCACCGAAGAGACCTCCGGCGGTTGGGGCTTGGCTCGTGCTACTGCCACTGCAGGGAGCAAAGTCATAGAGTTAGCAAGTGTCCTGCGATCAAAGCTGAAGGAGAGGGATGGGGAGGGTCAATGACGAACAAGAGGTTGGCAGCGCCCGTGTTGATGCTGAGACCGCCAGGGCCGCTGGCGGAGCGTGCCAAGGCCATGACTGCAGTGCAGAGTAACTAGAGGGAGGCCAAGGTCGAATTCGATTGTCGCAAACAGAGACGGGGTGAGTAATGCGAGGAGGCGGTGGATGGGGAGGTGGGCGAATGGTTGCTGCAAAGAGGGTCTTTCTTTATGTATTGTTTTTTTTGGCGTTTGGGAGCCCGCGCCAAACTGGTCGCGATCACAAAGAAATCAGTGGACCTGAGCTCACAAAGAACCTTGCTTAAGCCGGTGGAGCGCTGAAGCTATGGCCTGGCGCCGCGCCGCTTCAAGTCTTTTCGAGATCCGACTGACTCCAATTGAGGCTCCAGGTCGCTTATCTTATCGCTTATCGCCCACCGCTGTAGTCCCCATGCACCACACCACATGCAGCCTGGTCAGCCCGTGTGTTTGCCCGTCGATTTCGCAATTGCCCAGAACCAGAAGCAGCACCGCAACCTCAGAGCTTCGAATGCGACGGGGGTGATAATAATACTTCTAAAACACTCAATTACACGCGGAACGAAAGCGACTAGACCCCAGACCATTCTTCCCCCTAAGAACGACAGCATGGACATCGACGAGGAAGACGATTTCTACGCGCCCGAGGAGCCTTCAGAGCCCTCCGGCCCTCCAGCGCCCACTGCCAATGCAGACGCGCCCGCCGACTCGAAGCCCGAAGAGCAGGACGATCTGGAGGAGGGTGAAGAAGAAGATGAGGGCGGCGCAATGGACGAGGACGAGGACGACTCGGTTCGTGTTTCTGCTCCGCGACTGCTCGAGAAGGCTGCACACGCGCGCTGACAATGAACCGCAGGAGATCGATATTATTACCGAGAGGAAGGACGGCACCAAGGCTGCGCCCCCAACGTAGGTTTCCTGCCCTCGGGCTTGCCCCTGTTTCCGATCCACTGGCTTCCTGGAGTGCAATGCTCACCCGGTGCCAGGCAATCAAAATACAGCGAGATACGGAATATTCCACAGAGGACGACTGGCACCGACGCCCAGGTCAAAGCTGCCGCCGCTCCCGTAAGGCAAGACCAGGCCAAGGATGCGACAGGTGCCGAATCGGCGCCCATCTCTACATCACAGGTCGACATTAATGCCATACCCATACACAAGGGCACGGGCAAGCCAATCACTCAAGTCAACATTGACGAAGGTACGTTGGCGGTGGCGCCCCGACCACGCACATCGCGCTGGCACTGACACTGACATCGTCCGCCTGCTCTGTTCTAGATCTCCCGGACAACGACAAGCCGTGGCGGAAACCGGGAACCGACCTGAGTGACTACTTCAACTACGGTTTCGACGAGTTCACGTGGGCTCTGTACGCCTCCAAGCAAGACACCCTGCGGGGCGAGTACAACCAGGACACCATCAACCAAAACAACAAGAAGATGATGGAGGAGATCAACAACATGATGATGATGGGGGGCATGCCGAGCATGAGTATGCCGGGCATGTCGGGCGCCACCGCCGCCGGTGCCGCTTCTGGCGCCTCGGCCGGCGGCAGCATGCCCCCCATGCCCGGGATGGAGGGCATGCCGCCAGAAATGCAGGCCATGATGCAGCAGATGATGGCGTCGGGCATGGACCCTAGCCAGATGGATGCGTCGGCCATGTCGGCCATGTTCTCGGGCATGCAGAACGCAGGCGGTGCTCAAGCGGCCCAGGGCGGCCAGAACCAGAACTTTGGAGGAGCCGGGTTCGGCGGAGGCGCCGGCCAGGGTTACGGCGGCTACGATCAGCAGGGCGGTGCTGGCAGGAGCGGCTTTGGTGGTGGGCGCGGGCGAGGCGGGCGCAGAAACTGGTGATCAAGACCGGATCTGCATCTGAGGTTGAGCGGGCGGCTGTTCAAGTCTTGCTTGGGTCTTGGGCCAGGTTCCAATCAGCATCCCTCACATCGTGGGGGGTGGTGAACGCTGAGAGAGAACCAAGATCCAGGTCACGAAGTAACTTGTAATTTCATACTGTAAAGTAAAAGTATTATGCTCGATGTACATGACCAATCGGCCTGACTGCTACTAATCCAATGTTCACCCCTAGTTGTACGAAATCATCTCTCTAAATTCTGAAGGCCAGGTCAAACTGCGCAGTGCTATATATCGGACTAAAACTAACTGTCAACCATCGAATGTGCGAGAAAGAAAAAACACAAGATCAAAAGAAGACAAAGGTTTCCGGTCCCCGCGATCTCTTCGGACCGAAATAGGCTCAGGATTCGAGATAGCCAGTTGAATGGTTCATCTGGATAGACTTCTTGATGTTCTGATAGTGGGTGTGGACTGAACTGCTTCCTGCAATGCTGCCATGCTGTTCATCTCTGACTGGCTGGCGTCGGTTACTGACCAGTTGGCGTATCGATTCCCCAGACCGTTGTGGTCCTGCTTGATATGGCTATAGTGCAGGCGGGATGCCTATAGCCACCCGGGCGGTTTGCAACTGCACAGGCCCCGGTTAATAGGATGGAGCCGGTCCGTGGAAGTAGGGGAGTAGGTAGGCAAATAGGCCACTCGTGCCATGCTGGATCGGTGCTTGGGAATACGGCACCGGCTGGTGCGTACGTGGCAGACCTTAGGTGCTGCACAGAACGTCGGTGGTCTGGCCCAGTTGCTCCGCCCGCGTTCAGCTCCGCGTTTCGGGCGGTGCAGATGCTTGGAGCTCCTGTGCTTCGGCCGGTGTTCTGGTCGCGGGCCTTTCCGCTGTCGTTTGACGCTTCCCCCTGCTATCACTCTTCGTGCTGTTGCCAGCGTCGCCGCCTTTCTCGGGGGGTGTCTAGCCGGAGCCCCGTCCCTGGCCGGAACCAGCCAGGGCCGAGGCACGGGTCTTCCCACGGTCCTTAGCGCCCCCTCCGCCACGGCCACCGCCGCCACGACCCTTAGGTTGCACTCTGCCTGGCCCTCCTCCTGGCCCTCCGCCGCCCCCAGAACCTCCACCGCCAGGCCCTCCTGGCCCTCCGCCGCCCCCAGAACCTCCGCCGCCGGGCCCTCCTGGCCCTCCGCCGCCCCCAGAACCTCCGCCGCCAGGCCCGCCGCCGGGCCCTCCGCCTGGCCCTCCGCCGCCGCCAGAGTCCTCATTATTACTGTCATCGCCATCGTTATCCTCTCCACCGCCAATTTCCTTTGCCTTTTGTAGTTGAACTGACTTTTTGGCGTTGCCGGTCATATTGATTTTCTTGCGTTTAAGCTCAGCCGCCGGGTCTGCAGCTATTCTTTGAATCCAGGAATTCTGTGCGAGGTTTTTACACATGGCTTTCGATTCTCCGAGACTGTATTCAACATGGTTAAAGCGGTCTTGGAAGGACGCGAAATCGGTGTTGTAGTTCCAATCTCGACTCGCCTGATGACCGTGCCATTTGATAAGACCAGGCGTCCCTTCCTGGGCTTCTTTGATTGCGTACAACAGCTTCCAACAGAGCAGCTCAATAATGAGTGTGCAGAACCTGTTGATAGGAGGCGAGGGGTTTTTGACAAAGGCTGCGTACAGTCGGCGGACGAGTTTTCGCTGCTCCTGAGGACTCTCGGGAAAGCCGCTGGCTTGGTTTGGAGGAACCACATTTACGAGGCCCTGGAGCTCTTGCTCCAGCTGCATCGCGTCGTGTATGTTGTCGATTCGGGCTGGAAACTTGTCCGGGTGAGGCTCATCTTGGACCGTGATGCTCAACTCTTCTTGCCACCAATCCTCGCCGCGATTTTCGGTGAGATTGATACGGCAGTATCTGTGTGCATTCAATCGCCAGGCCTTTAGCTCCCTAATCATAAAGGCGCTTAGGATGTGATCTTGGATAAGAAACGATGCATTGGTCGGCTGGGGCTTGGGGATGTGGGCAAGGATCCCAGGCACCATGGGTTGATCCAGACCGAACTCGTCTCTCAAGGATTCTACTGTCACAGGCCGCCCATCGTTTATGCAAACCAACACTGTATCTGCGTGCGGATTAGCAACGGCTCAGCAGCTCAGAGAAACGAATGTCGATCTTACCTAGAACCCTTAGAAAATAGTCCTGCGCCCCGTCATCCTGAGACAGCCCCTGGTAGAGTGCGTCGAGTACAGTTCCAGCCTGACTCATCTTGTTGTCCGGGTTTCCAGATATGTAGTTTTATATATATATAAAGTGAGAGATAGAACGTCGTAGGGTAGCCACTCTTGTGATGCTTTTAGACGCTTGGTCCGTATCGAAGATGCTTGGTGTTATATGCTGGCACGTCGTGCATAGCCTGTCGGGTTTATATAGCTTGATGGACTCTGAACACAAATGCCGCATTGGACGGAGTATGAGTCCGATCCCTGTGGGAGAAAAGCTATCAACAAAACCGGTGGCTCAAAGCCATCGACTTTATAGTTTGGGATCTGAATGAAAGAACCATCGAGCCTCAACACCATCTTGTTTCCAGGTGCTTTGTTCAGATACTGAAAGCAGCGCGGCATGGGGAAACAGACAAGAATAGGGGGTCAAACTATTGCCTGTTACAAAGAACTTTTAAGGCCAGTCTGTTCGTCTAGGGTTTTGGCAAACCACATACATACCCTCCCTGCCTGCCTTTCAGACCTTTGATAGCCAGCGGCTTCAAGTAACTTCGTATTACTCCTCACAATGTGGAACAATGAATCGAGCAAGCGCCTTCAGGAAAGGAGGGTGTGTGGGGCCACTTAGCTATGGGCGGATGGACAGTGTTAATGAAAGCAGATGCTGACCGGAAGAGCTTTCTTTGTTCAATTGCGCCCGGTCATCTTTGGGGCGGGGCTGGCATCAAACCTTAGGATATGGCAGAGCTTGGCTCTGGCTACGCGTTCGACTGCCCGGATTAGGTCTCAATACTTGCCAGAGAATCCAGGTTTCAGGATGAATGCAAGTAGACAAAGGCTGGACTCTTCATCATGGGTATGGGTTTGGGCATGCGGCGGCGCATGGCGTGCGAGCCAGTCTCCAGGTCGTTTGCAAACATAAAGTTACCGAACTGTTCCCGTAACAATTTAGAGAAGCACTTTGTTCAATACACTATCCAGTCGACCTTGCCTTCGAAGTAAGGCAGGTGCTTGGGCTATTGCATGCAATCTTTAGTGGAAATGAGGATGACTATAGCTGGACCTCCTGGCTTGATGTTACCTTGGTGCAAGCCTTGTCAGGGAGATAAATGATGCATGACCATCTAGTAATAGAAGATGCTAAACATCCATCAATTTTAGGTAATTGGGTGGCCACATGAAGGTATGCATTGATGAATTTGCGTCACCATTCTGCCCTTGATGGAGATAGTGCTAAAGGAACAGGTAGCAGGCGCCAATATGACTGGCGAGACCTATCTCAATCTCGTGTCAAAATCCTACACGCTTGTTTCTTCAAACCGGACTGTTTTCCAGCCATGGCTGCCCAGAAAGAACCCCCACCATCACTTACATCATTTGCAGCCCTGTGATATGACGTGTATGCCACCCTGCTTGACTGGGGAAAATGGGATTTACACATCGCTCCGGCCTCTGTATTGTCTGCTGTCTTGTCTGGTGATAACCATTTCAAGGATAACAAGCCTGGCCTCCTCGGGCTCTATACCAAATACGAGGGAGAATTGCAACAGGCCCACCCAGGCATGAAGTACGCACCGCTTCTCGGCCTTGTCTACAAGAAGATAGCCGAGCATCTAGGCGTCAGCGCGACAGACAGCGAGCAAGCTACATTTGGAGCAAGCGTAGGCCAGTGGCCGGCGTTTGCTGATACCGTGGAGCCTTTGAAGAAGCTTAGGAACCGATCCAAGCTCATAGTGCTTTCCAATGTGGACGCAGACTCGTTCTCTGGAACACTTATGGGTCCCCATCAATGGGATCAACTTTGACGCTGTCTACATGGCCGAGCACATCGGGTCATATAAGCCAGACCTTCACAGCTTTGAGTACATGATCGAGTACGCCGGCGCTGATCTGCTGGTCGCCAGGAACCAGATCTTGCATACTGCGCAGGCGCTGTGGCAAGACCACGTGCCTGCCCGCAAGGTCGGATTGGATAGCTGCTGGATCATGAGGGGAGGCAAGAACAGCGCAATGGGAGGCGATTTGGACGAACCTGCTTATAGCGTGAGCCTGGCTTACCGGTTTAACACACTCTGCGAGATGGCGGGTGCTGTTGAAAATGCTTTCCAGATGCTTTCCAAATAAGGTGAATGCTGCATAAACGAGTCCCGAGAAGAGCCCAAGAAACCAGCCTGTCGCTCCAGTAGCGGGACCTAGCTCGTTTATCGCTGTCAATGCTTGGTTAGTCTCGTTTATGCCCAAGCCTAGGCGATGAAGAAGAGGTCTACGCACCTCCTGGGCTATTCCAGAATTTAAAACCAAGGCGATCATGGGTTGGCCCGCCATCGACGATGATGATGAAGGATAGTATAGGTAGGCCGACGATGGCAATAAGCTTGATCGAAGCAAAACAGAACTCGGCCTCGCCGTAAACGTCAATGGCCATGGTGTTAAGGAGGAGAAGGAAGGCAATGATGATAGATATCCAGACAGCAGACTAGAACACGGCAATGTTAGTATGCTTTCAACTGATGTGTGAAGAATGGTGATCAGGTACTACCAGTAAGACTCACCGAGATGGATCTCGCCCGGGCCAATAGTCTATCAATATGGCCGCCGCGCTGATTTCCAGACAGACAACAATAGAGCAAAAGTACCAATTCTGAAAATCAACCGAGTTTCAGTGTATGAGTGAAGAAAGGTAGGGAAAGTATGTCCTATTGACTTGTGTTCCATCCAACCGCGAATCCCAAGGTATCATCGACGTACCGGGCACAGAACTGAGAATATCCGCCAAAGGCACACTGGCAAAAGAGAAATCTCTAAGTAGCCTGGGGCGTCAAAATTGCTACCCCTCGGTGCCCCTCCTCCCACTCGTTCCAACAACACCCCGACCACACACTTTTTTTTTTGGTTTGCTCCCGGGTTGACTCCCACATCCCGAAGTCACCAAGGACGACCTTGACTCTTGCCAGCACGACAACAGAGCCCACGGAGAAGTAGAAAGGATGAGTATCAACTTCCCAAAGGCAGAAGAGGATGTCTTGGCCTTTTGGCGCGAGATCGACGCCTTCCAGACCCAGCTCCGACTGACCCAGCGAGGGCCGCATTTCAATTTCTACGATGGGCCACCCTTTGGTCAGTCCGAGTCCTTAACCTGAAATTAAACTAAGGCAGTTAGTTAGCTAACATTCGTCTCGGCGAGCCTAGCGACCGGTACCGTTTCCCTAACTCTCAAACGTGCCCCTTGATATCTAATGCGCCCTTAGGTCTGCCTCATTATGGCCACCTGCTCGCTTCCACCATCAAAGACATCATTCCTCGCTACTGGTCAATGAAAGGCCACCATGTCATTCGACGGTTCGGCTGGGACACTCATGGCCTCCCTATCGAGTTTGAAATTGACAAGAAGCTTGGAATCTCCGGCCGAGATGCTGTCGAGCGCCTCGGGATCGAAAAGTACAATGCAGAGTGTCGAGCAGTGGTGATGCGGTACGCTCAGGAGTGGAGGCAGACCATTGACCGGCTGGGCCGTTGGATCGACTTTGATAATGACTACAAGGTATGCTGAATACCTGACAAGACTATAAGCGATCATGCAGCTGACTTATCTGCTCAGTCTATGGATGCCAGGTTCATGGAGTCGTGTTGGTGGGTGTTCAAACAGCTCTTCGACCAGGGGGATGTCTACCGAGCCTACCAGATCATGCCCTATTCAACTGCTCTCTGTACCCCACTGAGCCACATGGAGTCGAAGCAGAATGAGAAGCTCACTCAGGATCCCGCCATCCTTGTCTCATTCCCTCTTACAGGAGTGGACGACTCTGAGAATACATCCCTTCTTACCTATACTACTACACCTTGGACACTGCCCTCGAACCTCTTCGTGGCTGTTCATCCCGAGTTTGAGTACGCCATCATTCTCGATGAACAGTCCGGCCGACGGTACATCCTCCTCGAGACAGGTCTGTCCATGTTGTACAAAAACCCCGCGAAAGCCAAGTTTAAGATCGTGAAGAAGGTTCAAGGCAGGGATATGATTGGCTGGAAATACGCACCGTTATTCAACTACTTCACGAGCAACTTTGCCGACTGTTTTCGCGTCATTGGCGCAGATTACGTCGAAGCTGGCGAGGGCACTGGCCTCGTCCACCAGGCTCCGGCTTTTGGTCAGGAAGACTACGACGCTGCTGTCGCTACCGGTCTCATCGGCCCCGAACGATTGCCACCTTGCCCTGTTGATGACAAGGGCTGTTTCACATCAGAGGTTCCCGATTACGCAGGCCAACATGTCAAGACCGCCGACAAAGCAATTCTTCGCGATCTCAGGGCTACAGGCCGCCTCATAGTGGAGAGTCAAACGATGCATACTGATAAGTTCTGCTGGAGATCAGATACACAGCTGATACGAAAGGCTGTCTCGTCGTGGTTCATTCGAGTGACAGACTCGATCCCAGAGATGCTGCAGAATCTCGAGTCCACCAATTGGGTGCCCAGCGTTGTCAAAGAGAAGCGCTTTGCCAACTGGGTGGCGAATGCGCACGATTGGAACGTATCACGGAACCGTTATTGGGGAACGCCGATTCCGATCTGGGCCAGCGAAGACTACGAGGAAGTGGTCTGTGTGGGGAACGTTGCCGAGTTGAGGGAGCTGAGTGGCTTCGATGGTCCATTGGATGACCTCCATCGAGACAAAATTGACTCGATCACCATTCCATCCAAACAGGGCAAGGGCGTTCTTCGACGAATCGATGAGATTTTCGATTGCTGGTAATAATCATCATCTTGCTCCCACCCGCCACTCGTTTCCCACTAACATAGGACATGATGCAGGTTTGAATCTGGAAGCATGCCCTACGCATCGAGACATTTCCCATTTGAGAATGCGAGTCGTTTCCACGAAGATCTGTTTCCAGCAGACTTCATTGCCGAGGGACTTGACCAAACCCGTGGTTGGTTCTACACGCTCACAGTGCTCGGCAACAAGCTCTTCCACAAATCTCCGTTCAAGAACTGCATCGTCAATGGCATTGTCCTCGCTGAGGACGGAAAGAAGATGTCGAAGCGGCTGAAAAATTACCCAGACCCCAATGAGATCCTGAAGCAATTCGGCGCCGATGCCTTGCGCCTCTTCCTCATCAACTCCCCGGTTGTTCGGGCAGAATCCGTCCGTTTCCAGGAGGCTGGGGTGAGAGAGGCAATATCTCGAGTTCTGCTTCCGCTCTGGAACAGTTATCGCTTTTTCTCAGAACAGGCCACGCTTTATAAGAAGGTCACTGGCAATGATTTCATCGCTGAGCTTTCTATCGAAGCTGATCGACTTGATAACACTATGGATCGATGGATTCTTGCAGACTGCCAGAGTCTCTTGCGATTCATGGACCAGGAAATGCTTGGTAAGGGCAGCCCTTTTCGTTTTTTGCATGCACGGCCCTCACTAACATGTGTCAAATCCTGATAAGGCTACCGTCTCTACACCGTTGTGCCGAGATTGCTCAATGTGATCGGCAATTTGACCAATTGGTACATTCGCTTCAATCGAAAAAGACTGAAGGGAACTGCGGGCCTGGGACTTGATGACAACTTCAGAGCCATTAACACATTGTTCCAAGTCCTCTTCACCATCATCCGCGCCCTAGCGCCCTTCACGCCCTTTCTCACCGAGCATATATACGGCCTTCTGAAGCCGCATCTTGGCAGTGCTATCACCCAGTTCCCGGACTCGCGAAGTGTGCACTTCCTTCCTTTCCCGGCCGTCCAGGAAGCTCTGTTTGATGAAGTTGTCGAACGCAGGGTCGCGGCCATGCAGAAGGCGATCCAGGCGGCGCGAACGGCCCGAGAGCGAAGTAACCTCCCCCTCAAGACGCCTCTTCTTACTCTTGTGGTCATTGCAGATCACCACGTCCTGTCGGATATCGAATCGCTCAAGACATACATAGAAGAAGAACTGAACGTCAGGAATGTTGTGTTATCAAGTGATGAACAACAGTATAACATCCTCCTGGAGGCGCGCGTCGACTGGCCAACCCTTGGCAAGAAGTTGAAGAAGAACGTTCAAGTGGTCCGCAAGGCTCTCCCAGATCTGACCCAGGACCAGTTGAAGGACTATGTGCACAACAAAAAGATAGAAATCGCCGGCATAGAACTCGACGAGAACGATTTGACTATCGTGCGGGTCCTTGGTGCCGATACAGCTGGTCTCACGCAAGCCACTCAATGGGAAGCTGCTTTCACCAATGAAATGGTGGTTCTCCTTGATATTTCATTGCACCCAGAGCTTGTACAGGAAGGTGTAGCACGAGAAATGATCAGCAGGGTGCAAAGGCTACGGAAGAAAGCCGGTCTGGTTCCTACTGACGAGATTCAGATGCAATACTTGATCATTTCAAATCCTGAAGACATTGATATACCTTCACTCCTATCTACAAGGACAGAACTATTCAAATCAGCACTATATGGTACCCTAGAGCAGATCTCTAAGCAGAGTGCTGGAAAGGCACTCATTGTGGAGGAAGAACAGAAAATTGGGGACCTATACCTCATGTTAAGACTCCTCAGACCCTAGCCTAGAAGGACTCTGAATTCCTCCTATGAACAGAATGATTGATTACCACATTATGACCCTTGTCTATCAAGCAGATCTTCTCTACAAGTTAACTAATCAATTAGCTTTAAATCCGCTGAAGGGATTGAATTATGATGTAATTATTTACCCACCTGGCTTCTGCTAGTTGTCCATTTAAGTAAGGGCCCGGATAGTAGACGGTAGTTCGTCAGAAGCTACCTCAATGTTAACAATGTATCTCTTGCTCCGAGATGCTAAGTCTCCTATCTTGAGGAGGGCCCATCTAGCGATGAGCAACCCTAATCTACATGCAGGCAATGTCAGCACCAATGAATCACGGATTTCTTGTGAAGCCTTAACGAAATACTGACTTTTGGCCTCTATAACACCAATCAACCTCGGCAGTTTCCCAGTGTTCGGTAGAAGATAGCAAGGCTAGAAAGGAGCTCTCGATACGTGAGATTAGAGTCCATCCTCCAACGTCTATCCTAGAGGTGTCTCCGTCTATATCTTCTGCACTGTAAGATCTCGATGTGATGCTCGAGGCTACATTCGCTCTGTATGGCAAGGCAATGTGCCATATTACCTGTTACCCACCCCCAGACTTCACTGCGGAAACTGCGCACAACGGCGAGCAGACCTGATTTACAGGAATCAGGATGATGAACAATAGATAACCCCGGGCGACATTCTTGAAAAAGGATTGATTGAAAACCATTTAAGCATTTAGGTATAAACGGTTTGTGCTTTAGAGCGAAGGGAAGCAGATCTTCTAGTTGCTTATAAGACACTGTGTGACATACACCTATTAAGTCAAGAGGGCTTAGACAATATGTTTTATATCTGGTTTGGATTCACTAGTGCTAAAGTGGAATAAAAGCCTCGGGCTAAGACCTATAGGATCTATATTGGTTGACTGTATATGCTAAATCCTATAGAAAGATCCTAAATGCCTAGAGATATTTAGTATAGTGGTTGTTGGTGATAGGTTGGGTTATAGGATTTAAGGCCTAGGCAGTAGACCTAGGGTGTTGGTAAAAATGCTGTACTGTTAGTTGTTGTTATGATTCCCTATTGGCTATAACTAATCTTCTAAATCTGAAATCCTCAGACCCTATTAACTGCTATAGCTATTTTGGCTTTAATGTGATCTTGGCTGTTATTGGCTGTATCAGCCTTCTGGCTTGTTCTATTCTCTAGAAATAGCTCTACCATCTATAGAGTTGGCCGAGCTTGTATAGACATTGATCTGGTCCTATAGGAAACACTTTGATGTTTGTTCCAAGTTTGATAGATCCTTCAATCATGTAAGAAGTTACTGATTGCTTTTCGGGACGTCCTTTTCTAATTTGAGCCACGCTTGAGACCGAAGATTTGTATGGGGTTCACAGGCTGCAAATAGGCGAGGGATGGTCAACTTCGTTGACAGCTGGGGCGGGAACCGAAGAAGAGCTAAAGGTTGCCGTACAAATTCGTGCAGGGAGCTCGATCGATGAGGAAGGACTTTGGAAGTGGTCTCTCAGTAGGATGGCACGCTTTCAAGTACCGTCCGTCATCGAGATCGTGCAGTCTATCGACAAGACTCCGACGGGTAAAGTGGAAAAGCGGTCATTCAAGATAGAGAGTGGGAAGCACTTTGATATCAGGAAGACCTAAAGCACAAATCGATTCGATCAAAGCACATAGTACAGGATTTGTTCATGTGTCATTTTCCAGATATTCACAAGTCTGATCAGGCTGCACTCACAAATGGTGTGAGAAAATCCCATTTCAGTCTATCTAATCCCAAAAGAAAATGCACAAGTCCAGTGAATACCGACACGAAGTTATCATATTCTCACCGAGACCGTCGATAGCCAAGTAAGCTTGAAGTCCCGCAATTTAAAGCCGGCCTCAAGAAGAATAGTCCTCTATCTTTCCTTTCCAAGGATCAGAATGTGTCTGTAGGTTGCCCACAGACTGAGGTCCGCTGCTCTGGTTCGGCCCTTGCGGAGTACTCAAGGGAACAGCAGATGGCCTTGGAATGCCAAGGCCCAGGCTGTCAGGCGGTGACGTGCCATCGTACACCTGGACCTGTGTGGGTGCAGGGCGAGGGGCGGTTGGATGCATCGAGGACTGAGAACCCTGGTTGTAATATAATGGCTGGTTGGTCGGCATGCCATATCCCTGCCTAGAAAGCATCGGACCCATTTGCGGCTGGTAAACATTCGGTGAAAGCTGCGGATAGGGTGGCGGAGTCGACTGGGAACCCATCAATCGAGGATCCACAAGGTGTCCTGGTGGACCACCGCCCATGTTACTGGGTGAAGAAAATGTCATCTCAGCGGGTGAGACATAGCTCAAGGACTGTGGATGTTGGTTCATAACAGACATATCCCCGTATCGCGCCGGTCCTGGGGTTCGAGGTTGAACTGTCCAGGGCCCGTGGTGCAATGCAGGATGTAGTGGAGGAAGCGCTGCTGAAAGCGGTGCCAAGTCGGAAGCTTGCGATATTGGGGGGAGAAAAGACTGAAAGTTCCGAGTCGGAGTGTGCGGGAAGCGCTGATGCATATACTGAGCTGGCGGCGCGGGCAAGCAGTCATGATAGTTGGGCAGACCAGAGACATCTGGCTTGGTCTCGGGTGCTGGGTTTTCGTAAGAACCCTCATGCGACGGGTAATCTTGTCGCACCAAGGCAGCTGCGGTGGACGGGGCGGCAGGGCCGGGCTGATGAGGAGGTGGAACGGTAGACAAAGCACCGCGGGACCGCTGATGAGCAGCAGAGCTCGCTGCGTTGGCTGACTGCACCCCAGGACGAGCAGCAGCATCCCGGCGAGCGGCCTCAACCTTGGTCGCAACACGCGTCACTGTCCTTGATTTATCGACTTTTGCTCGCTTGCGGAGCTGTTGATCATCGTCACCCGCAGCATCCTCATCATGGATTCTCTTCTGGAGCCGACCAGCCACAATAGTATTCGTTGCCTTGAGAAGTGTCGTATCATCGGCGTTGCCCTTCATAGCAGCGTTTGCCAGCTTCACCTGGAGATTTCGCTCTTCATTCTGGCCCTTGTTGGCCTCCTTACGGTGGGCCTCCTTCTCGGGGGCGGCGGCAAGTCGGCGCTTCCAAAGAGAATTGGTGAGGTTCTTGACCAAGGTTTTGTGCTTCCGCAGGACGTCAAGTACGGCCATGAAACGAGCCCGGAAGCTTGGATAATGGCTATAGTCCCAGTCGTTAGTCCAGTCTTCCAAATAGCAACGGCCCTCCTGGGCATCTTTAATCGCCCGGAGCATCTCCCAGCAAAGCATCTCGATCTCGATTGGAGACAGTCTCTGACTCGCTGCGACGGCAGGTGGCGTCTTTGGTGGTTGGAATCCTTTATAGTCGCTCTTCTTCTTGGTTTTTCCCTTGCCTTTGCCGCCCGAGACCTTGGACGCCTTTCCCTTGCCTTTGCCGGCGATGTCCTTTTTCTCGTCATCGCTCTGATTTTGCGACCACGCACCCGTCTTTGGACCATATTGAGCCTGGAATGCTTCCCATCGTCGCCTATCCTCGGCCTGTTGGGCAGTCTCATGCAGCTCAGTATAGTCGATGATGGTGATATACAATGCCTCAATCAGTCGAAGTTCGCCTTCGGGCGTATCAGGATAGTATCCGCCATCAACGGGGTTCTCGGCATTGTTGATCTCCTGATATGCCTTCTTCACCTCCATCGCCTGATCATACGTCTTGAGCATTGCTGTGTAGGGTTCATTGTTGCGTGCCAATTGTCGCACCCACCAATCCATGTTCTTGATGTCGGCAGCTGTGACTGAAGCCGTGCCTGAAGCTGGAACGGACATGGAAAGATATGTGAGAGGATCTCCGCTCTGCAGGTAGACATCGAGGCCATATTCAATCTCCCATGTGAAGATTGCGTTCCGAATCTGGTGAGGGCTGCCTGGAGGGAGAGTGTTCAGGATAAATTGGACAACATCTTCGTCGGCGTCGGCTGGAATAATGCCCAGAGCAGATTCCCTGGGCAAGTTTTTCTCGGTTGCAATGCGGAATGCATCTATTGAGTGTAAGCTTTGACAAGTCGTCTTGAGGGGCATAGAGGCTTTACTGACGAAGAACCATCCAGAAAGCTCGCTTCTCCTTGTCGTCATCGAGCAGGTGGTAGAATGCTACCAGTGAGAGAGGCATGACTGCCCCTGATCTTGCATTCTCTGCCTCGAGGATATGGCTGGGGGGTTGATCAGAGAGACAAGATCCTGGAATTATGCGATGTGTTTGGGAAGTGTGCCGTGTTTTGAAGGCGCGCTGTGGCAAGAAAGAAGCCGGATGAGCCCAGTTGCACAGGTGCGGTGATCATAATAAGATGAAACAGGGATCAGTAAATGCGATGGACGATATATATATGGGTTTCAGGATAGACTCTCCAGGTTAACAAAGCAAAGTTGGTTCTTGAATTGACGAAGAGGAAACAACATGTCTTCACCCATTCCCTGAGAGGGGGCTCTTTAGTGAAGCAGGGAAACCAACGATGCAATGTCCGTAACATACAATAACAAAGGCACTGTTGTTGAATAAGGTGGCGCGATATTCATTCTGGTTGTACTTGGAGTCTCGAAGACAAAGAGTTGCCTGTATGCACAAAGATGGCCATTCTTTGCAACGTGTGCCCTGATCTAGATCGCAGTGTAGCATTCTCAATGACCATTGGCTCCGGTGCCTCATATTCACTGATGGCTATCATCATCACTCAGGCAAGTAGAATATTCTCTGAACCTGAAAGGATGAATTCAGTTCAGTCAGGGGATGTTACACACACTTTCAACAGTGACCAGGAACTAGTCTTGCAACAGATTTCGGTAAAGATAATGTTAGTCGGTGAATCAAGGTACTGGCTCTGTTTGCTACAATCTCGTAGGGTGACTGTCAGTGCCACGGCTCATGTTTCCCAAAGTCCGTTTGGGTCGTTAACTTGGGAGTACGCTGCCATCTCTCCTAGACAGTGATTGAATTGTTGCGAGGAGAAATTGTGTGTGTTAGACAGCCTCTTTGGTTCTTGTGTATTTGCAATCGAATTCGAGCGAGGTCTACGTCCCAATGTGTCGGAATTTAGCTCAGTGAATAAATGCCACACTGAAAGCCCAAATCCTGGTGGTAGAAGCTTACAACCAATCCAAGGTTCAAGTGGTTGCCCGACCGAGGTGTGACATCTGAACCAAGAGACCCCAGATGTATTTGACACAGTTTCTGACACAAGATAGGCAAGCAAACACAATCACTAGGATGAGGTTCTGGTGACTAAATGCTTTGGAGACTAAATGACATCAAGTACACCTTTGTTCTTATTATGATCGACAACAACTACTCTTGAACGTTTTTGGCTGACGATAGCCCATGCTATTTGCCTGGCGCCGAAACTCTACCCCCGGAAAGACGCTCTGCAACGACACCAACAATATTGACATCCAGATCGTAAGACGCGTCATGTGTAAGTAAGGGGCTGTGGCTGACCTTGTGTCTGTGCGTGGAGAACAAAGACAACTCCCTCGCCAATGGCTTTTGGCTCGGTCTCCGGTGGTACCGTACTGGGACCGGCCCTTTGTTCTGAGGGCCCATTATCCAGAACATAGGCTGGCAGTGGGTTTTTTGCATATCTACCGGCCGACCACGCGGCTCTGAATTTGCTGCTGATATTTCTGCGAGTGTGGTTGTTCAAAGAAGGCTGCAACAGACAGCTTGACCATGTCGTGCTTTATCAAAGTCGTAGTTGCCGGGACGGGCTGCCTGGAAATTTTCGTTTCAAAGGGCATGAGGCATGGCAAAGAGCTCGAGAGCACACAAGCAGAACATAATTGAAGATCAGAAACTGGCAGCGAACACTTCTGTGTAATCTAAGGTCGTCATGTAATCAAGGCTGTGGCTATCGAGGCACGACGAAAACTGCTCAGGCATCTGTGAGGTCTGTCGCAGTCAATTTTGCTTCCTTGAAGTGTACGTGTACGTATAGTTGGTGAGGCAACCCGATTTCAAACGATGAGAATGATGCACTAGCCAAGATCCGCAATAGCAACTCTAGAAGATGGCTCGGTGATCCAGATGCGTTATTGAATTCCAATACGTCTGCTGAGCAGACCACGGCTGGCTTGAGATCTTTTGAACTTTGAGAGATCTACCGTGGCTCTATGCGCCGTATGCGTCTAATCATGAAATAACCTCGAGCGTTGGCCAGTTGAGCGATTGGCGAGATCGTGAACATCCTCGAATTCGTGTTGGACAGCTGCATGTGTGCCGAGTCACCCGGGCGAAAAGCCATTTCAAGGGCCTCCGGACGGACCCGGGAGCGAACTGGTTGGCAACCTGCTTTCGTCTCCATGTCTACATGCCGGCGGCTACAGCGGTGCGGTCCTGCATAAGTATTCCCACCTTGGACATGCAAGTGTTGTCGGATTCGTGTAAGAGCAGACGGGTCGTGGACCTCACCAGCCAATCACGCCGAGGGCCAATGCACGTTCCCACTCCGACTTGGCTCCGTGGTTGGAAGCCCCGGAAAACGCCACCAGACAAGAGCCTGGCGAGACCAAGCCAAGCACACCACCGCATCTTGTTCCACCCGCACTCGCTCTCATCAGAGTTTCAGACGGCCTCCTTGGAAGGCCGGCTCGACTCGCGAATGGGCCAGGCAGTGAACGGCATTGCCCACACGTGGGCCGCTCCCGCACAATCCCATGGCCGTTCCCAACGCCGCTCCTGATTCACGGGGCCGTGGCAGGTGCCTACTGACTGGTCGCATATTGGTCATCGACAAAGCGAAAAGGTGTATGAGATGAGAGGCAGATCTGGGTAACTGTAGCCAATAGTTCGTTCTGCAACGGTCAGGCACTCGGAAAGAGTGGGATCCAAGCTTCCCAGCCCCACCGAGCCAAACCCGGCGGCATATCGCGATGTCGACGCGACGGCGCCAGAGGCGGCTCAACGCTGCTCAAGCGCTCGAGGGCTAACACTACAAAAAGAGACACGGCCGGTCGCGTCGGCCACGGATATGGACCCCCTTACTGAGTCTTCTCTCTCTTTGATCTGGGGGTTCCCCAGAGACAAAGGTCTTTTGAGGTCCAGCACACTGGGTAAACAGCACGTCGAGTTGCTGGAAGATTCGCTGCCATGGAAGTGTTTTCGGGATCCACCGTCGAGCGAGGGATGGCTCCACAGCATGTCCCCATCTATATTGCCCTCCCCTCTCGATCGTTTGCGAGACTCGATCTCAAGCAACAGTTGGGTATCGACGACCTCTTGGTCGCAGAAATCGCTCAGTCTCTCGCGTCCGCCATCTTCAGAACATACCTCTACCTCTCGCCGATATGCGCGATACTGGCTGTCCAGAGCGCCTGGATACTTAGACTATTCGCTATGGCAACGCTCAACCTCGTTTCCCAGTCCGTCAACACGTTGTGGAACAGCAATGCTGTCAAGCAGCTCCGGAGAAAGGTCGTCTTCGAATTCATCGCTACCATCCTGGGGCCCGGCGGCAATATGTTCCTCCTGTTGCTCTTCTGGCCCGGATGGATCCTTCTCGGGGTCTCCATCTTGATAGCGAGAACATTGTTTGGCTGATGGACACGGCATCTTGTGCAAGTGGCATCGTTCGCCCAAGGGACAAAGGCCTACTCGAGAGATGGTCTGTCCCGACCGGACCGTCTCGCACACAAACATACCCGCGCGCTACAGACGATGCACAGTCCAGAATGATGTTGTGCGAGATCAGTGTGATGTATTCACATGAGCTCGATACGCAGATCATTTGGAGAAGAAGAAAGCGTTGCCTCCTTGATCACGTCGGATCTGGTTTTCATAGTTCTTCTCGGGGTCGAACTCTTGCCAGACACTGGCTGGGTAGATGTGCTTGTTGTGTTCGTACCAACGGCGGTCCACCACCTTGGTCATGGTCGGGTCATCAGACGCTCCCTCGAGAAGCCGGATATCGGTTTGGGTCACTTTGGATGACAGAGCAGACGCCGTTTCGGCAGGGCCGTCTTCCGTGGGCGTCGGCGCCGCCTCGGCGCTGTAGTCAAACAACCGGTGGTTGCCAGGACCCATGGTCTTGTTCATGATGAAGAAATAAAACTCGTAATGCTACAAATCATTGTCAGTCTCGTTTTGCACTGTGCGGAGTAGGGTCGAATGTAAGCTCACGTGTGGAATGATCAGGGTGCCCCGGACCAGCATCAGGTCGTCAACACCGACGCGGGCCCAATCACGCCGGGCATTTGCGCTTTTCTCCCCGCCGACCTGCAGCTCCGCGCCGACCTTGCGGCTCTTGTCGAGGAACACCCAGATAAAATCCCCTTTCTTGACACGCACCATCCCGCCAGGTATGTTGGTTCCATCGTAAAAGACAAATGGTATGGCGATCTCTGTAGCCTTGACAGCAGCCTGGAGGACCAGGAACTCCTTGCGCAAGGCTTCCCGCTCTGCCGCCTCCTTTCGCAGCGCTGCTTTCGTCAGTGCCCGCGGCACAACGCCGACGGCACTGTTGGCAACCAGCTTTCCCGCCATCTTCTTGCTCTTGTCATCCGTTTTGCCCCCGTCCTTGTCTTTCGCTTTCTTGGTGACTGCAGGACCCAGCTCCTCGCCGTCGTCCTCGTCCTCGTCTCCTGCAAATGACAGCTTGTTGCCTACTCCCTTGGGCTTCTTCTGCTTCTTCTTCTTGATCTGTCGCTCGGCATCGCTCGTGTCGCTGGCGACATTTGGCGTCCCCGTCCGTGAGCGGTCTTGCGTGGGTGTGTTCGAGGCGGAGGAGGGCAGCTGGTTGTTCCGTGCCTCGCGCTCTTGTTGCTCGAGTACCTCAGCTCTCCGCTTGCGAAAGTCGGAAAGAGCTACAAGGCCGACGGTGTTCGTTGACAGTCGCTCGTGTGTGGTCTGGTTCTGGGGAGCGAAGCGAGAGGGAGGCTGCTGGTCGGACATGGCTGGGGCGGGAGGATTTGCGCCGGCGGGCCGGACGAGGAGCACTCGGAGCAGAAGCGGGTCGTAGATGTCACGTAAAAGCGGTCAATTGAGGTCGCTATTTGTGAAAGATAGCCCGGACTGCTGTAGGCGGCAAAGGGGCGTGTTTGTGGAAGGGTGGGAAGTTAAGGTAAGTGGGAAAAGTGCGTCTACTCACCATTGAGTCGAGAATTGTCCTAAGGACCAGATTTTAGTGGGGCGTGATGGGTGCCACCAGCATGCATATCAGTGTGCTCGCGCCATTCCAACCTATCTCAAAAAAAGGAAGAAAAAAGCAGCAGATTGAGAGACTTGACACTGCTCTCTCTCTTCACAAATGCTTGATTCGACGATCTGATATAACGATTGATGAGATAGCCTTTTGTTCTAGGACATCGAAAAATTCCTTGCGAGCTTGGGCACGAGAAACATGATCGGCATGGTGGCCTCTGCCATTCCCGTCCAAAGACCATGACCGGGAGCAAACGCAAGATGTCCGGCGATGAGCCCCAGCTCGGTGAAGCTCCCGCAAAGCATTCTGCCGACGGCCCACAGAAGACTCGTCGAGAGAAAGGAGATGCCTACTACCGCGAACTATTTCAGACCGAGCCGGACTTCCGTGACCTGGCTCGGCGCAGACCCGACTTTGCTGCATTGTGAGTCGGTATTTCGTTGTCCCAACCACGGCAATCTGGCTGACCATCGCAATCGCCTATAGCATCAAGGCTAAGGGACAGCTTGACTTTACAGACCCGGCTGCGGTGATGCAGTTGACCAAGACACTGCTGGATGTCAACTTCGACCTGCGCATTGAGCTGCCGGCTGATAGGCTCTGTCCACCCGTCCCCAATCGCCACAATTACATCCTGTGGCTCAAGGATCTCATGGACACGACATCGTACGATCAACCTGGTCGAGGACTATGTGGCATCGACATCGGCACTGGAGCGAGCTGCATCTACTCTCTGCTTGGATGTGCTCAAAGACCTTGGTCTTTTATCAGCACCGACATCGATGAGAAGAGCTTATCATATGCTGCCAAGAACGTCAAGCTGAACCACCTCGAGTCGCGTATCACTGTAGTAGCTCGCAAAAAGACGGACCCTCTCGTTTGCGTGGATGTAATAGCAGACTCGACACAAGTCGGCTTTGTCATGACAAACCCTCCCTTCTACGAGTCTGAAGAGGAGCTGTGGACTTTGGCCAAGAAAAAGTCGAGACCTCCCTACTCAGCCTGCACTGGCGCACCAGTAGAAATGGTCTGTGAAGGCGGAGAAGTCGCCTTTGTTGGACGGATCCTAACGGAATCACTCCAACTGCGAGACAGAGTACAGTGGTATACTTCCATGCTCGGCAAGGTTTCGAGTCTGGAAGTTCTTGTTGAAAGACTCCGAAAGGAGGGTATCGATAACTATGCCGTGACCGAGTTCATCCAGGGAAACAAAACTCGTCGCTGGGCCATCGCGTGGAGCTTTGCACCGATGCGGCCTGCGGAGCATGTTGCAAGAGGCATGCAAGCGGTCCCTTGGCGGAAAATCTTGCCACAGACTGTTGAGATGGATGTCGTTACTTCCAAGCCCGGTGAAGCAGGGATGCTGGCAACCAACATCGACTCCCTGATGCAATCACTAGATCTCGCGTCATGGACCTGGGACAAGCCACGGCTCCAAGGCATTGGACGGGCACGGGAGAAGGTCTGGGGCAGGGCCTGGAGGAGAAGGAAACAGCGTGGAGAGACTATTATACAAGGTGCTTGTGGCGTTTCTGTAACGTGCACCTTTGGCTTCTCTATAACGCTACGAATCGGGTTGGCCGAGGCTGTTGTGGTATGCAGATGGCTGGAGGGACATGACTTTCCCACTTTCGAGAGCTTCAATGGCTTCTTGAAAAGCCGGCTAGCCGCCAAACCCACATCGCAAGCTGCAGCAAAAGAAGCACCAGAATCTTGATCGATAGTGCCGCATCATTCTATGTCCTCTCACGAGAACTCACTCGGAATGATCTTGGCCTTCCTCATCCGGTCCCACACGCCACCCCACGACTGCAAGGGGCCCCTCTCCTCCTTGAACCCAGCCTGGCCATACATCTTGCTCATGTCGTACTGCCTGTCAAAGTCAAACTGCGTGAGCAAGAAGTACTCGAAGCCGGGGAAGATGCGCGGGTTATCGGCGTGCCCGCTCTGCAGGCCGTATTTCTCCTCCATCTTGTTCCAAGTGTCGATATGCTCCCTGATGTACGCGCGCACCTCGACGGGGTCGTCCTGCGGCAGCTTGACACCCTTGAGCCCAAAGTAGGAGCATAGGATGGGCCACTTGTCGCGCCAGCATAGCGGCGTGCGCATATCGGCGACGTTGAAGGCCTCGCCCTGGCGCTGGCTCCACGGCGGCGTGAGGCTCACATGCAGCGTCTGTCGCGCAATCATGTCGGCGCTCGAGTCGTTGGACAGGGCCTCCCAGCTCGCCTGCGCGCCTGGGAAAGGGCACTCTGCGCCCTCACCGTCGATCTCACGCCGGAGGGAGAGGTAGATGCCTAGGGCGGTGCCGAGGGAGTAGAAGTTTTGGTTGGGCACGAAGCCGACGATGATGTCCGGCCGGGGGTCGGCCCAGCCCCACTTCTTGCCCCTGGAGAAGTCGGCCAGCCACCGGAGCTGGGGCAGGTAGAAGAGCTTCTCGCCAAAGGGCGACGGCAGGGGCGGGTCAGTCTCCTTGAGAGGCGGCCTGATGCTGGCGGGCTTGTTGGTGAGGAGGTGGCAGCCGTAGTGCTTGGCGCCCGTCTGGAGGACCACGAACTCGAGGGACGGGGAGAGGCGATCGACGGCCGTCACGGTGCGCTTGAGCATGTCGACATTCTCATCTTGTTCCTTGTCGACGTCCGTCCCGGCTTTATATGCTACATGCTCTCTCAAGTTAGAAACCTTCTTTGTTCAAAAGAAATGTACAAGGTGCTTTGTGTTGCATACCGACATAGAACACGTGCGTGACCTTGGCAATGTCGGGCATGCCTGACCTGATGGCATTTTCGAGGTCCTCCTGGCTGCCCTTGAGCAGGTCGATGCCCGAGACGATGGAGAGCCTGTCGTCTTTGGGCCAGTAGGACTGCTCGAGGCTCAGGGGCCGGTTTGTGTGGGCGTAGACGCCGGACCAGATGCCTTTCTTGGGATAGTCGTTGAGGATCTCATTGACGTAAGCCCAACCGCTCACGCCGGAGGCGCCAAAGACGAGGCCGTATTTCCGGTCTGGCATGCTTATCAGTTGAGTGTGCGAGAGGTATGTGTCAACGCTGATGATGATGGACAGGCAACGGAGGCGTGCAATGAGCAGAAGTCGTCTTTACAGATTGAGAATACTAGCTCGCCCACAGATATCTACCTGCCAGTATAGATGAAACGTGATCGAACCTGTGGCATCACTGTTAGAGCTCCTTCGCAGTACCGGGTAGCTATCACCGACACACGCCATCTCTCGTCCCGTCCAGGACCCACTATGGCGGACGCGGGTCTCCATCAGAGGGAGATTGTTTTCCGTTTTCCGGGACTCTAACATGACTTGGCTTGGCAGATCATGCTGCCGCATGTGCTGTGGTGGCCATTTGACTTGCCGATTTGGTCGTCAATAATAAGCTCCCACAATCGGGTTCTTAGCGAGCCATCGACTGCATCACAGGATCTGCATCAGTCTTCCGATCTCTATTGCCGGAATATAGGAGAAAGTGTCATTATTATCGTGAGGTCCTACTTTGACCAAATAAATGCCTACGCGTTACCAAAAAAAAAACTTGTCATGCTACCTGCTTCGCCCCGAAGAGTTCATCATTGTGACATTCCAATCTGAGATTCCCCTCTCGTCACCGTGAGCTATGGAGACGTCTGAACCAGAGGGATCGCAAGACAACATTGGAAGGATAAGGCATCAACAAAGGAAATAAATGGACGTGAACGGCCTACAGAATAACGTCGTCGAACCCAAGATCGCAAAACTGGCAAACACCAAAGCCGTACAACGTATAGTTTCCCCCACACACATGCCCCATTGAAGGAAGCATGCGCACAAATTGGGTCTGCTGTTCACACTCAAAAGTAGCTCCGCATCGCGTCCGAGAAGCCCGGCCCGCCCTTGAGGTCGCGGTCGAACGACATCTGCACCTCGAGCACCTGGCGGATGTGTGTCATGGACAGCGGCTCGCCCTTGTTGACGGCGAGCGCCTGCGCCGTGCGCACCGTGTTCTTGATCTGCCGGCCGTTGAGGTCGTGGCGGGCCAGGGCGTCGTAGTCGCCCTCAGTAAAGGGCATAAGGGCAACCTTCTCGAGGACGCGCACCCGCTCGATGAAGATCTTGAAGATGGCCTTCTTGGCGCGCTGGTCCAGCGAGTCGTAGCGCAGGGCGATGTGAATGCGGGACTGGAAGGCGTCGTCAAAGGTCTAGGTGAGGTACATGTCAGTGATTTTCTTTTTGGTATCACCAGCCGGCTGGTTGATCACCAGGAAATGGGGGGGGGGGGGGGATATTACCTCGACACGGTTGGTGGTGAGGAAGAGAATGCCCTGAAAGTACTCCAACTGACGGAGGAATATGCTGACTAGAGCGTTACGGTGAATGTCGTGCATGTTGCGCTTCTCGAGGAAGACATCCGCCTCGTCAAGGAGTAGGATCGCACCCCAGGCGTGGCAGATGTCAAGAATCTTCTGCAGTTCGGTCTCGAGGTAGCGAGAGTCGGTGCCTAACTCGCCGGCGGACACCATGTACAGCGGGCACTTGAGCAGCTCGCTGATGCCCTCGGCCGTCAAAGTTTTGCCTGTGCCGGGAGGGCCGTGCAGGACAGCAACAAGACCCTTGCCCTTGCCTTGGATCACGTCGTCAATGCTCTCAGCCGCGTGGTATTTGTGCGACTCGACCAGGGCCTTGACGATGTCCTTGGTCTTGGATTCGAGGACCAGCGACTCGTACGCATGCTCGTTCCACTGAATCTCGTTAATTCCAGAGACAGTGAACTCGAGCCAGAGCTTCTCAGCAAAGGCAAAGCCCAGGACGACAGGAGAAGCAATCAGATACTCCTCGTCGGTGAATTCGGGAACGGGCTTCTTGGCATCGTCTCCCTCTTCGGCCTTGGCCTTGTCTGCAGCCTTGCGAGATGAACCGGCCTCGTCCTTCTCAGTCTTCTCGTCCTTGGCTGGAACCTCATCTAGTTTCTCGCCCTTCTCGTTGTCACTGTCAAACTTGGGCATGCTGATCATCTGCACCCGGCCCTTGCGATCCTTGATGACCTTGGTGACAAACTTGACTCCCTTGCCACATCCACCCTCGCCTTCGCCATCGCTGTCACAGCCTCCTCCGTTGTCGGAGCTATCGGCTCCGCAACAGCCGCCCTCGCCACCCGAGTCTTCATCTTCAGACAAGATATCGTGGTCCTTAGGACGAACGTGCGAGATGAGATAGTTGGGGTTGATGCGACGGTGGATGCTTGGGTCCACCATGACGCGGCCATTGATATTGACTTTGACGACAGCCTTCTTCTTCTTGAAGTAAGCCATGCCGTGGTGCGACTTGTAGTGAACACCACTGAGGGTCACAAACTTCTTGCCGCGGCTGATCAGCTTCTGGCGCAGCTGCGATTCCTGCTTGTGGTACTTGAACGGGTAGCAGCTGAGACTGGTGATCTTTCTGGCGCCGCGGAAGTCGGCAATTTCCTCACAAATTCCGCCGTAGCCGAACTGCTTGCCGTCATACTCGAAATACTGTTCGGTTCTCACGTCAGTACGTTGGCATGATTTAGGTCACAGGGTGAATGAGCACTGACCTTGCCCTCGATGTAGTAATACTCGCCCTTCATTATGCTGTAGTGCTTCTCGGCAACCTCTGCCTTGAAAACTCGAGGTTGGTCTTGGCAGCCATAGGTGGTTGTGTACACCAGCGTGTTGGGCTTCCACAGGGCCCAGAGTAGATCAAATGTGATCAGACCATTCTCCAGCATAGGATAGAGACTGGACGAGAGGGGAAGTCAGAAACCATCAACGAAGCGAGGGAGGACAGCAGCCCGAGAAGATCGCTCACCTATTCTTGACAGTATCATAGTCCTTGTCAATGTACTTGACAAGAACCTTGAGATGCTGACGCTTGGTGTCAATGCGCTTCTGCTCCTTCTTGCGGCTGTGCTTGTCACCGCCAGAAATCTTGATCTTCTTAAGATCCTTCAGGTGCTTTCGGAGATCTTCAAGGTATCTGTTGTGAGATACGATAGTCAGCATTTATTGATCGGCTCTCGATCAACTGATGAAACTCACAGGAACAGCAGGTTCGGGTCCAGCTTCGGAGTGTCCTCGACCAAGCTGACGCCCTTGATATTGCCCATGACGTCCTGCAGGCACTCGCGCAGCAGCTTACTCTTGATGTCGATCAGGGTCTGCTTATATTTGCCTTCCCAGTCAAAGGTACGCCGGACGTGGAACACGTACTCGTCGTACTGGGTGTCGTTGGCGCCCTCAGCCGTGTCCTGCAGTTTGTAGTTGTGGATGGTGTTGTCCCAGACCTGGTCCACGCGCTTGAACTCGAGCCTCGCCGTCTTGGGCGTCTTGACCTTGGGCTTCTTTGCCTTTTGGCCATGGTTCAGGTTGCCGGTCAGCAGATAGTTGTTCAGCCCGGTGCCGTCCAGTCCTCCGCCCGGGATGCCCCTGTGGATCCTGTTCCTATCGGCGGCGATATTGCTTGGGGGAGGAGGTTGGTAGCGCAAGGGATCGATGATCATGTTATTGTCACCGGGAAGGCCCATTCTATTGCCATACTGGTGCATCTGGGTGTCCTGGTGCAGCCTGGCTTGTTGCAGCCTGGTCTGTTGCAGCTCTTCGATAAGTTTTGCCATCAGCGGCTTTGAGCCCTTGGGCTTGGTCGTCGACGAGTCGCTGTTGTCGTCAGAGTCAGAAGAGCTCGATTCGCTGTCCGAGGAGGATGCATTGCTCTGGATCGTGAGCTGCTTGGCCTTCTTCGCCTTGGTCTTCTTCTTGGTCTTTTGCTGGCGGCAGTGCTGCTTCTTGCTGGCCTGCTTCTTGTCAACGACTTCGTTCCCGTCCTCTGAATCACTCAGATCCGACTCAGAGGAGGATTCGGCAGCAGACTCCTGGGCGGAAGAGTCAGCTGTCTCGGCTTCGGCAGTCGCGGACTTGCTCGGCTTCCTCCCCTTCTTGGATCGGTTCTTGCTGGAGCATTTCCTTGGCTTCTCGTGAGAGGCATCCTTCTCGGTCGGCGCAGCAGACTCCTGGTTCGAGTGGCTGGCCGGGGCTGGTGGCTCGGATGTCAGCTGCACCTCGTCGCCCATGGCGCTGTCTGGTGGCTTGCTCTCGCGGATGGTGACCACATGGACAGATGAATCCTGAGAATCCATCCTACACACAGTCTGATGGCGCTGTGTTATTCCTCGTTGTGCACTGAGAGAATTGCGACCCGACGCTCAATGCTGAGAATGTGTTCCACCTCTTACAGCGCAGTGTGGGCAGTTCCGGTCAGAAGTGACTGTTGAAAGGATGCTTACTTCAACCCGCGATTCCCACAATGAAGAGAAGAAACGAAGCCAGCTGTGCAGAAATGTTTGTAAAGGTTGAGGGAAACCCAGTGCCCGAATGCAATGTGGGGTTTGGAGGTTTTTGTTGAACCGTAACTTCGGCAGTCAGAAATGATTGATGCTCCGATGCACAATGTGCGATGAGGGAGTGGTGATGCGAACGCGAGCGCGAGCAATGCAGTGGGTGGATGGAGATGTGGTGCCAGTCGTTTAGTCAAGACGTGTGCCTGTAGGTAGCTCCGGCCGGAATCTGCAAGGCGGTTGCGCCAAGGGCCCGACGAAATAGGTCCAATCGTTCAAGAAGGGCGGGATGCAGTGTAGAATGTTTGATGTTGAATGCTACTTGCACAACCGGATCTGGGGCGAGCTGGCGAGCTGCTGGCTGGATGATGGCTGGCTGGAGGGGATTGAGGTTGAAATTTGCCGGATTTGGTGTGGTCGTCGTCGTATGCGAGATGCAAGATGCAAGATGATGTGTTCTGCAAAACCCTGATCAAACCAAAGTCGGTGAGCAAGAAGGACGCCTGACAGAGATCAGGTATCGTGATCTAGGTCTTTGTGGGTAAAGTAGGTTAAGCATACACATGCAGGCACTCATGCGCGAGAAAAAGGTTCAGGTCAGTCGAGTTCCGTCAACTGTTCATCAAGCATGCATGGAAGAGGGGAGAGGTTCGCGCAAAAGATGAAGCCAAGGCAGTCCTGACAGCCGGGCTTTGTATGTACCGGAGCTGGAAGGGAAGACGAAATCACGAAAGGTCAGACAGAGTAGATCAAGTAAGCTGGAAGACAGGCAAGATTGCAGAACTGGTAGCACTTAGACAAATAGATGCGGCGATGGTCTTGTATGGTCACGCCAGAAGGACAATCATGAGCCCACAGGCAGCAGTAGGCAAAAGATACATACTCACTGCTTATTAGTCGCGGAGGAGAGCCAAGTCTGACACGAGAAGGGGATGATTTACTCTTCTAGGCAGATCATGTCGATGGCTGCCTTGGACGGCCAACAAGGCCGGCACCGGTGGCCAACATCCATGGATTTATGTCTAAGGAATCGATCGACTCCGTACTTCTCTCCACATAGCCAGCTCTCTCCCCCCCCTCCCTGTGAGAAGAAGCATTTTTGTGGGATTTTCCCTCTGTCATGGGTTTCACCTTGTGTTGCATGCCACAGAATCCTCTTCCCGCAGTTGTGCATCTCGAAAGGGTTGTCTTTGTGACCTGAGACTGCTCCGTAGTCCAGTGGCTCCACGTGAATGAATCACTCAAGGTCACTGTATTTAGGCGCTTTGTGAGGCGCACACTAGTTGCCTAGGTGGCCTCCAGTTTGGTCATCCCGCTGTTCGCCCTTCTGGATTGGATGAATTTTGGAACCATCGTACCTAACTTCAGCGTCGCGATACGCCGGAAACCACGCTAAACCTCGCCTTTAGGCGGCCCATCTGACTGGAAGTGGTACCCAGGCGCTTGAGGCAGCAAACTTGGGTTTCCTCCCTCACAGATTCTCTGTAGGGTCAATAGATGCCCTTTTCTTCTAGCTCTGCAGAAGCAAAGATAGTTGCTAATATCCAGTGCTCATCAGGCTAGGCTTTGTTTGCTTATCAGGCCCAGACACAGCGAATAGCACGAGTTACCAAGAATCCTCGGGAGCGAGACGGCACCCACGGCTTGGGCACACCCCCCCACTCGACTCACCACAGGACCAGGCTGGCGTGGCTTTCCCTGCCGTGCATTTGCCAAGGCGTGTCGCCAGGCTGATGGGCCACCAGTCTTTGCTCCTGTTCGCCCTGCGGCACTTCTGCATCCTCCAATGGTGGTGAGAGTCCCTCCACGCATAGGGTCCTAGCACCAGCCCACCTGCAGCTCTGCGGAGCCTCCGCCCGCCTCGTCTGGCGACCTAGTGGCCAATGTGGCGCCGAACAACGGTGTGATCATCCTTACCGCCATGTCCAGTCCCACCGCTCTTGTGGACAACAACGGGGTGTCGTCGGTGCTGTGGATGTCTCGATGTACTTGCGGCTCTGCCCTCAACTACATCTTCGATTCAGGATGGGCCCCCCGGGCAGATCGGCTATCCCGGAGGCACACCTCGCACACACGATCTCTCTCGTCCTCTCGATCACTCGGCGATAGGTACACTGGATCTGACCATCTCATGCTCATGCAAGTATCATTCCCCGTTAGGATGATTCTACCTTGTCCAGCCTATTCCGCAAGGCCGCGTTCTCCACGCTCGTTACGTTACCTGCCGCATCCATATGGAAGATGAAGAGGTCGAGCGGCTTGGAGCCGTACATGACCCCGCTTACATACACCCACGTCGAGCAGTCGGTGCTGAACGGCCGTGTCACGTTGGGCCCGCTCAAGTCCTCAAAAACAGCCTTGAACGCTACCCTCTTACCCCCATCCGGCATGGCATCCCAGCGACCCGTCGGATACAGCCTCACGCTGGGTTCCATATGCTCCCAGTAATCGCTCGACACATTCTGTCCGATGGCGACAGAAAGTCTCAACATGTCTGTTCCGTTACTGAACCAGTGGTTAAGGCCGAGGCCAGGCTTCTGGCGATCCACGCCGATGCTCAGTGACGAGTTGAGAGTTCTGCTGGAACTAGCGTAGCTACCACAATAGGTCCTGTTGGCCTGCTCGCGCGCGGTGTACTGCATTGTCGGAAGGTAGGTACTCGACAACGTGTCGGCCAACCCCATCGTGAGACCGCTCGGCATGTCTCCAGCTGCTATGATCGAGAAGCCGATGCCGAAGTCGGGAATCACAGCCAGAACTGTGCTGTACTTCCCCAGGCTACCCGCCTTGTTGAATGTCGTTGCAAATTGGTAGGTCGAGTCTTGGGAAGGCCTCCATGTTAGTACGGCAGGGACTCTTTTTTTGATATATGGGATGGACGCACGCACTTGAAGGCAAGTCAAGCTGTCTCACCCCCCAAGGAATGCCCACGGCCGACTTGGGATCAGAGCTTAGTATTGCTGGCTTAAGCCATCGCCTTGTCAGTGCCTCGGGGAGCAATGACGACCTAAGGATGGCCCTGCCGAGTGTGCTGAGGTCCGATGCTGAAGCATACATGTTCCCAGTTCTGCAGATAGATGTGAGCACTGGGTTTTCTGGACTCCTTTTCGTGGATGAACTCACGGCGACTCGTTGCCCATGTCAAAAGCCCAATTAGTCATGTACCTGTTGCCAGGGATGATGCCCAGGGAATCATTGGGTGTCTTGTAGAATGTGTGAGTCAGATTCAATGGTTTGATGATCCTGTTTTCGACAATCGACTGGAAACTCTTGCCCGCCATCTCCTCCAGAGCATAGGCGAGGATGGCGTAGCCTACATCCGAGTAGGTCGGAGTGACGAAAGGCGCAAACGAGGGCGGCGTCCGCTTGAGACCTTCAAAGAACTCTACCCGCCAAGGAGTTCATGGTCAACCAGTCAGTCGGTCTCTCCCACTTGGAGTCTCTGATCCACTCACGCGATCTGTTGCAGATGAAATAGTTACCGCAAGGCGGCACTTCGGCCTGCGGGATCGGAGGGAAGCCGACATACGTGAGATTCGTCACTGTGGCCTGCTGTGTGAGCTCGCCCAGCAACGCGTCTGTCTCGCTCATTAGCTATGGCCTTCTCATCAACAGCTCAGAGCGGATAGTCTCACAGTCCCTCGTCAGCCCCGACATCTGGCTCGCCAGCGCGCCGATAGTAATGGCATCCCAGTCCGTTGTCAAGATCGAGTGGCTCGTCGCCCCGTTGACCCGGGCCTCGTCCGCCATGGCCCGCAGCTCGGGCACATACTTGGTGATGGGCTCGTTCCAGCTACTGTCGCCAACCTCGGCCAGGAACGCCAGTACCGTGTACACCTTGGTCACGCTGCCCAGGCGGTACACCGTGTCGCCGTCGACTTTACTCACGCCCGTCGAGTTGAGCTCCGGCAGGTTCGGCGCCGTCCAGTAGTGCGACCACAGGGGCTTGTCCTCAGAGGCGGCGAACACCTCGACCGAGTAGGAAAAGTGCTCAGCGCCGACGGACAGGTTGCCCGTCGCGTTGTCGATGTACTGCGGGAAGACGGTGTCGAGGGCGGCGGCCGCGGCCTGAACGCCCGGGGCGGACAGGAGGGATGTGGGCGTTGGGTAGTCCAGGCCGTAGAGGGGGCAGTTTAGCTTGGCCAGGGCCGGGACGGCGCCTAACAAGAGGTTTGCGATGCAAGCCTTGGAGGATGCCATTTGAATGATTGTTTGATGATCTTCTTGAAGGCCAGATCCTACCTAGATGAGGTGAGATGACTATGCTATGGTGTGCTCGTGGAGAATGTCGCCAAGACCATCTTAGACATTCCATTGAACTTATAGGGGATAGGATATAACATGGCCATCATAGGGAATGTGCAGTGTAACCTGGTATGCAGGGGCGAGAGAATTCGTCTAGCCGGGTCTTCGGAGAACGCGTGCTGTAAGCGAGGTTCGTCTGCTAAAGGAAGTAGATATGACAAAATGAGATTAATCTATGATTCGTACCGGCGCCGCGAGACCTATGCCCGCCCCAATGCGGAGTGTTTCGAGGGAGCACCCGGAGGATTGGGTCCTGGGATGGCACGCTGTCACATTAGCCGGCAGCGCAGGCGGTGCTACCCTGAACGTCCCATGGTACAAGGGAGCAGTTTCTCAAAATAGAACGTCTTAATTGCCTATAGGTCTTGTTGTTATCACTGTACGCTGCTTCAGATGGGGTATACCGATCCTTAGCATCGTTCTTCCTTCAGGTCAATGAGCACAGATGTGCGCTGCCGGACGTGGTTGATATGAGGATGCAATGAAGTGAGAGACCGGAATGGGACAGCTGTTTTTAAATATATTTGTTTCTAGTTTCCAACAAACTAGTATGTATAGTCTATGGGCATGTTTCTAGCCTAGTACACACTTTAGGCATTTGCACTGATACTGAGAGGCATCGTCATATCCACCGGGCTCTATATCCAGCCATAGCAGACAGTTTTGCCCCTCTGCTGTCAGGTGGAACAAGAAACACATTCTAGAAGAGATATCGAGATAGCGAACAAGCAAAACTCGTAGTCATGGGTGCTCTTATGCGCCGTGGGGAGACTGGTCAACTCATAGCTAAGGGGGCAATCTTCTCAGAGGGCCGTCCTCAGCATGGACACTTCCAGGTTAGATGCATAGTATATGGATCTGAAATTCCTCACCATGGGAGAGATACGAGCTTAAAGAGGAAGAACACCTAGGTGTCTAGAGTTATTTCATGGTGAAGAAGATATAAGAAATGAAGACAAGGGCACTAGATTTTGCCTTCCTTTAATTGAGCAGGGTAAGAGGAGCCTCAAGTCAAGGGTCTACCGTCATAGAGTGCTAAGAACCCTAGGCTCAAACCTCGCGGACATAGTTTGGGAAGAGCTACATGCCTTTGAGAGATGGCGACTCGGGCCGGTCTATCTCTCGAAGGGCATGACAGCACAGTGCATTCATCGTGTTTGACATCCTGCGTTATAGGCAATTCTCATTCAGTTATTTATCGATCGTTGCAGGATTCCAGAATCGTTTCGCCCATTTTTTAACAGATTTTATTTCAATACTGACTTCTTTGAGCTCTGGCATGAGTCTGGTGCGGCAGATCGATCTAGTATATGTGAACTAAACCCGGTGTGGTGGCAAACTTGGGATGCATGTTGGATGAGATAAACACAGGCATCGCACAATTAAAGGAAATGCCAGTCGCCAGACAAAGGAGAAAAGTGACGAACTGTGACATATTTTAATATATCATAAAAGGGATACAAATCTGCTTTGTTGGTGCCAGGAGTCGAGTGGCAATTCACATAAATGTGAGCCGCTACATCTACTCACGCCCGTCCGAGAGAAGAGGAGGCTTGTCATCCATCATCCGATGTGCCAGTCAGCCAGATTGTGGAATGGCTCCTGGTGTCTGTATGGCTGACCTATTGGGCTCTATGCATGAGTAGCCAGGCTTGCTAGGGTGGAACCAGATCCAAAGTGAGCACATTCCTGGGATCGGAAGTGAGAAGAAGCAAGGTAGCAGGTCACGGGACGAGAATGAGGGGTAGGATGCGAGGGTGAGTTGGGTGGCGTGTCGCGCTGGGGTTGCGAGGCAAAGAGGCTTCGCCCCCCAGCCGCTGTTTCGGGTGGTTCAGTGGATGGGAGGGATGAGGAGGGGGAGGTGAGTCGAGGTGCGGAGATGTATGGCATGTTTTCTGTCAGACCGGCAATTATGGTTCATACTCTGAGGCAATTGGGTGAGCCTTGGGGCCAGTATTAGAAGGGATGATGAGACCAGGTCGACGGAAGCACAGGTGAGGATGGCTTTCGCGCAAAGAGGTGGTCATCAAAAGATAGATCTTATTGTAGACTATGTCGATGTTGCCAAGTACTAGCGATAGACTCTGGAAAATCAATTGCGTTGCGTGAGAACAACGAGCAACTAGGTAGATACAGGTTCCAAGTCCTCAATGACAAGAGTACGGCACGAGTGTGATGACGAGCAGACATTCACTGCTGTCATGCATTGCAGGTAGGTACCGAGGTTATGCATGGGGGTGCAAAGCAAAAACAACAAACATCAAGAACCCCCTGATCCGTCGTATCAATCATCAAACCCTATCACACCAACGGCTCATGCGGGGGAGATGCGGTCGATGCTCTTCTTGATGTTGGTATCGACCCTCTTGGCCACCTTCTCGAGGGGCAGGCGCTGGTCGACCCTCTTGACGGTGCGCTCGACGCGCGGCGTGACCCTCTGGATACCGCGCTCGGCGGCCGGACTAAAGTAGTTGATGTTACGCTCCCAGCGAGGGGCCCATTTTGCCGTCTGCTTGGCCAGGCGCTGGTCGGCGCCAGGGAGGATCATGTAGAAGGGGGCAAAGGCACCGACGCCGGCGATGCTGAAGGAGAGAAGCTCGGTTCGGCCTGCGCGGGGGATGCGGACGGGCATTTTGGGTGGTGTTTTGGTGGTTGTGGGTAAGAAAAGGGCTAGTATTTGGTGACGGGGTAATTTATTGAATTGTCTGTTCTGATGGCGGAAATAAAAAGTCAGTTTCAACACAAACTAAGGATGCCGCAAGTTGTTGTGGTTGTGTTGGTGATGAATTGAGTGAGGAGGGATGGATGAGAGAGTCTGCGGGAATTGGGCCAGCTGGATTATGCAAGCTGTGGTGAGGGGGTGTGCGAGCGAGGTGGCGATGACTCGCGGCTGGGATCTGGCGGCAGTTGTACGTACCCTATTGACAGTTGCGTTGCTTGTCTGGTGTTTTGAGAGGTTGCGGATGGAGTATTACCCTCTGATCCTGTCGATGCTGCCGTCTATTCGATGCAAAATGCCCCTGAGACCCGAGTAGGAAAATAGTATAGAAATGAGCTCTCTCCAAATGTGTAACAATTTGAGGATGATGCGACAGGAATGATGCTGATGGGAGGGGAGGAGCGGGAGCTGTGCTTCCTTTTAAACGGCGGCAAGGCCCTGGACCAGGAATCCGGGGAGTCAACGCAAAAGGATGGTGCGGGCAAGACAGTGATTGGGTTGAGCAGGATCTTGCTCAGCTCCTTGGGAGGGTCGGCATGGGAGGTGACTCGTTCGCAGCAGCAGGAGCATTGGCCATGATCATCTCCCGTCTCGCTTCCATTCTCCCTCTCCCTCTCCCTCTCCCTCTCCCTCTGCCACATGCCTGCCTGGGGTCGCTGTGCTCGCTGTTTTCGCTTGCGACACTGTCCCCTCCCTCCCCTCCATTACAAGTACATCGAATCCTGTAGTTACCTCACCCAGTGCTGGCAAAAACGGCATAGACCAAAAATCCTTAGACAGCTTCGGACTAGACTAGGGCAGACTTGATCGACCCCTGCCTGGCCACAGACGCGCGCCCTCTTGTCCTTCCCACGAATGCAAATCCATCCATCTTCTTGGCTCACTCCTCTCGCTGCTGGCAATGGGCAATTGGCCCCCCCTGCTGGCGTGCGCCCCTTGTCCCTCAAAATCTCTCCAGAAAGCGGGGTTACCAGGTTACATCGCTGCCACGACACCCAATCACAGGCACACCCTCGACGTCACAAACAGTCCAGATCATCCGTTGGCATTGGCTTCTCGTCTCATTTGGGTAGCAGAGATCCCAAGACCTGGAGGGGCCAGCGCAATGAGGGGAAGGGAGGGCTGTGCGGGCAATAACTACCTAGGTAGGTAGAAGCAGAGCGTCGCGAGTAAAATGGCGCGTGTCGCATCGAGGCCAGTCCATAGTCGGCGCTCGAGCTGGTTGGTCACTCGTCGCTCAGCCTTGCATATGCATTCCTGCCTCCTCTCTTCTTTGCCCTGGTGTCCACGGCGGTGCCCGAGTTCCCCTTTCTTTCGCGTTGGATCAATTGATTGATTGAGCATCCCCTCGCTCCTGGTGGTGGTCGGCAAGTAGGCCGACCGACCGTCGAGAAACAATAGTGAGTGGGTCACTGTAAATGCCACTAAGCGAGGCCTGCCCCGCTTCCCCAGACTCCATTCGCTGAAACTCCACTCTCTCCACGATTCAGAGGGCCCGTAGGGCGCCTTTAGGGCACCTTTAGTGGGCAATTGGGGCGCCCACTCTCCGCGGAACACCCTGAAAACATGCCGGCCAGCATATTTGTTGCCCCCGTTCCTGTCCTCGATCAGCTGTTGCTGGGTCAAGCGGTCCGGAGTGATGATGTGTTGCCCGCGGGGTGGACGTCTTCCTTTTCGCCTGGTTGGAACTTTGAGTCTACCGCCAACACGTGCGTTGATCCATATCCGGGCTCCAAGCCTTGGGCAGCGTGCACCAGACTTGAGCTCGGACAGCTGGAGCCACTTATCGTCTCTGGCCCTGCTGATAAGCAAACACACCAAAGGCCAAATCCGATCCGGTGTCGCTATCAAACAGCATGGAGCAAGTAATTCCAGCTGGGGCTTCAAACCCTCCAGGGAAGACACTACATTCAATTATTTCAGTGATCATGTGCTCACCTCTCCAGTACCTGAATTGGCTTGCCACTTGTCTCGTTGCTGGGACCGCTTTGATTGGACAGCGACGCCAAAAGCAGACCATCCACCAGCACCCTAAAGAAGAGGGCGAATCCACAAGTGGACTCTTCGCAAGGCAGGCCAACCCGCGATGGGGATAATGGACTAGTACTTGTACATGTCAACGGTGCTCGCGTGCCAAGCCTTATGAAGATCACTTATATACCTAGGTAGGTAACTTGGTACAATGGTTCCTGGGGCTCCGTCCAACGTCTTCTAGCCTCGTCTCTCCGGTCTCTGTCAGCTTCCGGGACATTCGGCTAGTGAGTGTCTGGCAAGTGTTCCATTCATATGGAGGCTCATAGCACATCAGATATGTTGAGCAGATAGAGAAATGCAGGTTCCAACACCGTCAAGCCGCTTGTCCCAACTCTGGAGATGAGCCCATTTTGATAAATCAGTGCTTCAAGATCGACCAAGCCTCATACCCATCAACACAAGACGCAGAAAGTCTCTCTTGATTTCCGGTTTATTACTCTCGCTACACGTCTAAATCGCCAACGCATATTTTAACAAAATATAGCAGAAGGTGGTTTACTGAGCGAGGGATGCTCCTGGTGGCTCTTATTCAACTCTGACCAGTATTAGCCGGCATCTTCCCAACAAAACTGGCTGATGAAAGTAAACAGTGGGAAAACGCAAAGCCGGGTGTAAACACTAGAGCAACTCGGGAGCACCCTCAGGCAGTCAGCCCCGCTTGAGAAAGCAGGCTCGGGTACACGTAAAGCAGACGCCCTGAGGATGAATCCATGGTCAAGGTCAACTGGCTACAGAGGCAACTCTTCTTGCTGACCTCCCTTGTCTGTTGCAGCAGAACTATCATTTGCTAATTTTGGATGGCAAAACTCCTCACACCTGCAGTATACGACCCTGTACCCGTCCTCTGCCTCCGGCTCATCCTCGTATCCCGGATGCCAATGATGAATCAGGAAGCCCTCAATACCCTCCCTCAGCTTTCTCAGCGTACCGCCCAGGCCATCCTCCCCCCCATCCAAGTAAGCCGCACGCGACAGGCACTGATGTTGTCTAGCCTCCCGGCTCCAGCTCTCGTAGCCCTTGTGGCAGCCCGTCGATGTCTGCCACTGGACGAGCAGGAAGCCACCTTCGCCCTTATCCCAGTCTTCTTCAGCCTTGGCGATGGTCAGAATGACGTGCTTCCACCCACTATAGCGTCGAACAGGAGGGATGTAGTGGCTCGCGCCACGCACGCCGCGGGCGTTGCGCGCCTTCCTCTCGGTGAGGTAGTGCGCCTTGCACTTCTCGGCGCGCTCCTCATCCGTCGCCGACGACGGCATGGGCAGAGCGTACAGGTCAACGCGGTCCGGCTCGTCGCGGCCCTCGGCGCCGCGCGCGTCCCACGTGTCCTCGTGCAGCCTCAGGGCCAGCTCCTTCAGGCGTGAATGGTCCCCGTCGCACCCGGGCCTGGTGTCGTAGACCTGCAGGCCCCATGGCGACCGGCTCGTTGTGTGGTCTTCGTCGGAGCCGTAGGGCCGTGTTGATTTCCAGGCCGAGTAGCACGGCGCTCCATCGTGAGTCTGGACCCGCTCGACCTGCATGCAGGTCTCAATCCTCACCGGCGCCTGGCCTCCAGTTGAGAGTCTTCTGGCCATGCTGCCCTCTAAGGCTGTAGTGTAATTTCATGAATGTGAAACCGTGTAGGCATGAGATTGAAAGATTTCCACGACTGCTTCGAGCAAAGCCCACAGCATTCACCGAAGGATTCTCGCTTCACCGCCACTGCTGTAGGCAACACTTGGCAGAAGATCGAAACACATCACGTCTATATTTAGGGATCTAGCCTGAAATTGCAACTTGACTATTCGTCCCTGGCTGTTCAATCAAGTTCCGAAAGGGAAAAAGGAAAAAAAAAAAAAAAAGAAATGGGATCACACAATCTCTGGCAATTCATGGCCAGGGCCACTCCATTGGGCCCGATGTGCATCTTGAGAGGACCAAAGATCACTGGGACTCCAAAGACATATTGCAGCTTATTAAAAAAAAAAAAAAAAAAAAAAAACAAAGAAGATCCTCACGATGCGCAATTAGCAGTCCCGAGGACTTGCAAGATGCGGATTGAGGGCCGAGAGAGGCTTTCGGCAGTGACTCGGCACACGGGCGACCGGAGCTGCACAATTGTGGGCCGCAAAACTGACCCCGGACCCGTGATGGCGAAGACACAAAGAAAAGCATGACAGATCGCATGATGCGCTGGCCGTCCTGCTCCGAGAATCGTACGAACTTCGGGAAACAGTTCCTGAGTAGTGTCTTCAAAGCGCAATTCTAGGTCTCGGATTGAATGGCCCCAATGCCTCTTTTCCACATTCATGATGAGCTGCTGCACTGAGATGGTTTCAGCGGGATGCTCCGAAAGATTTAAACACCATCGGGATTTGGCGTCAAGTCCACCGCTATCAAGACGGCTAAGCTAGGGGAAAAGGCCCTCACTCTGGTCCGCGCGGGCAGCAGTAGGTAAGTCCTGGTGCCAGTGTTGCTCTCTCTCATCAGCCCGGTGTTGGCTGGGTAAGGGAAGGATCTGTAATTCAAGCAATTTGACATGGCTCGGCGCAGCATGCCAAGCACGGTTGCCGAGCATTGCTCCCGCGCGTCGTCCGATGTAACGACGGCTAACGCACGCCCTGTAGCACGTTTTTTAGGCGACGGCGAGAGAGCTAAGGCATCGTTAGCGGGATGGTTCGAAGCCTCGCGCCTCGAGGGCTTGCAATGGTGTGGCCTGATGACCTGCTGCGCGACCGCACGATTGATATTCGTGGCGGCCGTCGAGCAGAGCGCTGGTTCTTTTACCTGAAGACGCTTATGCCTTTTGTACAGCGAGATCAAACTCAAGAGTCAAATAGTAACGACGTTGCGCTGATCGACCTGGCTTGGGGACGCCGAGACCCGGCCGGCGCCCATGTGGCCCTGCGGGGGAGGATCTCCAGGCTCATTAGGTATCATCTTACCTGGTAGTTAGGGTTCGAGGCCGCCACCGCTAGCACAACGTTAGCTTTGGAGGTTCTTCAAAAAGAACCTCGTCTCTGCGTGTCCCCTTGTTCGGTCGCTGCATTGGTGCTAGGCTCGTCCTTGACGTCAGGCCTCGTTGAGCGTGGTTGCATGGGCCGGCCGAGATAAATCGGGCGAGCGACGGGATCACGGCATCCTGGTTGGCCAGCCCCACGGCGGGTTCCAATGCTGGTGGGTGCTACGAAATTCATGATGTCCTCAAGACACGGACTGCGTGCGCTGCCATCAGGAGTGTGCTTAAAAGGACCAGTTGTGTCCGATCGGGATTCTGATGTGTGGGCAGGTGTGGTGTGCATGGCTTTCCTAGCTCTGAGACTCTTGTACCGGCTTTGACGATCATCATCTACACTTGCCGCTTCCTGCTGTAGTCCTATCTCCAAACCCCGCATTGTGAAGAGTCTGAAGGAGGTGACTTGTCTTGCTGCCACCTCCGGCTACCGATTGTAAAAGGCGTCATCGCCCGCTCAAGGTCTGTCGAGGTTTGACGGGCATCCACACACACACATACACACACGCACATACCCACCCTCACGCGCGCGTGGACACTCACGCTCAATCACTACCTACCTACTGAATACCCACATCCCACATCCCACATCTCTCCTCAGACTAATCCACCCTGTTCTACACCTCCAGACCATCTGGGGCCCCAGGTTGGCACGTCCTGTTCTTATAAGCCCGACCCCCATCTCATCTCGAGTCACCTTCCAGTTCCCCTTCCTTTCTCACCCCCTCCCTCGCAAACATATCGAGGCACATCGTCAAAAAGGGACGCACGCTTCTGCCGATCTGGAAGGCTAGCAGACACGCGCCCATCTGATCACCAATTAACTACCACGTCCATTTGTCCAAGATGACCGACGTAGAGAAGGTCGAGCACGGCCATCATCCCCACAACAACGGCGCCGATAATGGCGTCCTCAACAACGGCGCCGCGGCCGAAGAGCAGCAGGTGCCGCCGCATGCTAACATGACCGTCGGGCAGTACCTCGGCACCCGACTGAGCTCCCTCAAGCCGCCCATGAACAAGACGCCCAACCCGTTCAAGCTGCTGGGGATGCTCAATCGCATGCAGTGGGCCTTTTTCGGCGTCGCATTCTTTGCCTGGGTAAGCAGACTCGGCTTCCAAGAGGGAGACAGACAGACACCAAGTGATTGCAAGTCCACTAACCCGCTGGCATGCACCGTCAACAGACCTGGGACGCCTTCGATTTTTTCACCGTGTCTCTCACCGTTTCCAGTTTGGCCAAGCAGTTCGGCAAGACAAACACTGACATTACCTGGGGCATCACCCTCGTGCTCATGTTCCGCTCCGTCGGCTCGATCCTCTTTGGTATCGCGGCCGATCGGTACGGCCGCAAGTGGCCGTTCATCCTGAACAACGTCCTGTTCATCATTCTGGAGCTGGTAAGTCTGTCTTCTCTTGCCCTTTTTGCCGAAATAAGAGCGCTTGGGCACGCAAAATCAGAAATACTACGCCAACTGGGTTTCGATCATGAGGTGGTTTGATGGCTTGGCATTCAACGCCAATGACGTTGGTGGTGCTCTTCTCTCCGCGGTGCGGACCCAAGTCTGCTTGGCGAAGCTTGTCTTTCAAAGCGACGACTTGGCACACGCAAGTGGTGCCCATTCTCCTTCACCCACCCTCCAAATCACCCACACCCACATGGGTGTGAGGAGAGACAAGAGGATCGGATGACACACGAGGCCACTTCATCAATCAACCGTCTTGGCGGATCGACGCTAACGCGATGCCTCCCATGGCTAGGGTACCGGGTTCTGCAACACCTACCAGCAATTTCTGGCCTGCCGGGCGCTGTTCGGCGTGGCCATGGGCGGTCTGTACGGCAATGCTGCCGCTACTGCCCTTGAGGATCTCCCGTCGGAGGCCCGTGGTTTGATGAGCGGTATCCTGCAACAAGGTGTAAGTTCAATCGAGCCCTCTGCGTTCTCCTTACTTGAGATTCCACACCTCTGACCACAGTTCCGTCCCCATTAGTATGCCTTCGGCTACCTCCTCGCCACCGCCTTCGCCCGCGGCCTCGTCAACACCACCTCGCACGGCTGGCGCCCGCTCTTCTGGTTCGGCGCCTGCCCACCAGTCCTCATCATCCTCTGGCGTCTGATGCTGCCCGAGACCAAGATCTACAAGCAGCACGCGTCGGTGCGCCGCACCGCCAAGACCAGCGGGCCCAGCGTGTCCAAGGTCTTCCTGCGCGAGGGCAAGGTCGCGCTGCGCCGCCACTGGCTCCTGCTCACCTACCTCGTCCTGCTCATGGCCGGCTTCAACTTTGCCTCGCATGGCTCCCAGGACCTCTACCCGACCATGCTCGAGAACCAGTTCGAGTTCTCGCCCAACCGCGTCACCGTCACCCAGGTCTGTGCCAACCTGGGCGCCATGCTCGGCGGCACGGTCGTCGGCTTCTGCAGCCAGATCTTTGGCCGGCGCCTGAGCATCATGGTCATGTGCGTCATCGGCGGCGCCCTCCTGTACCCGTACACCTTCACCTCGAGCAACGCCGTCATCGCCGCCGCCTTCTTCGAGCAGTTCTGCGTCCAGGGCGCGTGGGGCGTCATCCCCATCCACCTCATGGAGCTGTCTCCCGGCGCCTTCCGCACCTTTGTCGTCGGCACCTCGTACCAGCTCGGCAACCTCGTGTCGTCGGCCTCGTCGACCATCGAGTCCACCATCGGCGACCGCTTCCCGCTGCCCCCGACGGCGTCGGGCACCAAGCGCTACGAGTACGGCAAGGTCATCTGCATCTTTATGGGCTGCGTGTACGCCTACGTCCTGCTCCTGACCTTTATCGGGCCCGAGTTCCTCGGCCGCAAGTTTGACGTCGCCCACGACGCCGACGTGCGCGAGGTGGCCGACGAGGAGACGATCCACGATGCCATCCGGCGCCGCGAGCGGCTGGGCATGGGCATGAGCGACGAGGATCTCGAGGACGAGGCGGCCTTCCGTCGCGAGGAGGAGCTCGAGGCGGAGAGGGAGCTGCAGAGGCAGGCACAGAAGGAAAAGGCCGCTGCTGCGCGACCGCAACACTGAGTGCGTGTTACCGCAACGGGTGCTTTACGTGTTTTGGCCCCGTGTCGCGCGCGCTAACAGGCCGGCAAGATTGGGCGGTTGATACCCCAAAGAACTGCTTGCGCTGATCCGTTGGATTTCGCCCAATGGTTCGGCGATCAATGATTCTGGAACGAGTTTGCCAGCGTCCATGGGCGTGTCGCGATGTCTGGAACTGGCACCTCGGTGGATGTGCTGCTGGTTATTTGGAAGTCTTTGACGAGATAGGTACCTATGAATATCAAAGAATGTCAATCACGTCAATCGTTGTACTCGGACAGTGGGTAGGACATCGATGTCCCGTCTCGAGCCCTTCGTCCCTAGCCACTGAAATCCAGTCTTCACATGATGCCTGCACTCCACTAACTCACGCTCCAAGCAAGCTGAAAACCGCTCTCGGCCAGGAATAGCGCGTTTCGGCAGGGCCCACCCACTGAGCCCGACGTCACCACCAGGAAGCTCAAAGCTCCCACCTCCATTTCCTTGTTTGGCTCCCCTGCTCCCACTGCTGCATGCAGCCCAAACTTGGTTTATGTGTTTCGCTCTGAGGATACTCAGCGAAGGGAGTTGACGTATTCCCCTCCCTTCCTGTGTCGCTTCTGGGCTTCTTTGCTGGTCTGAAGCGGTAGAAGGGATTTTGAAAGTCAATTGACTTCATTTTGTCCCTGAATTGGGCGGCTTCAATCCACCAGGCCTTCGAGAAGGAAGACACGACAGACCCAAGCTCAGAGCAACCCCGCAGCCAGCGCCGAACCGAACTGCCCGGATCACGATGAGCGTCAGCAACGCAATGTCCTCGGACTGGCTCGACTGGAGGCGTCTCCTCGGCTTTGAGAGGCGACGCAGCCATCAACATGGCCACTGGTGGAATGACTCTCGCAGACGACGTAAGTCTCGTTGCTCTCCGTCTCTCAAAACTGGCCCAACGCGCGGGAGCTAGCCACCAACTACCCTTTCCCGCAGTGCTGCCCACCTATGCCAACGATGCCATCGAGTCCGCCATCCCCGCGAAAGAGGTCAGCAAGGTCGCCCTGCGCCTGCATCACCTGATCGAGGCCTGCGTGCCCTGCGAGATGGAGGAATCCCAAGTCACCAAGGCGCACAGCAGGGTGATCACCAAGAAGGTCATACAGGCCGCCAAAGAGGCTGGGGGCTCGGAATACCAGGCCTGCGTGGTATGAACACCGGGTGGAGCGAGATCCGCGATAGGACAAGGTTTCTGATCCTCCCCCCCCAGGTTTATTGCTTGCTCGTGAACAAGCGCTGGTTCAAGCACCAGGCCATCGAGGAGCTGTGGGATGCCGAGCTCCACCAAGTCCGTGGTACCGCCTGCGAGGTCATCGCCAAGGGGATGTGAGCTTCAATCCACCACTAATCCCATGCATAATGTGGTGATGGCTGACTTGTGCTGGACAGCATCGAGAATGAGGAAGACACCGCCTACTTAATGCACCAGGTCCTACTGAAGCGGTACTCCATTGTCATCGACAACGAGGAGACTCCGCCCGTCAACGTCATCGAGATGGCGGTCGACTTGCATGCGCTCCGCGTCATTGGCTCCTCGGGATATCAGAAGTGTATCACGTACCTGTGGAAGGGCTGGCTGGTCCAGGACGAGAACGACCCGTCCAACTTTGTCGACTACAAGGATCGCGACAACACCTCCTTCATCGCCCACCTCGACCCTGACAGGATGCGCGCTCCCATGTACCAGAATGCCGCACAGATGCTCATCTCGCTCATCTACCTTGCGCTGTTTACCGGAGCAATCAACACCATCAATCGAGATGGCGACCTGGACTTTGTTGAGGGATTGCTCTATGCCTTCACCTTTGGCTTCCTCTTTGACGAGTTTGCCAAGGTCTGGAAGGCCGGATACCACATCCTCGGCTTCTGGAATGCATTCAATGGTGTCTTGTACTCCCTGCTGATGGTCAGCTTGGCCATGCGCTTCGTCGCCTTTTCCAAGCCCAAGTCGCCCGAGGGCGACAGGGGCTCGAGAGAGATGTTCAATGAGCTCAGCTACAGCTTCCTCGCCTGCACTGCACCCTTGTTCTGGACACGCCTGCTCTTGTATCTGGACAGCTTTCGCTTCTTTGGCGCCATGCTCGTGGTCCTCAAGGTCATGATGAAGGAGTCGGTCATCTTCTTTGCCCTCCTGCTCGTCGTGTGCATTGGCTTCCTCCAGTCGTTTATCGGACTCGACTACGCCAAAGACTTTGTTTTGGGCGACTTCACCTTCATCCTGCAGTCCATGGCCAACGCCCTCATGCAGAGCCCCGACTTCAGCGGCTTTGAGAACTTCGGTCCTCCGTTTGGCATCATCCTCTACTACATCTTTACCTTTATCGTCATGGTCATCCTCCTCAACATCCTCATCGCGCTGTACAACTCATCGTACGAGGACATCTACGGCAACGCCGACGACGAGTACCTCGCGCTCTTCTCGCAAAAGACGATGCAGTTTGTCCGCGCGCCCGACGAGAACGTCTTCATCCCGCCCTTCAATCTGATCGAGGTGTTCTTCTTGGCGCTGCCGCTCGAGTGGTGGATGAACAAGAAGCTGTACGAGCGCATCAACGACGTGGTCATGGCCATCATCTACTCGCCGCTGCTGCTGGTGGCGGCCTACTTTGAAAAGCGCACGGCCATTGAGATTCGGGGGAACCGCAGCCGTGGCGAGGACGACGACGACACGATCGAGGAGTGGGAGCAGATGCGCGACGAGGTCGACTTTGAAGGGGAAGGGTGGGACAAAAAGGTCGAGAGCGCCAAGAGCAACGTCGAGGAGGAGCCGGCGGTGCTCGAGGTGCGGAAGCTCAGGGCCGAGATGGAGGAGCTGAAGAGGATGATCGCCGACTTGGCCAAGGCTGTTGGCGGCGGGGGTGCCGGCGATGGCAAGGAGAAAGGCGAAGGGTCTCAAGACTTGCTAAAGTAATGTAATGGCTCGAATCTCTGTTGCTGGACCCAGATTTCATATACGGACACCGAACCTCTTTGCATTCTAGCCTAATACCATGTTCAATATCACAATGTAGCATTCTCTGAGGTTTGATCCGTGCTGTCCGTGTTGTCCGTGGAATTAAAAGCTACAATAATGGGTGCACACCATCTCCAACTCAGCGGCGGTATGATGTTTGCGTTTGACACCAAGCCAATGCATTCCTACTCCAACTCGCCTGATCGATAAGACAGAATTCTGATAGTCCGCTCTGTGGGTGACGTGCAATGTAGCCGATGAAAGTCTGATGGTCCATCCGTCAGTACGAGACACTTGAACACAAGAACCCCTCCTTGACTGTCCTCTCATACCTCTTCTGCCACTCTCTCCATTTGCAACGACTTACTCATTTGTGTCTCTTGTTCCGCACTCCACTCTCCCTGCGCTCTCTCTCCCTCTTCCTCTCCCGCTGCTCTCTCCTCTTCCTTCTCGCTCTCCACCTCGCTTTCTCCTCCTCGCTCCTCCGCTCCTCTTCCTTCATCTGCTCCTCCTCCAACCAGAGCTCATACGTCAGAGCCGGAACTCGTTTTATGTCTTCCCAGGCAATGCTGGGGTGGAGGCAGTATGCCACGAGGATGTGGGGTCCGACGGGGTCACCCTGCCGCGGCATGTTCAGGATGGTGCCAGCGCAGAAGCCGGGTGGAGCGTAAGGCCAGGTGATTCTCGCGTAGTCTGATATGCGCTTATGTATGTACTCCTCGTAGGCCTGGTCGGGGGCCGAGGTGCCGCTGGCTTGAGGGGCAGACATTGTGGTTGAAGGTCAGCTCCGGGTGGGGGCTTGTTTGAGTTGACGATGTGTACAATTAAAGGGTCCTCAAGGACGCTGATGTTATTGATTGCACTATAGGGTGATGGAGGAAGGTACGCATGCTGTGACTGAGTTCAATTCGGTGGTCTGTTCAAACTCTATATGGCTGTTGCCAAACATGATCACACACCAACATACAAGCTGAGTCTATACTGATAGAGAGTAGAGCACTACGACCAGTTTGACCGAAACTAAATCATATGTGCTGAGAACACAAAAACAGAAGGGCTTTGTTGTGTTGACTATTTATATTTCTCCGCTCATATCCTCAGGAGCCCAAAGGAGACTTCAACAGGTCGACTCAAGTGCCGATTTCGACCAACCGGTACGGCATGCGAGTGGGGAGAGGAATTTCGCCCTGGCGGCTATCATCCAGTTCATCTTGGAGATGTGCTGCACAATCGCTATGCCATCATCCGCAAACTAGGTTACGGATCCTTCTCAACGGTGTGGCTAGCCGCTGATATGAGGTTTGCCGACACCAGATCTTTTTAAGACAAAGTATTACTCACTAACATTCTACTTGGAAATTCAGCGAGTCCCTATGTCGCGATCAAGATCAACAAGGCATGTCCCAAGACAATCAACTCCCGACAAGAACTAGACATGTACTCCCGGATTGCATGCCTCAGCATTCCTCACCAGCCAACTTGCCCAGTCTTCATTCATCCCGATTGCATTCAAATCTCCAGAGGCCCTGCTCAGTCTTCAACAAGGCGCTGGAGTCGACATATGGAGCTTTGACTGTATTGCCTTTGAGTTGCTCACAGGTCAACCACTGTTTCAGATCTCCGATATGGAAGGCGAGTACTTTGAGGAAGAGATCAGAGACGAGCACTTCTCACAGATGTCGCAGATCATCGGACCTCTTCCTGAATGGATCGTGCACGCAGGGCATGGGCATGATCCGGGAATAGACAGCGAGCAAGACCACGATGATATACTTGAACAGCTTGAGCTCGCGTTCCTCAGAAACAAGCCTGCCGGTATCAAGAAAGGAGAGACAGAACAAATATTGGAGCTTCTTCGAAAGACGCTTTGTTACGATCCGGCACATAGGGAACCGGTCTCGTCGCTACTACGGCACCGTTGGTTTGCGGATTCGTGAGCTCGCTGCTTGGCTTATACTCATTCGATTTTCCTCCCATTCAACGGTTGAGTTTGCCAGCGGTCCAGATTACTCGATTTCCCATTCATAGTAGACTTAGAATAATAAAACCGGTCGCATTAGTTCCCGTGAAAACCTGACCTCTCTCCCAATGAATCCAATGCATCTACGCGACCTTCGGTTGCCACTCATCACCGATAACAAGGTTGTCATAACCTATCTGAAAGGTATTGGGCTTCAGCAGAAAGTGGTCCTCGTCGGCTAGAAACAAGTTGTCTCAGCAATATCACCTGTACAGAAGGCGGTTCCACGTGCAGTATTCGACTTACGGAGAATGGCCTTGATAAAGTCTTTGTCCTGTGAGATAGCCTTCCAGTCTTCCAGGCTGTCAACCCAAACCTCCGCAACTCCATCATAGTCCAGGGCCGGAACACCCGTTGCTTGGATCTGCTCCCGCAATTCCGGGGTTATGTGGTGCTATGATGGACTTGTTTGAGCTCTCGAGCCGCGCCGTGTAAAGTATTCCGGGGGGGGGGCTACTGACCTGGTTGTACCTTCGGACTTTCTCTACAAAAAGCTTATTCGCCAAGGCGGGGATAATGTGATTGTTGGCCCAGTAGGCGTGAAAATATTCATCGGTTATGTGCGGCAGCTTTCTGAGGAAGATGGAGATCTTGACATATCTGCCCGGCTTAGGGGCAGGTCCTTTGAGGGCCGGGGCGCTAGACATGATGATTATCTTGGTTGTTTCAGAGGCCACTGCAGTTCAGTCCAGCCCAACAAGACTGGTGTCACCCGTGGCAGGGTCGAGTGGAGTTTTATGTCAGTGATTCTGAACGAGGCTCAGCGGGCACATCATTGCGCCGGCTCCTCTCGTGACCGAAGGGGTGTGCCAAACACTGGTGACGTTTCCCGCCTAACACGCTCCGTTGAGCTGACGACTTGTCGGAAAAGTCAACCGGGCATGTTGTGGGGTAGCCGGCGCTAACAGAACTACCGACTCCTCGATTACAACAGGACTTGGTGCGGCGGGTCCGAGTCGTGAGCCTGGAGCATTACAGTCTGTAATTCCCCTCTTCCGTCTGGACAGAAACGCGGACTGCGAGATGAGGTTCCAACCTGGAGTACTCTTGAAACGGCTTTCCTGAAGTTGACATTTATTCAGTAAGCAAGCATTCAATGATAGTGAGAAATAAACATCCCCAACTCTGCGATCCACCATGTCTCCGGTAAGATCATCCCCTCACATAGATGGCAAGATCTACCGAAACGAAGCAAGCTCTAAGTCCTCTCCGGTCACAACCAGCCCATGAATCACATCGCCATCTCGGTACCAGATCTCGAGGCAGCCATCAAGTTCTACACGGAGATCCTCGGCTTCGTCGAAGTCCGTCCCGCTTCGTTCACAGAACGCGCGGCCAGCCCAGATGCCAGCATCTTCAAGATCTACCCAGCCAGCTTACAGAGCGTGAAAGTCGCCTATCTTACCACCGGGAATGGATGCGGCATAGAGCTCTTTCAGTTTATGGCGCCCCGGTCCGGCGCCGATGACAACAACAACTTTGAACGGGACTACTTCAAGGGCGGTCTTTTCCACTATTGTGTCACAATTCGCAACCCGACGGAAATGTGCGAAGCCATCGTCAAGGCAGGCGGCAGGAAGATTGGGGACGATGTTGACTTGCATAGCGGCAACAAGGCTATTTACGCCGCGGATCCTTGGGGTAACGTGATTGAGTTGCTCAGTTGTAGCTTCGAGAGGTTGATGGCGAACCGCTAGGTATTCGGGGAGATTTTAATATGTACACTCTCTAGTGTCACTTCATATTCATGCGGTCGGGAATGAGCGCAAGTACATTGCTTTCATGGAGAATTATCCAAGTAGTATCATCTATTACGATCTATCTATCTCAATCTCCCGTAGTCCAGCCATGCATGATGAATAAGAATGACACCAGTTTTACCATTTGACAAGTTCTTGCACATTCACGGGCAGTCCTGTAGCCATGGACTTATTCGCACCGCAAGCTACAAGCACTGCATTGCCACCGTCTCTGATGAACGCCGCGCGCTTGAAGTCATCCTTCTTGGCCCCGACGAGGACGTCTTCCAGCAGCACGGGGTCACCTCCACCGTGGCCACCCTCGCCCTTGACAACGTCCACGACGTAGGGCTTGTCCCACAGAGGGTACACTACAATGGTCGTCTGCTCAACACCGCCCTGAATGTAGTTCTTCTCCAGATCTGTCAGACCATGTTTAGTCACCGCCTCCCCCCCAGCAGAGTAGCCACCTTCGGTCACATTGATCTCAATACGGCCCTTGGTGCCGTTGAATGTACACCTGTAGCCCTCCCAGGGGGCGAAGGCGTACGTGTTGTAGGTCATGACCGCGCCGTCCTTGTACTTAATGATCATGGACAGCGTGTCCTCGATGGTGATGCCGTCGGCGAAGCAGTTACGGTCGCGGATGTACCCATCCTCGTGCTCGGCCTCGAGGTAGAGCTTCTTGAGCTGCGCGTTCTTGTCGATGTGGATGGCAAAGGGGTCGTCCTTGGCATCCTCATTGCCCAGGTACCGCTCGCCGAGGTTCTTCTCACCGCGCTTGATGGCGTTCTCCCTGCCGTAGAATTTGAGCCCACCGAGGCAGTAGACCATCTCGGGCTCCGTGCCGAGCCAAAAGTGCACGAGGTCGAAGTGGTGAATCGACTTGTGCATCTGAATGCCACCGCTGTTGGCCTTTTCGCGGTGCCAGCGGCGCATAAAGTCGGAGCCGTGCGCGCAGTCAAGGATCCAGTCCATGTGCACCGTCGAAATGTCGCCGATGAGGCCCGACGCGATAAGCTCGCGGACCTTCGTGTGATGCGGCGCATAGCGGTAGTTAAAGAGCACCCGGATCTGCTTGCCCGTGCGCTTCTCAGCGTCGATCATGGCCTGCAGCTTCTCTTCGTCGATGGTCATGGGTTTCTCGGTAATGGCGTCGCAGCCGAGCTCCATGGCACGGATGCAGTATGTATGGTGGAACTTGTCAATGGTGGTGACGATGACAACATCGGCCTTTTGCTCCTGGACCATCTTGTCAAAGTCCTCGGCCTTGTACGTGGGCACACGCTCGCCGCCGAGCTCCTCGATGCGGTCGTTGGCGGCGTTCATGCGCGTCTGGTTCGTATCACAGATGCCGACGAGCTTGGCCACGTCCTTGTGCTTCTGGATGATGGCCTGATAGTAGAAGGCGGAGCGCACGCCCATGCCAACAATGACATAGCGCTTGACAGCCTGTTCAGACATGATGGTAGATTGTCTTGGATTGGGGGAGGGGGAGCAAGTAAGGGGGACTGCGCTGAGAATGCAAGGAGTGAGGGCGAGTGGTTCTGCAGCTCTTTCAGCAGCAAATCCTGGGTGTCTGCTTATATGTATATGTTCCCATCACTATCGCCACCGGCATCGGGGGCGAAGTGCCGCGGTACTCCGACAATGACGGAGCTCTCCTGCCGCATTCGCATCATTAGTGGGGGATAAGAATGGAGTCCGCCTCTTAATACATTCACATCGTCAAATGATAAGCCATTGCTGGGAGGTTCGGCAACCTTCTGCGACGTTATTCCATAACGAAGGCGTCGAACATGCATACGCGGCGCCGATCGTTGGCCGTACAACCCTTGATGATGGAGGGGCAGAAAACGATAAGAGAACCCCGACCCAAACAGAGTTTAGGGTCTCATTGTGATAAATCAAGATGATCAGAATTCGTGGAGAAATTGCGGTTGGGATTACCTATTTTGGGTCGGCAAGCTTTGCTGTAGCCCCCAACTCTCCACCAACCAAACATCACGGATTTGCTGGTATGTACTGTTCATAGGTGTAGCTATGTAGGAAAGAGGCGACCCCCGTCAGCATCCTGTTAGCACAACTTGATAATCAATTGGTCTTCACTGGAATGGGTATCGATATCATCTGATAAAGGCGTGCCTTTAGAAGCCTATATATTAGGTGTTGCGTACAGAGTAGGTTTACGGACTAGACACCTTGAACGAAAATATTGAACAAAGATCGGACTCATCGGAGAAAATGATATCATTTGTTATGAACAAGCCAAATCCCGAAGGTTGGGAAACAGTCTATAGAACCTAGACCAAATGTGCCTCCGATGAACATGGTTAGTCCCAGCTTAGTTGTCACGATCTTAGACATATGAAATCCTGGTCAATGTCTTCCCAAGCTTCAGGATGCTGTTCATGGACGCAGTCTAGTTGGGTGTGTTGTGCGGGCCCTCGACCCTAATAGTATCGCCCTCACGATGAATGACAACGTGGCGGAACTGTCTAGCCTTCAGACCCTTCTCGTTGAAGAGAATGTCCAACTCCTCGTACGTCCTTCCACCGGTCTCGGGAAGACGGAACCAAGCCCAGATGAAGGTGACAACAGTAAAACTAGCCGTGATCAGCGCAACCTTGCCTTTCAAGTTGGCATACTCAGGGTTAAGCAGGTAAGGAGTGACAATGCTGTTGATGATACCAAGCACCTGATAGGCGGCGCGGGATACAGCGATAGTCTTGGTACGAAGTCGCGTAGCAGACACCTCGCCGTTGATGATGTAAGGGAGCGGACCAAGGGTAAGACACCAGATGCCGAACCAAAGGATGTACAGCGCAGAGGTTGCGAAGCCAAAGGCGGTGCTCTGCTTGGGGATGGCCACGAAGCCCATGGCAAACATCAAGACCGCCTCGACAGCACACCCCCAGAGCCACAGCGTTCGTCGGCCATAGTTACCAGTCAAGGTCATAGAGAGGAGGTTGCCGAGCAGATGCACACCGCCGACTCCCAGGGTCATCTTGAACGAGTCATTGGGGCTCAGACCGGCCTGTTGGAAAAAGAAAGTCGAATAGCCTTGAATGACAAAGCCGGTCAGAACTTGGGATGCCCAGGTGAAAGCAGAGATCTCGGTCCGGCGCAAATCAGTGCCCTTGAAGCAGGCCGTCCACGAAATGTCATCGTCCAAGTCCTGCTCGAGCTTGTTGGTCTCGATCATCAGGGCGACGGCTTTCTTTGCATTCTCTCTCTGTATCTCCTTGGTAGGGGCCGAGGTGAGCCTCATGACCGACTTCTCGGCCTGTTCAATCCTACCCTTGCGCACCAGCCACCAAGGTGACTCGGGGACGAAGAGGGCAAAGGGTAGGATGGCGACTGGCCAGACCCATTGGACAGCAAAGGGGATGCGGTAAGCCCACTCGCTCAGGTTGGTGTTGAGGGTGAAGAGCACCGCGTAGGAGAAGAACTGTCCGATGCCCCAGCAGGTCACAACCCAGGTCTCGAGGTAGCTTCGCAGAACCAAGGGCGCGACTTCAGAAGCGAAAGAAGGTGCCAGGGTGGCGAATATACCCCAGGGAACACCAAGGAGGATTTGACCAACGAACAGCGTCTCGACATTCTTGGCGAAGAACTGGATGAAGATGAGACCGCAAATGATGAACAGGCCCACGTGGAGCGCCTTCTTGTGACCCATTTTGTCAACCAGCCAACCGTTCAGATAAATACCGAACATGTTACCGACAGGCGCAGCAAAGCCGAGGGCCATCTGCCACGGGCCGTACATGACGTACCTCCCCGGGTGGTCGCGCAGTTCGTGACCGTAATGTTTGGTGAAGGCCGGGAAGGCGAAAAAGCCGCTGATGAGAGCCTGGTCGTAGCCGTCCATGATGATACACATGGTGACGAGGCAAGACCAGGCTGCAGCCTTGGGGTACCGCCTGCAACCCTCAAGAAAGCTCGTATTGTGCTCATCCTGGGTAGCCAGAGTAGCATCTTCCTTCAGACGATTCCAGTCCTTGGCAGCCTGAATATCGTTCACATCGCCAGCTGGACCGTCGTGGTCCTCCACATGTCGAGATCCGTCCTTGTTGTCGGTTGACAATGGAGCCGCCATCGTTTCTGGGGAAGTGGCAAAAGCCCAAGGAGAAACAATCGAAATCGATCCAGGAACGTGTTTCCTGGCCACTGCAAATCGACACAACTGGAGTCGATAGAGAATGGAGTGCTTGATCGCCGTAGCATCGAGTGTGGAGGAGGCACAGAGATATTTAACCTTCTCGAGAACCTGGTTGTTGCACTCGAGAACGTCGTGGTGTCAGCGACCCCTGACCTCCACGCCCAACTGTGGCACGGCGTCCTAGGCCGAATCCTGGTCGGAAGGGGGCATGGAGCATGAGCCCACAGGTCAATACTTCGCCCGCCAATCGTCCCGAGGGCTGATAGGTGTCTGACTTTGCTAGCTGGGGTAACCGGCGTGAGTGACTGGAAGGGGATCCAACCTCCCGCATGCCCCCTCAGGTGGTATTAAGACAATCAAGGCCAATGTGCGAGTGTGAGGTGATGTTGGGGCCGTTTCTCCCCACGGGGGGACCACCCACACCTCCCTACAAGAGTTTAGCCCCCCTGTTGATTCGTCGACTGCATCTTCCAACCAACAAGTATGGGAGGCGTTGACTGACCCCCATGGGGCAAGTACCGAGTGTGACCCCTAGTCCGTGTATGGCTTGGCTGAAGACGGAAAACTGACCTGACTACACAGCTTATAAGCGCCCGAAAAGGTGGATTGCTCGTATGTCGCTTCGCCGGCATCGCACGCTCTATGTCGCCTCGGGTCATGTCTCGGGGTAAGTCTGCACGGCATTTGAATGATTATTCGCGTTGGCAGGTGGTCCTTGCATGATCATTGGGTCTATCACTCAGAATCGGGGAGCATGTTCTATGGCCGAGCCCATAATTTGCCAATGTAACGCGCCTGCACCAGCGACGCGATTCGGTTCAGCCCTCGTGATATGCATGCGGAGTGATCAGGCAGGGCGTCGATCCTCCATGTATGACTGGGAGACGGGTCCCCCAGTTGGAGAACGACATGGATTGCTCCAAGCCATGTACATCGTGGGCAGTATTTGGACGTCCCTCCTCTTTCGGGCCTTTTGCTATTTCATGGAAGAACGATCTGGGGTGTGAGGATGTGACATGGCCGCATTCCCACCACGTCGGTGCGCCAGGAAATGAACAGGTTTGCCAAGTTCGCACCGTTTGTCTGCTGTGCCGTAGCCCATTTGGATGCAATTCGCTCGCGAACAAGACTCCATGTTCGTCGCAGCGCCGGGACTGTGGGCGGCAATGGAGAGAAGTTGAGATGCCAAGCAATAAGCTTGACTTCAAGCATTGAGCCAACCCTTTGCCTTTGAATCTTGACTCCTGGCGACGTTGAAGACCAAAGAGGAGTCTTGGGCGGACAAATGTGTGCCTGCTACGTAACATATCCGTCCGACAAGGTGCCATGTGCCCATTTCCGTGCAGGATACATGGATGCGGAGAAGGGCCCCAACGGCGCATTGTACCAGTACGTACAAACTAGTACGATCGCTTGTAGGTATTTAATACGCCCCCAGACCTGCCCACTTGCCCACTTGCCCTTGACCGGCACTGATCAGCACCGAGCCTATGCGGAGAAGTTGCTAGGTTCGTGTTGATCTCCAGAGCAAGCCCCTCATCCAGCAGCGGAGGCTTACCGGCTTTGGGTCGGCTCAGAGGTCCATCTCCACACTCTCGTCGAATCGATGCTCCGAAAAAGGAGTCCTGCCGACCAACAACTCTCTACATACGTGGGACCACCGCCCTCCATTTGGCAAGAATGCAATCACTCGCCTCGAGATGCGAGTAACACAGTCAAGCAAAGCCAACGCGTGAGGAACTAACTGCACATTGAATCACCCAGATCCAGATCCAGCTCCAGGGCGCGCGTTCACCAGCGGCACAATGCCAGCACCCCGACGGGATCTGACCTCTGACCCTGACCCACTGATCTGATCCAGAGATCCGAAACCAGTATCCATGCAATTCGTATGGCAGTCGTCTGATGCACCATCCAGTCGCAAGCGAACATCACAAGATAAGTTCCCCTGGCGATCAACTCGTCAACCCCACACAGCTTGACCGACGGCCCTTTAGCTAACATTGAACCGCTTCGCCGTCTTCTCACCCTGCCAAACTTGTCGTGCTCGCAAGAAGAGGTGCTATCACATCGAAGACGCCCAGAATGGCGCAAAGGCCAACGGCAGCGAGAGGCCGGAAAAGGCCAGGCGCCTAGCCACAATTCAAGTTGCAGAGACACACACTAGAGAGTCTAGCCCAGTTCCCGGCCGTGTGAGTGCCTATAACCCAGAGTCTGTGCTGGAAGATCTTGCCAAGCCTCGCGACCCTGCGGAATCACAGCAAGATTGCCCTACACATCTGGGTTCCCAAGAGAGTCCCTTGACGGACCACCACTGCCACGCGACGGTGCAACGATCACAGCGCAAGTTGAACTGGTACAGGCGATACAAGCGGCGTCATGTTCCCAAGCTCACTGAGAGCCACCGCCGGTACCTCGAGGAGGCCGGGGCATTCCTAGAGCTGCCCCGTGCCACAACCGATGCGCTTTTGCCGATTTACAACTCACTGCTGGATGACCTCATCGCTCTCGTCGACGGGCCCACTGCCTTCCGCGATTACAGCAACGGGCAGGCTTCACCGTACCTAGTCCGCGCGATTTGTCTTGTGACTTGCAAGACGAAACATGCGGCTCCTTTCCTTCGACTCAGCGAGGATGGACCCGTGCTCGAACCCCTCAAGTTCGCGTCTCGGATTCTGTCCGGTCTCGATGCGGCGATGAAAGCAGAACTCGAACCCGACAGGGTAACCCGAATCCGAGTCCTCGCCCTCATGTCTCTGAGCAACAACGGCAACAGCGGCGTCGACCGCGCGTACAGCTACCTGTCTCAGGCCATCTCCGAAGGCTGGACAATGTCCATCCACTGGAACATCCCCGGCAACCCGGACCAGGAGCAGTGCGACCTGCTGTGGTGGACCCTGCGCAACTTTGACCGTCTCAACAAGCCCATTATGGGCGCGGCGCCGTTCATGATCGACGACGCCGACATCGGGATCGACCGTACGACCCCAAAACCTGGCCACTACAAGACGGAGATCATGGCAATATCGCTCGTCCTCGGCGACCTCATGGCGCAGGCCACACGGGTGTACAAGGCAACGTCCGTGGCCAGGGAGGACAACAGCGACGACTTCCCAACGCTAGCCGACGTCACATATGGCACCACCTTCCATAGCTTTCACAAGTCTCATCGAGCGTACCTCGAGCTGTGGTACCACATAGCGGCCATGCTGTCCTGCAAGTACAGCGGGCCGGGCTCCATCCCCTACAACCGGCGACTCGCGTCTGCAGACCGCATCCTCGAGATCATCTCCTGTGGTGGGCACGAAGCCTTGCCTCCGCTCCCGCTGGTCCCCTACGCGATGGCCATGTCTACGACGATGATATACCAAGCCCTGCGGGAGAACCAGCGCGATTTCGAGAGGGCTTACAAGGATCTCGAGCTGTGCTGTCAGGCGCTGGAGGCGCTCCATAAGCGCTTCCCCTACGTGAGGAACATCTTGAAACTTGCCAAGCAGCTTCTGGAGCTCTTGGCCCGCTCGGGTACGAAGCAGATAGCAGAGAACGTCGAGCCTCCACGCGAACATTCCGCTGCCATGGTCCTGGCTACCATGAACGGCACGCCCCAGCCGGTAGAGCAGCCACAGCAAGCCAACGAGGACCAAGACGTGGACGGCTTCGTCATGCCATCTATTTCGGTCGCTTCAGTCCCACAGATTGAACAACCGGCCGAGAACGAAAACAACACAGAATTCCAAGCCCAGCTATCCGAGGCATACCCCAACATCGACGCCTCGTATACTCAGCTGGACAGCCAGTTCCACAATCTCTTTGACTACGACATGCCCAACTTCTTCCGCACCCCTGCGACCTGGGAATACATCAACACCGGGGCAGCGGGAGGTAAGGGCACGGGCGAGGACAGCTCTGCTGGTGGCGGAAGCGAGTTCCAGTTTTCGTATCTCAGCTCGCCCGAGATTGACTTTGATTATCAGCAGATGCAAGCTCCTCCACCACCTTATTAAGGTGGTATCATGAATGCAATTGCTTTTTTGTCTTGTTTGCCAATACGTTACGAACCCTTCACCATATCGAGCCTGTCGCAATTACATGAGCGTGATGCCTTTCCAGATTCTGGGCTCCAGTCAGGCTGTAATTAGCTGCGGGCGGGTCGTGAATCTCCGAAAGGGACGGGGCCCGGGCCGAAGGACGTGGGGCAGGGAAATAATATCCGGACGCGGGACTAGTGCGAGGCCGGATGATGCTTTTCCCCGTAGAACCCCAGACTATGAGGCGCATGCCATGCATTGAAGAGTTTCCCTAAGATTGTTCTATGACAAGAACGTGAGTCACTGTACTGCGTTGCGTTGCATGTTTGCATGTGGAACCGGCCCGCCCACGAGGTGAGTTGGATCTCGCCGCAGCATAACATCCAGCAACTGATGGATAGTGACAACAACACAGGCATCACACGAAGGCAAGGTCGCCTAGTTTCGACACGTCGAATGTGTCGAATGTCATCACCCTTGAGTGAGCTACCCACGCACCACTCCCCACACAGACGAAGAGCCATGGCCGCACTTCCCCCAAAGGACCTCTCCGGCAAGGGCATCCTCTACGTCCAGTCGCGCATCTCCCGCCCAGACATAGTCGACGAAGACACCTACTTCAGGTGGTATGACGACGACCACATCGCCGAGATCCTAACCACGGGCGGCATCGACTCGGCCAGGCGGCACTTCCATGTCGACAGGGACAAGACCGACGGGACCGCGCCGCAGATGCCTTTCCTGGCCTTGTATCCCATGGACGACCTGGCGTTTCTGCTGAGCGATCGTTTCCGCAAGATCCGCGTGCACAGCGATGTCCTCCCCGGTAGCGGGCTGTGCTACGACCTGATGGACGTGGACGTCGGGTATTACAACCTGGTCATGGTGTGGGATCAGGCGAGGAAGGGCAAAGGTGAGTTGCTTTGCCACGCACAGACTGTCAGTGCTACCCTACGGTCATCGGGGCGGCTGACGAGACCATCTCCAGGACTCACCAAGACAATCATCACCGTACAGATGGACCCTGGAGATGACATGACCCCTGAGGAGGTAGACAAGTGGTACCGCCAAGAGGCAAGCGATCCCGACCAACCAACCAAGCCCCCCCCCCCCCCTTTTCCAAACCCTCCGCTGACCCTACCGTCCTCTCCTTTTCTTCCCGCGTAGCACTGCCCTCAGCTGTCCCAATACCCAGGCTACCTCCGCACGACGCGCTTCAAGCTCGCGTACGCCCGCTCAAACGCCCAGTCACGCGCCTTCAAGGGCCTGCCCGTCGACGGCGACAGCTCTCTCCCGCCTACCCCGCCGCAGTGGCTCACCATCCATGAGTTCGCCCAGGACGCATCTGAACTCGATCCGGTCGCTATGGGCAAGCTGACCCAGACCGAGTGGACCGAGAAGGTCTGGGGCGGGGCCAAGCGCAAGATCGTCAACGTCTACCGCGTCGTCAAGGAGCACGGCGAGAACGACTGGTTCCACGGTGTTGAGATGTAGAGGGAGAGAAGAAGATAGGCGGGGGGGGAGAGAAGGTGGAAAGGGATATGGGAAGAGGTGGTAGGGAATAGAAGACAAGAAAGATCCTACCGTCAGTTAGATGTCACACACATATTACTCAAGCCTTGATTCGTGAACTGGCTGACACGCAATATTCACAACCACTGATCGGTGACTAGGGAACTCGACTAGAAGAACTCGTAGCGTGGTAACCATGGTCATATCGTGACGCTGCTCATTCTCCCCTCCTCTGAAAGCTAAAGTTACATGCTTTATCTTGGATCTGTACAACACAGAAAATGAATTCAAAAGCAGCGCGAAACAAAGAGCTAGGGATGCTAGCCCGTCGTGAAGGCAAGGAGGAACATGCTCAGATGGCCAATCTCTCCTGCACCAGTCGTCTCATTCTTTTTTCTTTCCGCGCGACATCAGGAGCAATGCTTTGGGAATTTGATCGATACACCGTTTGTGGGAAGAAGCGAGACACAGTTCCCAAGTGCTTCTCGAGTCGCGAAGAGAACAACGCCGACAGTCATCAAGGAAACCAAAGAGAAAACAACACATCAAAAAGCAAAAACAGACAGCTCTGACCGATTTAGTCGAGATCTTTTTCAAAAGACAGACAACAAAAGACAAACACAACACACACATGAATAACCATCCCCAGCCGTCTGACCAATACAAAGACGAAAGCAGACAAACGTCTGCAAGACCAGTGAAAGACCAGCAACGCCATCAGCAAGGGCTGATTGTCTATGATCCGAACCTCGGACGTAGTTTCGCAAGGTGAGAGGTTTGCATATGAGCGACCTCCACCCCTCGCCCACTCCAGACTCCCGCATCCAGAACCCGCAAAGCTCTCGCAACCCAATATTATCCGTACACCGTACACGGTACATCACACACTTTCCGCCGTCTTTCCACTCCCAGACATAGTGGTCGTAATCCTCGCGGAGACAAAGGTGCGCTCGTATCCAGCCCCTGAAATGGAAAAGCCTTCAAGTCGGAGCACTGCTTTCCGATCTCAGTATCCTGCGCGCGCCAAGGGGCGTAGGAACCTGCTGGGTGAAGACATTGAGGTCACTTACACACCGCCGCCCATGAATGCCGCCAGGTCGTCGAGCTCCAGGAGCTGACGCTCAAACGCATTGCAGAGCTCCTTGGCCGTGATCTCGACGGTAGGTCCATTCTGGTGGTTCGGTGCTGGGGCACCGGCCGCCGAATGGCTGGACTGAGGCTCGGGCGATTCAACCTTGGCGGCGGGGTTGACAGGAGGTGGGCTGCTGGTGGCCGGGGTCGATGCGCCGGCAGAGCCGCCATTGATGGTGGCGATGCCCGGGCGCCGCTGGACGGGCGGCTCGCTGTCGCGGTTCTCGGGCTTGGGAGCCGGCTCCTGCGAGTTGCGAGCCTGAGATTGCTGCTCGTAGTCCATGGCATCAGGGTTGGTGTCGGGCTGCGACGCGACATCGTCCCTAACGTAGGGCGAGTCCTGCCGAGGGGCCTTGTTCTCGTCATGGGAGGCCGAGCGATCGTCGCGCGAGTTCACGTCCCGAAGGACCTTGGCCATGACAGAGAGGTGGCGGTTCCACGGGACCACCAGAGGCCAGGACTCGGCGCCGTCATGCATGAGCCGCAGGCTGTCGCGCACGATGTGCGAAGCAGTCTCGGTGGCGTTGGGCGGGGCGAGTCCCTTCAGGTACAGATAGGCCACGGTGGAGCCAGCCGTGAATGCCGCAAAGAGCATGAAGATGGGGAAGCACAACAGGCTGTCCTTATCAGCACCGTTCTCGAGAGCAATGAGCATCGAGATGATGTTGTGGGAGGCGCTGAAGATGCGATCTACCATGTACGTGTGCGACGAGACGCGCCAAGCCTCGACGTTGAACCCCTCGGTTGTAACCTGCTGCAGAATGCGCCGGCGGTTGACAAAGATGGTGGCGCAGTGCAGGAGACAATGGATCATGGCATAAGTGAAGCCACTCCCCATGGTGATGTGCAGGCTGACCTGGCCAGGCTTCTCGGCAAAGTGCATGGGCAGTGACTGGCTGATGGCCTCGATGTCGCGCTCCAGCTCGACGCACTGCTCCTCGGAAAAGGTGTCAATGGTCGTAGTGGTCATCATCTCGACCACGTTGCGCCAGGCCCTGGTGGCCAGGACAATATGGCCAAACTCGCCAACGTCGGCCGGCGCCATGGTGGGGTCCGGGGCGTTGCTGGGCGTGGTGCCGCTGAGAGTGCGAACGTAGACGGGGCTCCCGAAATGGTAGTTCATGTCCTGGCAAGGAAGGGCCACGTCATTGACATCGTGCGAGGACAGAGCCGGGTGGCGGCCGGGGCTGCTGGTCAGGAAGCAGTCGAGAATGTAGATGAGCCACAGAGTGCGGCGGAACGACTCCTGCTTGAGGAACTGCTCCGGGTCGGCAGCGGCATGGCTCTGCTGCACAATGTTGTACATCTGGGCCATGCGAGCAGCTTGGCCGAGGTAGATGTAGGCCCGGACAGCGTTGCGACAGCCCCACTCATGAATGACAAGCAGGCACAGGGCCTGGATGTCGGCAAGGCTCGGGTGGTCGAGCGACTGCATGATGAGATTGATCGTCTTGAGCGCAAAATGCTCAGCTGCTGCCGTGCCACCTCCGTGGCCGCCATAGCGACGAATCATAACAGGCGAGTGCCTGCAGAATCGACCAATGTCAGTAAGCTGCAGTGACAACCAAAAAGTAACGTCCGGAGCTAGGGGCGAGAACGGCGGGAATCGGAAGTTTCTCGGCGATCACGTGGCAGCCGGAATGCTGCAACTCTGCGGTACAACAAGTGGAGCCGTGGCCGACGAAAGGCCGAGGCCCTTGAAATGGCAGGATTGATTCCCAGGCACCATGGGCGCATAACGAGCGAGTAGAGACAACCAGAGAGCAGGGAACAAAAACAAGGTTTAGAAAACAATGAAACTTACCGAGCGGCGGTGGTGAGAAGGGCATGGACCATGGTCGGGTCCATGGTGGTGCTCTTCAGCTGTTGCAGGAATGACGGCTTGTGGAAGGCGACGCAGGCGGGCAGCGTCTTGGAAATGACCCGCTCGCACTCGGCCATCAACTCGGGAGTGAGCCTGTAGCGCTGCTTGTTAGTCGACGGATTCTCCAGTCAGGGCGACACGAGGCCCGGAGGATCTGCAGGCGTGTAACACGCATAGGCCAAATTCATTCGGGCAATGTTGACGGCTTTTTGGCTTTTTGCAAGCAAACGATAGGATTGGCACACGGGTGTTTGGACCGTGCACAGGGTAGAAGGAGAATGGGTTGAAGGAGTGGAGTGGGCCGTTTGGGCAATGGTATGGGATTCGGGATGGACGGGGGGGAAGGTAGAGTTTCGGAGGTGAAGGGTGGAGCATTTTGGGGTGGCTGTGACAAGCTCCGGAGCTGGGACGAGCCCGCTGGGATCGACACGCGGCGAAGGACCAGCCAGAGTTTTCTGTCGCGAAGCCACGGTGCATGCGGCTTGCGACTTGCGACTTGAGACTGAGGCTCCCTCGACCGGTTGACTGCTGCCGCCGCTGCTCGCTCTGGGCAGACGACGAAAGGGTAGAAAAGGCCAAGAGCCCATGCCCACAGATCACCCTCGTCGTGGTCGGTGGGTGGCCGTCGAGGGACAAGGTGCCAAACCAGATTTGACACCTGTTCCGCGATGCCCGAGGGCGCACAGTGTAGCCAAGGCCCCGGCCACACGGCCAGCCAACAAGCTCCGAACCAGTCACCCCAACCCGATTCATGCGGGAAAAAAACTGCCAAAAAAAAAATGACTGTTTTGGTGGGAATGATGAAGGGGAGAGGAGGGAGAGGAGGGAGAGGGGAGATGGATGGCCATGCGAATGAAATAGAAGACGGGGAGAGGAGGGACTCACTTTTCGCTCGAGGTCGCGGCGTGACGCGAAACCGGGGCGGGCTGAACCGGTCTGTCTGTGGCGACTGGGCGACCCTCAGAGGGAAGGGACTCTCGTGCGCGCTGGGGGAGGCGCGCCGGCGAGATGCCGTGGCCGCCATGGCCCATCGACTCGGAGGGCAGATAGCATTCGTGCATGCCCTTGGCGCAGTTTTTGCAAGGTGCGCGTCCGTTTTCGTAGACGCATTTGGTCTTGCCCTTGCGGCAGCGCACACAGGCGCCACCTGCGCGCAGGGCAGTCGCTCGGACGGCCGTGGACATGGTGGGAAGAAAAAAAGAGGGCGCAATCGGTGGAGAGTCAACACAAGACAGTGGTAGTGGAGTTTCCTAGATGTGCCGGAAGGGAATAATGCAGGACCGGAAGGCGGTAGCTGGTTATGAAGCAGATGGTCGCGTGTCTGGGCGGACGCGATGCGGCTTGTCGTGGTGACGCCGGTGATGAAAGAAATCTCGGGCGTTGGTGAGGTGAATGTGTGTGAGAGTGCGGGTGTGTGCCGGTGATGAGGGGGGAGGAATCCAGAGGAGAGGAGAAAGGAAGAGAAGTCGAAAGGGAAGAGCCGAAGGCCAGAATGGGGAGGGCGGACCACGGAGTAAAAAAAGGGAAGGGCAGAGCCGGTAAACGAGGGATGGGGGGGGCGAGATGGGAAAAATCAGGCGGCGGCGACACGGAGGCGGCGGCAGAGCAGGAGGGAAAGTCGACTCTGGGTGGAAGAGACGAGAAGGGGAAGTGAGGAAAATCTGGGGCGCGGGACTCAGCAGCTCCAGCGGCGCGCGTGCGACAGGTACCGCACACAGGAGATTGATTGATTGAGGGTGTGCGTGCGCTGCTGCGTGCGTGTGTGAGCGAGAGGGAGGACGGGCGGTGGTGGCGGGCGCGGCGGGCGGGCGACCTCCTGGTCAGGCAGACGGGTGGCCGTAGACGGGCTGCTGGTCAAGGCGCCCGACCGGCTGTGGTCTGGCTGGCTGGCTGGCTGGCTGGCTGGCCCTGAACTAGGTACCTAACCTTGCTCTCTTGTTATTTTCTTTGTCCCTTATTGCCTCCTTTGCTTCACAATAATTCACCAGGGCTGACCAACTGGCTTGCCGACTGACCGAGATGGAAAGAGACGGATCGAGGAAAACGTGATGGGGGGGGAGGCAACGGCCACAGAAGGGAAACACGCACAGGACAAGGCGCTCGCTCCAGGACGAGACTGGCAGAAACGGACGGATCGGGTCAGGATGCCGGGGGTCGAGGGAGATCCGACCTGGGCGAAATGAAAATAAAAAGTGGGGTGTTGCGTCCTGAGGCGTCTTCTGCGCACCGCCCGTCCTGACACTGGCTGACAGGCTGTCCAGGGTGGGAAAATGGTACCTACCTGGAGCTACCATACCCCGTGTCCCATCTCAACAGTCCCGGCATCTCACCCGTGGAAGTGGACGCTCGCTCTTGGCCTCACTTCACAACCCATGGCCATGGGCAGCAGATAAATTCTGGCCCTTTGATACCCTCTTTGTTTTCTGGCCGAGCTTGGGTCTGTCGATTGCGCCCAGGTTCTGCCTAACTGACTACAAGTACCTCCAGCTACCTACCTTACCTACTTACAGAAGCTGCTCCAGAGGGCGGGCACAGGTACCTAAGGCAAGGCACGCCGCAGAACCTGCGCCCGTGACGCCCCCCGTCCGCCTGCACGGGCGGCCAGAAAAAAACCAACAGGAGTGCCGGCAGTGTTCAGCTGCCGTCAGGCTGCCACAGCACACGAGACCAAGGCTTGGTTGTGCTCTCTCTCTCTCTCTCTCTCCCTGTCTCTCTCTCTTCTCTCCCCCATTTGTAAAAAAAAAAAAAAAAGATAATTCAAGAAACCAGACGTCCTCCCTTTGAATTTTGGATCACAGCAATCTCCTAGACATGCATGCACCAGGCCTCAACAACCTACAGGTACCCAGGCCATCCCGATGTACCGCGGTGCGTGCTCGTTTTAGGCAATGGGTCGTGGTGGTCATGAGCTAGAATGGCCCAGGTTTTGCGCCAGCCCCGAGGGCAGTGTGTGAGCCGATGGCGGAGCCGAGACCCGGCAGCCAATTTGGTCCACCCTCGGGAGAGGGAGGGCGATGGCACGAAAATGGCCAGTACATGTAGCCTGGCGGCCGCACTGGTTCGGCGCAAAAGATGGAACGAGGAAGGAAAAAATGGGGGTCCCAGAAAGACAGTTGAAGAGTTCGTTCGTTCGTTCGTTCGTTCCCCTTGCCCTACCCGTCCGTCTGCCCCGTTGCGACACGCAGCACCAGCCCCGTAAGCACTGGTCCAGAAACACCACGAGATTTGCTAAAAGCGGTATCACATCCTCCTCTCATCGCCTCGGATCCTGGCCAACCTGGTCGCAGCTCGAGTCGGCGATGTATTTATAACCCCTGGGGTGGGCTCGATTGAACGCCGCAAAACAAGGTTGGGCCCGACTGATGGTGGTGATGACAAGGACAATGATGCATGCACTGCCTAGCCCATAGTTAGCCAAGTCGTCGCCGTTCTGGGGTCGCGACAGGCGGTGGTGACCTACCTCTTCCCTACACTAGGTAGGTAGGTAGTTACTTCAGAAAATCAGAGTCTCGAAGATCCCCGGCGGCGGCGGCAGCTGCTGTAGGCTGAAGCTCGTACGGCCTAGGGCAGTGCATGCATGCATGGCATCGCAGCGCAGCGCAGCGTTTCAATGCTGCCACCAGCCGGAACTTGAGCCAACTGCCAGTGGAGGTTGACTGCCTGCCCGAGTCCGATTCAAGTGTTGTCACCATACAAGGACGCAAGCATGGATCGTTTTTTTCAAGACCCTTTCCTCCTTGTTTCTCTCGCTTTGTGACAGGAAATGGGTGCATGCATTGATCCTTGCTTCTTTCGTCTCGTATCTCGAGTCCAATCCCAGGCCATCACAAGTTGGCACCTTACTTACCTAGTAGGGGCAGGCACGCGCAGACAGCAGGCACGCGCACATGCACGTTGAGCGCGCCTGCCCTGCCACAAACCAGAATTAGCACTTCCAGTGCCTACCTTACTTCGTACCTGCCTCTGTACCTACCTGGGGTGCCTGTAGTTAGTTATCTCAGTGGAACTTTTCCTCTCAAGTTTAGTGGACGAGGCCGAATCTCTTCTCTCAATTTCTAGTCTACCAATCTCCATCCGATCTTGTGTGTCGTACCAAATGCTCCAATTCGCACGCTGCTCGACCATGACACTCTTGGGGGGAGAGAGAGAGAGAGAGAGAGAGAGAGAGAGAGAGAGAGAGAGAGAGAGAGACGAGGGCGAGAGGGGAAAGAAAGGAAACCACCGAGTGTGGCTCGTCCCGGGCCCTGATCACCTCATTTGCGACGCGTCCGGGTGCGGGTGGAGCCACAGCTTGCCAGCTGCTGGCATCTCGAGCTGGAGAGACGAGGGCATTCACTGGCCTTGGATCCCAGCTCAACCGGATCTTGTCCTCGCCCATCATCCGTCGACGGCTACATGCTTCGCTTCGTACACGCACCTCCGAGTCTTGCCCGTACACGTCAGACAGGCTTCCTCCACTCGACCTCGACCGCCGTCCCTGTGTCTCTACGGATAGTGGTAGATACAGCCTGAATGGCACCCCTTCGTGCGAGGAACGGGTCTTTCGCACGTACAACCGCACCCCAGCTCACCGGGCCCTTCAGGAAAGAAAGAGCATCATGTCGGCGGCATCTTGGAAAGCCCAGTGGGTCGTAAGCTCCGGCTGCACCCTGCCTTGGCAGGACCACGCCTCTCGTCCTCTCACCAGCGACGGGTTTGCTAGGTCCGACACCATGATCTGTCCCAGTCCGAGAAAGGCAAGGCGGCCACACCACGCATCTTCACAAATCTGCTTCCGGGCCATGCCCAGGACCTCCGTGGCAATCTGACGACACTTTTTCAGCCCCGGCTTGCCGGCTCAAAAACACCTGGCAATTTATCTCTAATCAAACCCTGCCCTCAACCTGAGGCACCGCCGAACACTTTCCCCCTATGCCCAGCGCGCACATCAGCGCACCGGCCCTGTCCTAAGTACCCGGGATCCCGAGAAATTTCCAGCGGTTGCTCACAGTCGCCTTCACCGACTGCCGCGTCTGGAGTGACGGGGGCTCGCAGCCCACCAAAAGCACCCATTTTTGCTCTCGAGGTCCCCCCTGTGCTCGACCTTCTGAAAGAATATGAGACAGAGAAACAGCCAAGTCCAAGTCTAACAAGCTTCCTGTGCAGTCATCTCTGTACAATCTGCCGTTTGTCTCCTTCGCGAGCGACGAGCATACCCTCTCCATGCACAGCATGCATTCTGCCCCCCTCCCGCGCATTCGCTGGTGCATCGGGATCCCGAGACGAACCACGAAACCCCTGTTCGTGTTCCGTGAAGCCCGAGAAGCGAAGGGACAATCAGACGCCTCCTGGCGTGCCATCCCAACATGACGCTGGCCTTGGCATTTCAGCCAACGGACACGCTGATACCTTCCAGGGCGATCATTGACCATCCCCGGCCCCCTTTCCATTTATTCCCTTGGTGTAAAAAGCAGAACCTCAGTGGGGCCGCGCCAAATGGTGACACAGTGCAGCACTCCCAAAAAGAACAATCCTATTTTTACTCTTGGTATGCGCAGCGCGAAACATGTTTGCGCAACATGTGAACTAACAACATCTAGGTCTACAATGAAGACAGTGACTCGGGAAGACAGCTGGGTTCGTGCTCATTCCGTCCTGGAGGCGGCATTATGTGGAGAGGAGAGGTGCTTGCCTCCGTAGACCGTCGGGCAGGCTTTCCCAGACAATCGCACGAAATCTGGGCCGGCTGCAAAGCCTAACGGGCTTCGGTGCCATGCTCCATCTACTTGTATCTAGACTATTTTGTTCGACCGGACCGTATCCAAGAAATACCTCGTGCCAGTAACGCCAGCGGACCCGGCCCTTTTACCGGACGCACCGCGCACGCATTGGGATTTACCCCCCGAGGAAATCGCAAGCAGGCAAGTACTCCATACTCGGCACTGGGCCCTTGAGAATTTGCGCGCTCCCCCTCCTCTTCCCCGTCCGTACAGTGCCGCACACTGGCCCCCTAGAGCGCACACATTGCACATGCAATCCCGCATCGCCACGGGCGGGCACACGCGCGCGCGTCATGAGCGACCGCCTAAGCCTTGACGGTGCCGGAGGAGGCGCAAGCTAAACGCCACCTGGTCTCGGGACCGGGTCACTCAACGCATTCAATTGCATCAGGCTGGCATCACCTGAGCCGATCGCCGAACATGGTTTGCTTGTCTCATAGCGAAACATTGACGTGAACTGTGTTTGAAATGAATAGGTACCTAGGTAGTCGGCGGTGCGCCTGCCTCTCCGTCCCCCCTTCAGGGCTCCGGGAGGGGAAGAGGAGAGGGGGGCCCACTGTGCCACATTTGCTGTTTTCTCACCGCCGGGACACCGCCCCGATAGAGAGGCGCGCATACCATAGCTGTTACGATGTGATGGGGAGGGAGTGGACTGCCCCCAATGTGCTGCAATGTGCTGCAGGGATCGCTGGCATCGGAGCTACGCTGGGCGCCTGGGGAGCTTGCTTGGGGCTGGATGAGTCGCTGGTGTGAATCGCGAGGGAATGCGAGGCGGGGCGGGGAGCGGCTGGCCGGCCGCCTCTCTCCCCGGCCTGGCCGGCCACATGCATCAATGGATCAACATTCTACTGGATTGTTCTACAAAGCATCAGGCAGGATAACAAAGCTGGAGGCATCAGTGATAACCGGATAGGCGTGTCAAAAGGCGTCAGAAGCGGGTGATGATTCCGAGGCTGGTGGTATGCCTTGCGGCTCGGACTTGGCAATCTCTACCGTCATCGCTCCGATCCCTGGAAAGCTTTCCGGCCTTCAGCGCAAGGCACATCCGGGTAAGGGTGCATTGACATCAAGAAGTTGTCCGAGCCTGTGACCAGCGGCCATCCTAATCTGAGTGATTGAGAGAGTTCTAGGTGTCATGAGTGAGCCACTTAGATGCATCGACTGGGCATGAGTCTGCTGAATGCTGTCTCGATAGAAGCAACAGAAGTTCCAGATGTCCATATGTTCCATCTAACATTGCACATGTCTACATCAAGAAGCCCTAGACAATAAGCATTCGAGGATCATCCCATCAGTCATCCCGGCCACCCGCCAGCAGCGGCTCGCGCACCCGATCGGCATACGCGTCGTCACCGCTGGCGGCAATCGAGTCCTTCACCCCTAGGGTCTTGTTGTTCTTGCCACCTCCGAGCACCGCCGCCGTGGGCCACTGACCCGTGCGCTCGTTGTAGATCATGCATAGGAAACCGGCCGCGACGACGACCCAGTAGAGGTTGTAGGACACGACGGAGCCGATGGTGGCCGAGTTCTGCCAGCCCAAGAGGGCGTTGAAGACACCCCAGGCGCCGCCGCCGTTGATGTCTGGATTACAGCACTGCAGAACGACACAGATTTAGGTCAGTGAACAACAGAGCAAACAAACGACGGCGAGGAGAGAGAGTGTGAAAGGTCGCTTACGTTAACGTGCCAGACGCTGCGGTCGATGTCGTACGAGCCCGGTCCGGAGCCGAGTTCTGCAGCGTCGCCGCCGACGATCATATTCCACTGAGAGATATCAGTTCACACACATTGTCTCATCTCGAGAGTGGGGTGGAAGAAGGGGGGACCGAGGGGCGTACCTGGCTGGCCTCGAGGTGCCACACACCCTTGGAAAAGAGGCCGGCGGCGACGAGGTAGAGGAAGCAGGTCGAGAAGACGAGGAAGTACTGGATGGGCGCGAAGTTGGAGCTCCTGTTTTTGCGGGGGAGAGTTTCATGTCAGCATACACGGTCACCCACCACACACGCACCCGCTCGTCTGGCAAAGGAAATCGGAAGAAAGCCCGTACTCGTAGATCAAGAACCCAAGAGCCGACCCGGCGACCAGCCCCGCCAGAGCCGCCAGCGGTATCGAGCTAGGCGGGAAGGCCATGCCCACACCCGCGATGAATACCACGCCCTCGAACCCCTCGCGCAGGACCGTGACGAAGGGCAGGACGAACAGGGCGTACTTCTCGCTCGCGTAGGCCATCCGGCTGCGCATCTGCGCCCACGCGCCGCCCGTCCCCCGGGCTACGGCAGGGCGGTCCTTGGCGCTCATGACGGCGGCGAGCTTGGCGGTCCACTTGTCCTGCAGCTTGCTCACGCGCAGGAGCACGGCGCCGACGAGGGTGATGATGACGCTGGCGATGAGGCTGAAGACGCCCTCCCAGACGTCCTCGGCGCCGTCCGGCAGCTCGACCTCGTGGAAGACGGTGATGAGGAGGCCGCCGAGAACGACGCAGACCAGCAGGCCCGAGGCGGTGCCGAGCCAGACCTGCCGCACCATCTTGCGGTAGAGGTGCCGGCGCTGCTGCTGCTGGGCGCCCGAGTCATCGTCGTCCGAGGCAGGGCGGTCGGCGAGCGTCTGCTTGAGGAAGGCGAGAAGGACGGAGACAATGATGGCGGTCTCGAGGGCCTCGCGGAAGGTGATGAAGAAGACGGGCAAGGCGAAGAGGTCGGGCATCTTGGGTGGCGGCAATGCCTCTCTCTGGCTTGGCTGGCTGGCTGGCTGGCTGGCTGGCTGTGTGCTGGAGGTGCCGCTGTTTAGAAGCGGCGAAGATCCGGACAAGGGGCTTCTTCACACCTGTGGTGGGACTTGCCGACTTGTAGATGACGGTGAAAGGGGGGCCTCCTAACAAGTCTTGGTGAATGCAGTAGTCTCTTGTCCTCTCAAACGAGAACCTCTAGATTCAAAAAGAAGCACGTCGGGAAGCCCTGAAATAACGTGGTGTCGAACGCCGGCCGACTTCGGCTAGAGTGTGCGTGTCTCACGACTCACGAGGCCCGCGGTTCCCCATTTTCTCTCGCAGTGGGACCACTTTCTCTTTTTCTCACAGTGAGGATTTTGTGTGTGGTTTGATCCCCTAGAGCGCTTGGCAGATGGATCAGATAAAACAAAAATCCCGCCGACTCGGGAAGCCCAGGACTCGCTCGCGCTAGGTTTTGTTATCAGATCCTGCACTCGGCCCGGGCGACATTGCAGACATGACGGATGGAGCAATGCTACACGCCCGCCCGCGACCGTGACTGCCTACCTAGGTATGTAATTGATCTAGGTACATACTTGTATGTCTCACGTCAACTGCATGCGCGCGAATGGTATGCTTTTTGGCTGCCAAAGGTGAAGGAACACCCTCTAGGTGATGCTTTCCCTGAAGCTTCAGAGACATCCCCGACATCCCCAATGCGGCTCGTCCGGAATCAAGCGGCTCTCAAATCTATCGTGATGAAAATGCCTGACTATGTCTATGGTCTCTGTTGCAAAGATGCGATGGTAAGAAAACAGAAGTATGCGTTGAGATCGCTTGCTATGGGAACAAATAGAGATTCGAAAGAAAATATGAAACACATTGAAACAAAAACCTCAAGCATGCTCATTTCGGTCATGGTTCATGCCTCCCCGAATCCAAACCCAAATCCAATACTGTCATTGCTGCGGCCTCTGAGCCCAGGAACGCACTTCGTCCGGCGTCGTCTCCAAGGACAAGCCGCTATGCTCATCTCGAATTCATGCACACTCGCGGATGACATCAACCTCCTGCTCAAAGCTCTGGATCTCCTCCTCCGACAGCCTCGGGTTCCGCAGAACCAGCGCGAACCCAATCATGGGCACGCACAGACACAACCCGGCGACGCACAGCAGCCGCTGCACGTTCTGGTACGAAGAGATGATGGCCGCCCTGACCTCGGTCCCGACGGGGAAGCCAGGGACGACGTCGAAGGGGTTGTCGTAGACGGCGCGCGCGAGCGTCTCGTTGGGCTGGAAGGCGAGGTTGTCGCGCAGCTGGCCGTACAGGGTCTGCGTCCAGATGGCGCCCGACAGGCACGTGCCCAGGGCGCTGCCGATGTTGTAGAAGGACAGGTACAGGCCCGTCAGCACGGCGACGTGCTCACGCGTGGCCGAGGCCTGGATCGAGGCCTGCGTCGGGTAGGCGAACAGGCCGCCGGCCAGGCCGATGAGCACCTGGCCCCCGACCATGCCGGCACGCGAGGCCGAGTCGGCGCCGCCCGTGTACCGAATCAGGATGAGGAAGGAGACCATGAAGAGACAGGTGCCCCCGACGATGATGTTCTTGAGCCGGCGGGTCTTGTAGATGACCATGCCCACGATGACGCCCGATGCGACGCCGAAAAAGGAGAAGAAGGAGACGATGCGCGTCGCCGTCTCGATGGGGAAGTCAAAGGCGACGACGAGGACTGTGTAGAGGTAGTTGCCCTGGACGTACCAGGCCAAGTTCAGCAGGCTGCGCACGGCGAGCGCGCCCCAGACCCCTCTGTCCCTGAGCAGGTGGAAGGGCACGAGCGGGAAGCGCGCGCCCCGGCGCTCCCAGGTCACGAAGACGGGCACGCAGACGAGGCCGACGGCAAGCGGCACGACGATGGAGGGGCTGCGCCAGTGGTCGAGGTCGACGCCGCCGGCGATGGTGAGGGGCGCGAGCACGAGGGCGAAGGCGGCGACCACGATGGAGAGGCCCACGATGTCGAGCTGGTGGAAGAGCTGCTTGCTCAGCTTGCGCAGGCCGAGCATCTCGAGAGGGCTGCGGTGCTCGTCGAGCACGCCCGACCGGCGGGCCCGCTCGCCGATCGAATAGAGCGTCACGAGCAAGGGCAGGGACGAGACAGAGTAGATGATGCACCACATGCCGATGCCCCAGCGCCAGCTCGTATAGCGCAGCACGGCGGCCGTGATGTTGCCGCTGATCCAGGTATTGATGAGGAACGGGACGGCGGGGATGTAGCTGAAGAAGACGCGGGCGCGCATCGATGAGATGTCGGCGATGAGGACCTCGACGAGCAGGACGACGCAGGTATAGCCGACCTGGTACAGCAGGGCGCCGGCGCAGAAGGCCTCGACCGAGGTGGCCGAGGCCTCGATGGCGGTGCCCAGGACGTACAGGAGCGTGGCCACGACCATGACCTCGAGGCGGCCAAAGACGTCGGCGACCTTGGCGGCGGTGGGCTGGGAGGCGGCGGCCACGACGCCGCGCAGGACGTTGATGGTGGCCTGGTACGAGTGCAGAGAGTAGCTCGAGGTGGCGTAGGGCTGGTAGGCAGAGCGGACTTGAGAGTCAAGGCCGTAGGCATAGCCGACGAGGAAGATGCCAAAGAAGAGGGCGATGCGCTCGCGCTGGGTAAGCTGGGCCGAGATGGCCTCGATGCGGGCTACGCCGGGAGACTTGTCGCCGAGCAGGCCGGCCCCGGCGTAAGGGTTCTTGGGGCTATGGCAGCTGCCGCCGTCGCCATCGGCGGCGCCGTTCCCGGCATCGTCGCCATGTTGTCGGGGCCCAAGTAGCGGGTTGCGCTCGTTGTTGTCGTCGTCCTCGGCGGGAGTGGCGGTGGTGGTGTGATGGGGAGTGGCCCAGACGTGGTGTGCCGGTGTGTCGCTCACAAGGGGCGGATCCTCGCCTGAGGAGCCCATTATTTAGGTTGACATGGGGCAAGAACAAGGGTGGCAAAGGTTAGTTGAACAAAAGACTGTTCTTCCCGCTGGAGTGAGCGAAGAGCGAGAGGTGCGTCTCGGGGTGGCGTGCCTGTCTCTCGAGATCGAGAGGACGGTTGAGTGTGTTTGCTTATGCGGGTGTATTACCAGGCTGCAGGGTGAAACAAAAGGAAGCAGATTGAACCCTTCCTTCCCTGCTATTTGGAGGCAGACACATGGCATGGCTTGCTTCGGCTGCTGGCTTGCTGATTTCCTGGCTGGCTGGCTGAACGACCCTCGATCGGCTGGGGACAGGTCAGGGCGAGTGAAAGAAGAGAGACGACAGGTTAAAGCGGCACAGGAGGTGTGGGGGCTAGTGTGGGAGCCCGAGACAGGCAGCCCCGGAGAAGAGCAGGAGTATTTACTTGTACGAAACGACTGTGGTAGGTAGATGTCTGATGGAACTTGCTCGCGGGCGTGGGCGTGGGCGGTGGTGGCTGTGGTGGAGTGTTGGTGTCGGATGATGCGACAAGCCGAGCAAAAGTACAAGTAGTCCACCGTAGGTACTCAATCGTTCCAGGACCCATGACATGGCATGACTGACCCATGACTTGGGCGTAACTACAAGTACCTAGTTACTTGGACGATTGAAGTACCTCACCTCGGATGCTGGGCTCAATCCAATCCTGTCTTACCGTCTCTCCGGACATACTGGCGACCCTCCCGTGGCGCCAATGCCCGTACCCGTGGATCTGATAAGATAATGTAACTAATGGGGATCTAACCGCCATCGCCGCCGTCCAAACCCCCAAGCCTGTCCGTGGATGGGACCTCACTCCACTATAGAAAACCCACTAGGCGCCCTAAACCTGGCTGCTCTCCGCGCTATGTCTCCCAGGCTGCCAGGCCATTCCCTGAAAGGGCACCAACCCCGCCCGCTGATGATGATGATCGGCCACCGATGTCGCCAACATGCTAGGTAATTACGAACACTCTGTTCCGGTTCCGATTACGAAATACTTTACATACACAACAGAAGCTACCAGTATTTCCAGCCTATGCCTGCCTCTCTGTCTCTCTCTCGAGTGCTTTTTTCAGATCCTGGAGTTCAACAGGGCTTGGCCGGACGAGGCGCCTTAATGCTCTCTCATGGTGATTCAGGCGGTCAATCCAGTGTCGGTCCGAAGACTTGCGTTGGCTGCGTAGCCACTCGGAAATGGCAGATCAATTGATCGAATGCATACCTACCTTGAGTCGGTAGGTTTTATTATTCCCGATGGCGACCGAAGCCCATGCTCTAGTACAGTACTTGTCGAGTCTTCCCACAGCGGCCCACGCATGTCTCACACAAGCCGGCCTCCGTGAATGTCGAAGGGGCCATGTCCGGCCTGCGCACCTCTTGCGTCATGTCCTCGTCCGAGTCGACTTGAGACTCCAGTCGGTCGTCAGGTTCTTTTTATTGTCGCTTTTCTCTCCTTCGGACCTCCAACAACCATTTTCCAGGTGTGCGCTCGCTTCTCCGAGCTTGCATCGGAGCCGCATGTGCCATTCAGTCTACGACACCAGCAATCCAATGCTTTGCGAAAATGCCACTCGGCGGCAAGCCAAGATGAGCCTCCAAGACTGTGATACACCGTCGACGTAAGTATCCGCCGCCTCTGGCGAAGGCTCCTGCCTGGAGCTCGCTCTCCAGCCTGGACGTCGGGTTGGAAATCCACCAGAAGGATTGGCCGAAATGGAGAAAGCAAGCCTAACCAGACGATTCGTATCATCCGTCGCGTCGCACACTTCTCCCTTTTTCCCTTTAGATGAATATTGTGCCCGAAAAGGGTCATCCAGGTAGCACATTTCCAACAAGCGACCAGGCGGTCGGGTTCCGACTCGTAAAGCTAAACTCGGCAATGTTGTCGTCAACGATGCCAAACGCCCTCATGTTGAGGCCTAGCGACAGAGCAGAGAACTTCTGGTTCGCCAATGCACCGAGGTCGAGGTCCTGCTTCTTGCCGGACACATATGTCGCAATCGCCCCGGCCTTGTCCAACACGCCCACGAGCGTCTCGGTGAAGGCAAACTCGCCATAAGACATGGCTGCAATCCGCGGCGGCGGGTCCGTCGGAACGTCATTGACAATAGTGTCTTGGTCCAATACCAGTCAGTCGGTCCCCGATCCAACCAGACCAGGATGGTCGAGAGTCCTCATCTTACTTACCTTGGGTCCAATTCTTCCCCAGCCCCTGTGCCTGTAAAAGCCTCACCGAATCCTGCGCGCTGTCAAACATGAACGCGAGCCCCGCAGATCCGTTCTTGCTGGTCGCCACCGGCACGGCCGCCACGTCCGTGCCGCCCACGGGCTCACCGGGCAGCACAATCTCGAAACCGCGGTGCCAGCTGTACCCGGTCCGGTTGAGCATGCGGACTGGGTGCTCGGAGCTCGACTTGCGCTTGGGGTCGTCGTCCTGATACACCACATACATGGTCGTGTTGTCGACCGTGCAGACGCCCGGGACAGGCGGCCCGCACGGCTTGTGGTACGCCGCCAGCCCGGAACCGTTGAGCGTCGGCACGGCCCACGTCGGCGAGCCCAGGGTCCAGGCGCCGCCGAGTGGGTCGTGCGTGTAGAGCTCGTAGAGGAACATCTGCGAGGACTGGTAGTAGATGTTGAGCTCAAAGTAGTCGCCCAGGGACAACGAGGCGGCGGCCAAGGCGGTGCCGGGCAGGATGTCGATGGCGATGGCCGGGTTGCCCGACATGTTGGCGGCAATGCGGCTCACGTTGACGGCCGCGGACCAGGTCTCGTTCTGCGAGTCCCAGAGCGAGAGCAGGATCGCCTTGGAGGGGCCCTGGTAGAAGACCGCCTGGTGGTCGAAGCCCCCAGGGTCGGTCCAATTAGTCGCCGATACCCTTGATAGGGCATGCAATCTGGGCTCTGGAGCCCCTGATCGCCTCCTCTTGGCGGCGAGCCCCAGGCCCAGACCTAAGCCGAGGGCGAGGGCAAGCAGCAGGACGGAAAGCCCGGCCAGTATAAAGCACCTTCTCCTGCTCCGGCTCCAATAGCGCGATGCACGGGCTTCTGGCTGCTCAACAACCTCCTTCTGGGCGGCCGAAGATGGGTCGGCGCTGGAGCTGCAGGTTTCTGGCAACGACGAGAGGGCGACTTCCTTCTCTGGGACCGGCACGACCTCCTTTTCTGGGAGCGGCACGAGCTCTTTCTCAGTAGAGAATCCATTGTCCCTCTTGTAGGAAACGTCCGAGCTGTTCATGATTGAGCCAGTCGAGCTCTCTGTAGAATTTGACGACGAGACCTGCATCCGGCCGGCCTCTTGTTGCTGTTGCTGGAGCCATTCTTGAGACATCTCGGACAGCACTGTGCTCACGGGCCGGTATCTCTAATATTCCGCATTGGAACGTACTCAAGGAAGTCAACTCGCCTAAAAGCAGAAGACCAAGATATAACCCCCCAACACATTGCATTTGATTGTCTAGGCCGGTTCCTCTCTTCTTGACTGATCTTGACAAGAGCGGTCAAACGGGATCGAGACCATCAAGGGAGTGAGCAGTTCATCCCGGCAGGTTTTTTACTGGCGGATACGGGGACCTGTCAAAGCCCGCCCGAGGGCCCCAGTCCTAGGTGAGAAATTAGTTTAGCCTTCTGCAGCATACTCCGTAAGCCGTAGAAACGAGTTACAGTTGGCCAATCACTCTCCGATCATGCCCCAGAGAGACACCCCTGGCTGACATCAGTCAGTCTGCCGGGTTGTCGATCCTGCCACATGCGGCTTACAACGGGCCTTTTTCCCTTGGGGTGCATACTGCAACGCTGCTAGTTGGCAGTGAAAAGGTTGTTGGAACGGGTTAATTGGACAAAATACTAATTTGATGCGTTGTCTTGGGGTCCTTCGAATCAACATTCCGGGGGTGGCTTCGGACGAGCCCGGTGAAAGCACTGCTGCGGCCGCTACAGGGCTGAAGAGGGGGGTTTCAATCTTCATTGGTAAATGAACTTGAGTGTTCGTATCGACGAATCTGCCCGCCAATGAACAGAACATTGGAGAAATCTGAGAATCTGGTAGGTTTTACCCCCAAATGAATGGTAGTCGAACAGGTAAAGCTTCGAAGCCACCCTCTGCGGACCAACATAAATCAGCAGGTGAAATTGGTAGAGACAGAAAGGCATATCAATATTTTGGGCAATTTCGGTTTGCGGGCCTTCAAGGGTCAAGCCCCGGGCTTTTTATTCTCAATATCGTGCACTAGGTACCTAGAATAATCAATGTCACCCCAATCCTGCATTGCCTCTCTGCCATCTTCACTTCTCACTGTACAACCATGTCGACAGGAATGTATGTCTTGAAGGGAGGCCAACGCGCTCTCCGGGGAAACGACCTCTAAATGGTGGGACTGGTGAGTAACACAGTGTCATCAGGCCTCCTGCGGCCAAGGGAACACGCACAAGCAGTCTTCTTGATGTGAACGATGCGTCCTTTGGTGTTGGAGGCATGGCTACCGAAGGAGCGCTGGTTGGTCATCTCTTCCTTGGACAGGTCCTGTGGGATGGAGGCAGCCTGGTCGGCGGTGCCGGCGGGAGCGGGCCAGACGCTCTTCCAGGGCTGGACGGTCTCCTGCATGTTGCTGAGTTGAAGCGTTTGATGATAAGTGAATTTTCTCTCACAAAGTTTCAAGTGATGACAGGATGGGTTGTACTATGGACGTTTTCTCTGATTGTGAACCCCGTGTCGAGATCTTCGGTGTTGGCTCACGAATATTTATACCCGCAGGAAAGCCCTCACCAGGGTACTTCATTGCCGCGACAAGCGAGCAAAGGGGTTGCATTTGAGCACGTTCTTCCATGGCACAACTTGACGCAATGAAATGTGCTCAAAACCACGCAGGTGTTTTGGCCTTGTCTCGGCTCTTGATTCTGCTTGAGTAGACAAAGCGCATCGAGTGCTACCTTGCGGTGAGTTGCCAAGCCTTACTCCACAACAGTATCTCAACGTTCGTTGGGCAGCATAATGGTTGCATATGCACATCTCTCGACAATGCATCCCGATAATAACTCAAAACTGCGCACACTTCTGGACTCGACCTTCTATTGGCCCCTTCACATGAAAATATCCGCGGAGCACGGTCGCCAAGTTAGTAGGACGGGTTGATATTGTCTAGGCCGAGGCCGATTATGCTCTCTTTCACATCAACTTGTCAGGCAGGTGGCTAAAGAAGGACCAGATGAGACACCGGGAATTCATTGGATATGAAGTAGCAAACTCAACAAGAACGTTCGACTCCCACTCATTGACCCTGGATCACCTGTCCTGTTTGGTAGTGATTTGTTCTTGCCCTTGCCCTCGATCTTGAACAATTGATTGCATTCACCATGTCTACAAACAGCATCACAGCCACTATCCGATACGTAAAGCGCGGCGAGGACCGAAACCCGGGGGAGAAACCCTATATTCTCCACTATGCCGCACCCGCCGGCTTTCCGCAGAACAACTTCACCATCGAGCCCGTCCACGGGATCCGGATCCACAACCTGCGTAGCTCGGGACTGACGTATGATCAGAACGGCATGGCCATCGCGACGATCGATAACAGCGGCGGTATGAAGCCCTCAGACTTTGACGACGATGACTGGATCGAGCGTGTCTATCTCCCCGAGCTACACAAGAGCGTGTGCCGCGCCCTCGGCGCCCAGGATGTTACCATCTTCGACTGGATGCTGCGAAAGCGCTCACCCTCATTCCCCAAGCGAAACTCGGACGAGGAGAATGTCGACGATCACCAGCCCTCGCTATCGGCACATATTGGTAAGTTTCCCTGGCGAACGCTTCGGCCACATTCGTACCGGGTGTTCAGTTTACCGAAGTGAACGCAAGATTACACCACGGGAGAGCTCGGCTCCAGAGTCGACCGATACTTTGGTGACGAGAAGGACGCGATGCTGAGCCGCAAGTACCAGGTTATCAAGTGAGTCCAATCAGGCCTCCGGAGTCAGATCGTGCGTGGCATGGTGGATGCTCACCAAGAATTCGCCTTGATCGCAGCGTTTGGAAGCCACTTGCGGGGCCATGCCGAGACTTCCCCCTCGCATTCCTCGACCCCAAGAGCGTCGACCCAGACAAGGACCTCTTCAAGGTTGATGAGGTTTTCCCCACTGTCGCCAACGAAGTGTTCCAAGTCTACCATAACCCGAACCACAAATGGTACTACATCCCCGACCAACTGGACTCAGAGATCGCCATTTTCAACGCCTTCGACTCGGAAAAGGGCCAGAGCCTGGCGGTGCCCCACTGCTCATTTGATCTGGGCGAGGCCGGATCTGGTATCCCGCGCCAGAGTATCGAGGTTCGGGCCTTTGCGTTCTTTTGACGGGCGTGGAAGGTTCAGGACGGGTGATCGCTAGATACTCGCTCAAACAAGGAAGATAGTTTCATGAGCTTGGCTCTCTAGAAGCTGTTTGGCATCCATAACCCAGGTGAGGTTCCGAGATGTGTATAGTCCCGGTGCGGCAGTAGTGGCAACAGACTCCATGATACTCACATTAGAAGCTCAGTATGAAGTAAGAGGGACCATTTCGGCTCGCGATCTGTCAAGTTCCAGAAATATGCATCATTCCAGAGGATTCATACTCGATGATAAACCTCAGAAGTCTTGACCATCCTTTGTGTCTAAGCGTAGACGATGCTGTACTGTGACTCGTTCCCAAACGAAGAACATTGTTCCCCTGGTGTGTGTTGTTCTGGGCCGCCAAATCATTGATGCCTAACGCTTCCCTCCTTGACCATCTTCCATCAGGTGTGCTAGGATGGTCCAGCATTGCAGTTGCTGGATTTAGTGGTACAGTCAATAATTCCATACCCACAGGCAGTGATAGGCAGGCGTTGAAGTTGAGGCCGACCACGTTGCCATCTGGCCCCACACCGACAGACAATTTGGAACCAACATTCGTTCTGTCCCCCCGAAAGCCTTCTTGGATCCCTCCTTCTTTTGAAAGAAGGAACCCTCCGAGCACAGAATGGAATAGCCGACCAGGTGAATCGGCATGGAGCAATTTCTCCTGTTTCCCCAATTACCACTGGAGCTACAGGACCTCATCTGGGAGAAATCGATACCCAATCCGGCGCGAGGCGCGATCCACGCCCGGCTGGGTTGCCAGACGCTGCACCAGAACGAAGATGGGTCGCGGGGAGGAATCTCCAAGATCAGATATCATCTCCACTATAGAGCGCCGCCCTCGGAGACCGGCACTAGAAATACACATTTCTCGGCGTTATCAACCTTGCTGGTCACCTGTCGTCGGTCCTCCGCCATCGCCATCGCCTCCTACAATGCGAAGCAGCCAGCAGAGGCCCTGGACCTGCGAGGGCTCCGTCATCCGATTGATGCCTTACACGACCTGGTGATCTTTGAGAATGGATGGCAGCAGGAGTGTCGAAAGCCTGGGACGAGGTCAGCCCGCCTATACGAGCCTCGTAAGCTGTTACGCTCCGTTGGTGTGCAGTGGCCTGGTCCCCGGCCCAAGGGACCCGAGGGGTCAATCCATTTCTACCAGTTCAATGCTCTGAACCTCTTCATGAATATTTGGGATACTGAACTCGCTACCATCTATGTCGCCGTGGACCCGGATCAGCTACAAACAGCCAGACGAGACTGGCTTCCGGAGGAGGATCGGGACTGGGATAGTGTGTCGGGATGGGAGGATGCTACTCTGAGAGCATTCTTGGAGGTGTACAGGCAAGACACAGCACGAAGCAACAGGCCCATCTTTGTTTGTGGCAACCGCGAGTATTTCGAGGTAGAGGCGGACGAGCTGAGCCAGCTGGGAGGGCTCGAAGAAGTCGGTGAATTTCTGAGGGTGGCGCAGCTCATGGTTAGCCCTGATGCTGCGGAGGATGATGCACTCGAGGATTATGTAAGGACGAGATGCATGGTTCTTTCATGGCGGGTGGGAAAGGAATAAAGGGTTCATTTCATGTTCATCATCCGGAAAAGGATGGCGTGAGGAGTCCTTGAGGGTTCAGGGTAGTAAAGTACATTAGTTATGGATACAAGACATCCATAATGATAAGATGGAAGTGCACGCAAATAGCGGCGATCCTATATCTCTCTCTAAGCTGGATACAATGCAACACCCTACATCTAGGTTGTTTTCTGTAGGCATGTAGGTATTTCCAACTTGATATCGGGACACTTGAGTGCGTGTCTGATCACGGCCCCCTGTCGAATCGCGAGCCTACGGCCTCTTGCTCTGTAAGCCTGGAACAGTGGAGTCGAAGGTGCCTGAGAGAGATGCCCATCCAATCCAATTCGGCCTTGGTGGATGCCTGGAGCTGCCTGCCCTGGCCCCTGCGTCATCCCGCGCTAGGGTCCCTTTGGGCGCCAGCTAGCCTGAAGGGCTGGAGTGCAAAGGGCCAAAACTGGCGAGGGAGCTCCAGTGGAAACGCGTTCCATCCCGCTGCTTCCCCGCACTCGCAACCCAAAATCGTCAACGAGAGACAACGTGGTCAGACTTCAGCTCTTCCTTTTCTTCTCCCCTCTCGGGCCTGGGTCGTTATTGGAGGCCGCCCACATCCATGGATGAAACTGGTGGCTTGTGATAGCGCCCATTTCACCTACGGAGTACCTAGTAGAATCCAACAATTACTCCGTAGATCCCAGGTCCTCGTCACAAGCTTCTGTGCCAAGCGACTTGTTAACAGGCACCAGGCAAGGCAGCCGGCGCAGCTCACAAACACGCCATCGCCATAAGTTCAGCTGCGCCCCCCTCCTAGCTAGATAAGTGCCTAGTTATCTAGCAGCTGGCTACCTCTTATTTCAATCAAGACTTGATCATTTTACCCCAGTCAAACCCCTCTCCGGTTCTGCAAAACATCCCTTCTCGCACTCTCGCACTCTGTGAAACGCCTGCTGCGCCGAGTTCCGTCCCAGCTGTGCCCTGACTAGCACCCAGACGACGACGACGACGACGACGACGACGACGACGACGACGACGACGACGACGACGATGGAGACTCACAAGCAGGAGTTCCATGTTCGCAAGCTGCAGACGCGCTCTGTGACTCTATTCCCCACGAGGGCCCAGATTGTTCGCGACATCAAGAGTGTTGCTCTCAAGGTAAAATTTGTGCCGAACCTCTGCTCTCCTTTGGCGACCGCTAATACGTTTCCCTTTGCAGCCGGGAACGAACCAGATCACCATCGTCGGTCTAACACCGACAGTCGACGAGAACTCGATCAAGGTCGAAGGAACCGGTTCTGCCACCATCACCGACATTGCGGTAGAATCGCTCCCCAACCGCGACATCTTCCAAGAGATCTACCCCGACTCTGACTCCGACAACTCCTCCGACGACGACGATGAAGACGACGACGATGACGAACTAGAGGACGGCGCAGAACTCAAGGCCGTGCAGGACAAGCTCACCGATCTGCTCGACTGCGAGAAACGCGCCAGAGAACTGGTAGCTAGCGCCGAGAAACGCCTCAAATTCCTCGACTCGTACGGCAACACGATCGACAAGAGGAAGAATGTGCAGGTCGCCGACAACATCGAGGACTACAGGAGAGAGCGAGAGAAGGTGTTCGAGGACCACATGGATGGCACCGTCCGCGAGCGGCAGCTAGGCCGCGAGATCGCTGACCTGGTCAAGGAACAGTCTCGCTTGCTCAAGCTGAAAGCCAAGGAGCAGCAGAAGATCGCCAAGGTCAAGGCCAAGGCCAGAAAGTCCAAGGAGAAAGAGAAGGTCAAGGAGAGGCGACGCGAGGCCGAGAAAGCAAAGGAGAAGGCTCGTATTCGCAAAGAGCGCGAACAGTTCTGGCCAAAGAACTGCTTCACCGTTCGGATCACGCTCGAGGCTACCAGCTTCACACCTGGGTCCTCACGCCGCACGTCGATCGCCAGCGCCACGGATCTGGTCAAGGCAGTGCCCGAAAACGATCCCACCTCGCCTCCAGGCGACGCGAGCGAAGTCGACCTCACTTGCGACCTGTCCTTGACGTACGTTACGGTATCGGCCTTTTGGTCTCCGTCGTACGACCTGTCCCTCTCCACAACTTCGAACACTGCCACCTTGTGCTTCGACGCCAAGCTGACCAACGCAACCTCGGAGACATGGTCCAGCTGCAAGGTCACCTTGTCTACGAGCCAGACCACCTTCTCTGGTCTCGAGGATGCCATACCCACGCTCGCACCGTGGCGCGTCAAGCTTGCGAGGGGTCAAGGTCGCGACTTGATTCTCAACAGCCGAGAAGAGGTCGCGTCCAAGCAGGGATGGCTACAACAGCAACACGGGACGAACTCGGCGGCATATCAAAAGCCGCGGCATCAGCTTTTCGGTGTTGACTCCGTGCCTCCAAATGCGGTCGGCGGGTTATTCTCAACCAACGCCTTCCCGCCTCCGCCTCCGCCTCCTGCTCCTGCTCCTGCAGCACCTGCAGCATCCCAGAACGCCTTCGGCGCTCTCCCCGCCGGCCAGCCCGGACCAGGCGGGTCAGTGTTTGCACAGCCTCGCAGCGCCGCTCTCTTTGGCGCGCCCAACAACTCAGGCGGCGGTGGCCCGTTTGGGTCGTCAAACAACACCGACGCTCGACTGCGGCTGTCATCCTCCGTCCCCATCGCAAGGAAGGCTAAGGTATTGGCACGCGAGTCCGCCGCGACCGAGTCAGAGGAGCTGTCGACTTCGAGCTTTGGACTGGCTGACGACGGTGCGACTATGGTTCCTGAGCCGGATCAAGACTTCCTCGACTTCCAAGACTCTTCGTTTGAAGAGACTGGTCTGACCACAACATACGACCTCCCGGGTGTCAAGACTCTCGCTCCCGGCCCCACAGCCTCCAAGCAGCGCGTGGCCCGCATCGCCTTCTCGGGCGTCGCTTTCAGCCACACCGTCGTCGCCAAGCATAAGCCCGTTGCCTTCCTCAAGGCGCGCCTGCGCAACACCTCCAAGCTGACACTGCTCAAGGGCGCCGCGGGACTGACGCTCGACGGCTCATTCATGGGCCGCGCCACCCTGCCGCGCTGTAGCGCCGGTGACTCGTTCACCATGAGCCTGGGCATCGACCCGGCCATCCGCGTCGTCTATCCCAAGCCCGACGTCAAGAGGTCCCAGTCGGGCCTGTTTTCCAAGGAGGACAGCAGTGTGTACACCCGCTGCCTGACGCTTGAGAACACGCGCGCCTCGGCGGGCAAGCCTGTCTCGCTCACCGTGCTGGACCAGGTGCCCGTCAGCGAGGACGACAAGCTGCGCATCGAGATTCTGCAGCCGTCGGGCGTCGCGAGCGCCGGCGCAAAGGGCGTCGTGACCGGCGCACCGGCCAAGGAGGGCAAGGACCACAAGGAGTGGGGCAGGGCCACTGCGATACTGAAGAAGGGCGGCGAGATCACCTGGGACGTAACGCTCAACGCGGGCAGGGGCGTAAAGCTGCCGCTCGAGTACGAAGTTGCATTGCCGGCGGGCGAAGGGGTTGCGCAGTGCTACTAGGAATTAGGTCCGTCCCAACCGACAGATGATGATGGCGGAGGAAGGAATGGACTTGACGATTCGGTGTCGGTGTCAAAAGAAAACACGCCCCGACCAGAGGTGGCGAAGACACAGCCTGCTTCTTCCAGGGCTGGGATGGACCATTCGCATGTTTCAAGAAATGTTGCCAAGGTACAAAGTTCGTCTTCAGGAACCACGGGTCCCAAGGGTTCCGTCCGGAGGCTGAAGTCGTGGTTTAAGGGGTAACGAACGGTTTCCGGTCAAGGCCAGAGTACCAAGAGTACCAACTCGAGAGGATTGACCAGCGACCTGACTAGATAGCAAAATTCTTCAATACAAGTGAGTTTTGAAGCAGACCTACCCTATGAATCTATGCAATCGAGCGTACCGGATTTGAGAAGTAAATGTACACACAAAGTGATGAAGTACAGTCAGCCAATGGTCGCAATCAACACTGCCTCCCTTCTTGAACACTAAATCACTACTAGTAAGGATATCTAGGGTTTGCCTTTCCAACCTACGCCAACCTATTCAATCCGTTCGGGCCTTTCCATCCACCCGTCCTCAGTCCTCGTGCCTGCGCACCAGCTCGACGGGCGAGGTGTAAAACTTCCTCCCCCACACGAGGTAGTACACGACGGCAAAGATCATAGTGCCACCGAATATTACGGCGTTCCAGTTCATCGTCTCGAGCGTGACGGATGCGTGAGCGGGGAAGAAGATGAAGACCCAGACGACGAGGAGGTACATGACGGCGGCCAGGTTGACCCACAGACCCCAGGGGCCCAGGGACCAACGGCGGTGCGGCAGGGAAGACGAGCCCTTTCGAAGTCGGCGCAGGACGAGGCAGACGAAAGAGATGATGTAGGTTCCCAGCAGCGCCGAGATGGCAAGGGAGCCGATGGCGTTGAAGGCGACGGTGGAGCCGATGTTGATGAGGGAGAGGAGGACCGAAATAACGAAGGTGAGGACGACGGCGTTGAGGGGAATATTCCAGCCTGGTTTGATCTTGATGTTTCGTAGGCAGTTAGTATACTTCATCTCTTTCTATTTACCTTGTCTGCAGCTCGGAGGAGAAGGGCTGGGGACGCACGTTGCTAATAAAGGACGAGAATGGCAGACCCTTGTCGCGCGCGAAGGACCACGTCTGCCGCGATACGGTGGCCACGGTACTGATGCACGCCGATGTGACGTTGACGATGAGGATGGCCGTCATGATGGACGTGCCGGCGTGGCTCTGCGTCACATTGAAGAAAGCCTGGATGAAAGGGTAGCCCGTGGGACTGTCGATGATGTCGAGCACGTCGCCCATGGTGAAGCAGAAGGTAATCACCATGATCCAGCCCATGGTCCCGTTGACTCCCGCGGCCCACATGATGGCCCGGGGTAGCACGATGGACGCGTCCTTGATCTCCTCGGACATATGCACCGCCGAGTCGGCGCCGATGAGCGTGTAGACAGGCGACAGAAGCCCCACCATGAAGGCGAGGCCCATGGTGGACCACTCGCCAAGGTTCAGGAACTCGGTGAAGACCACGCGGGCTGAGTTCCGGGGCGCCAAGGTCCAGAGCGGGACGAGAACGGCGAAGAAGCCGAGGATGTGGACAATCAGGACCATGCCCTCCACCATGGGCAGACGCTTGGCGAGCACGGTGTTGAAGACGATGCAAAAGGCCGTGATGGCGATGACGAGCAGGGTGCCGTGCCAGGCCTCGAACACGTAGCTGTCGCCGAGGTTGAGAACGAGGAGGCCCTGGATCATGGTCCCAGCGAGGAAGGCGAGAGAGGCGAGGCCCACTTGCCAGCCCAGGACGGAGATCCAGCCTGGTTTGTGTTTAATTTTCGGAATGGTTAGCGATATGGCCAGATGATACATTCTGTGAGATACAGGGGAGGCTTACCAACGATGTAACTGATGAAGCGCTGTGACCCTCTGGGGGCGAATTCCGAGATCCAGTGGTACTGGCCACCGGAAGTGGGAGCCCTTTTTCGCCGGCTTGAGTAAAGGTACCGTTCTGTAGGAATTTCAGAAGTATGGCATGCTTACATGGAGGCCATTTCGGCGATCGAGGCAAAGACCATCATGTAGCCGAGCCATACGAAAAGATAGCCCCAGACTAGGCCTGCAGGACCGCCGTTGGCGAGCCCAAATATGTTGGTCCTGGCAGATGCATCGAGTCAGAGCGACTCTTGCGAGTATCATGGGACTGTGATGGACTTACATCAGTGAGATTTCCCAGGTACTCATCAGAGTACACGCAAATCCCAACGTGGAAATGAAACGGAAGTTTCGCTGGTGTTGTTTTATTCATTAGCATTCTGCTGTTATCCATTCAGGGACGATGAGAGAGCATACATTGAGCACCTGAGTCCTCCCCAGCATTCGCATGTCGTGCTCGTCGGCTTGGGTGCCGCCGAGCTTGGACATGTCCTTGAGCTCGAAGCCCTCTTCGAGGTGATCCTGACTATTGGTGGCCCCAATGACCATGTCTTTACTCCCACTCCTTGACATGGCGGTGAATGATCAAAGTCTCTCCTATGTTAGGTCTCGAATTGACTGGTTATTACCGATATCTTTGTTGGTGTTGAAGAGCGTGAGAACGAGGAAAGATGACACAGCTATTGATCAAGAATAGAAACGAGAGAAATTGACACTGGGAAGGGAAATCAGGAGCAAGAAAAATGAAGGCTCGGGACGAGGTGGGTTAGACACGCTCTTGACTCACGGGTAGCAGCGTGGAATTTTTGGATGCTGTTCCTGACCTTCAAAGGGCCCGTGTCATGGCGAGGCTCAGGGACGACGCAATATGAGACCCAAGAGACAGGACCAGCGCCATGGAACTTTGTTCTGGGACAATCTAACACACCCACGGGATCCTGGACGGGGCAACTTGGCCTACTGCAAGTAGGAAATCCCAGATCCAATGGAGGACTGGTCTCTGATTTGCAACCTTGGTCTGTGATTGGGGACGACCCTCCTGGTGGACCTCGGGCTCCTTATCCCTTGGCAAAGTATTGACGGCTTTGCAGGCGGTAGTGGGTGATGATCCTCAATGTGTGGCTTGCGATATGAGTGCCATAATAATGACGGTGTCTGCTTGGATCAAGAGGGATCCGTGTCTATCAAGGGGCCTACGTCCGGAAGTGAGATATGACACCGGGTATCGTAGAAACCCGAAGGCGCGGCCAGGGGACCGAGAGGACGCGGGATGTCAGACAAAGAAGAAAGGCGAGAGCACTTTTGCAAGACATGATCGAAAGACACAGAAGCAGAACCGACGGCTCATTCCCGCTTTTCGTGGAAACAAGCAACGTGGGAAATAACAGGAAAACATGCTACGAAGTAGGTAGACAGGACACGGTGGGTTCAGGGCATCGTATCTCCTGGCAAAAAGGCAGAGGCAGCGACTACGCCACAAATGTCGAGTGCCAGGTGGAAATGAGACCGTCTTGCATAAGATGGAGCCAGGAATGCTTTTCCCTTCCAAGGAGAGCCTTGAGCCATAGGTGTCTGAGCATTCAGCTCCCTTGGGGTATTCACAAAGAGTCACAGACCAGCCCCCACCAAGGAACGCGACCCGCCCTGCGCGGGATCTACGGGCGAAACCGTGGATTTGGACCAGTGGCCGCCCAACCGCCATGGCCGATTATTATCCCTTGCCGCTCCAAGACGCGGCATGTCGTTGCTAGCGCTGGGGCTGGCTTGCAGTCTTGCGGCGGTCGTGATTGGACAGTGTCGTTGGGACAGGGATAAGGCGGGTCGGAGAGACAGCAGAGTCTGCCGAGAAGAAACATGCTTTTGGCCAGCAATCATTGATCTGATTCACCTTGCGAGAAGCATAGCTTGCTTCCGAGACCAACACGACCTGGATGACGAACAGATGGGACATGCCTAGCCCATAGTTCGAAGTGGCAAAAGGCGAGCCGTGAGGTATTGGGTAAGAGAAAGTGGCCAGCAAGGAGAAACCTCGTAAGAGCAACATGGCGGTCCGTTAAAACCACGAGCTTGTGACCGGCTAACCCATCACGCTCAGTGACCGTCTGGGCCTAGCCAGTTCGAGGTAGCGGCCGTTATCTGTTGTTGATCGACGGTGGTGGGGGGGAGGGATGAACTCTGCAAGGATGTAAGGCGATGAAGCTTCAGCCCTCCTTTCTATGGAGGAACGGAGAACCCATTTAGTCAGCCATATTTGGAAGCAATCTGCTATTTGTCCCCACGAGCTGTCTCACTCATCCGGCGTGCCCTGGACTCATACTAAATAGATGAAGGTGAGCGAGTTCGTCGTGTATGCAACGTGAAGAATGGTTCGGTGAGAATTTCCCCCGTTGCACAGTCACATTCGTGAAATATACTGCACCGTGAGCACGCTGCTTTGCAATATTTGCACCCACCGCTCCTATTCATCTCTTCCCTCCCAAATGGCCCGAGAGGTGCATCATGGTGTCTCGCATTTTGCTTTTTCCTGCCGTAAACCAACGAAGAAGACCTGGGCGGTGAACAGGCAGACCGGCCTTTGGCACCCGCGCATTGTCACACAGCCATGCACACTTTCCAGCCCTCGCTAGGCAAAGACTCTCTTCAGTTGATGGACCCCTCCGCCTCTGCTGTGATACGCGGGATCTTCCTCGAGGGGACCGATGTGTGGATGATCAATGACCAACCCATCCGGATCATACCCAGCAGGGCTGTCTCGGGTGAAGTTGTCTAGGTTGCTTTTCTCACATCGAGTGGCCACGGCTCCGCCTGCCCAATGTCGGGAGCGGAACTGGGCAGACGCAGGAATGGCAGGAGGCAGGATGCAGGAGGCAGGATCGGCCGCCACCATTTGATATATTATTCACTGCAGCACCTCAGTATCGTTCAGGCCCCGAGGTGTAAAGGCTATTGGACCCTGTCTTTGTTGCGGTTGATTCTCTATCAGACAGGAGTGTAGGGCGGCGAGCACTATCAACAACATACAACGCCTACAGGCGCCGAGGAAAAAAATGGACGGCAGCTCGACCGACGCGGGTGGCTTGTACCCAGGCCAGTCGCCTCCTTTCACCCACATCTCGCCAACGAACCAGAGCGGCGTCGTACTCATTGCCACTGCTCTGGCCTTGGTGTTTGCCATCGTCTCCCTGCTTATCCGCTTGTTCATACGTTACCAGTTCAGGGCAGACTTTGCCAAGGATGATGTCTTGTCCTTCCTGTCGATGGTCAGCAATACCAAGCCCGCCTCCACAAAGGGCCTCGCGTCCCGTCTCCCGCCATACTAAAACAAGTAGCAGGTCTTCGCTCTGGCCCAAGCCGGGTTGGTGTTTGGACAAGTATCGAGGGGGTTTGGGAAGACGGCACTGGAACTGTCCGCGTACGATAATGCGCAATGGCAGAAGGTTTGCACTGTTATTTCAAGTCCTTCTCTGGTTTCCGCACTGCTGACCGTCAGCAGTATGCCTATGTTAGCGACTTTTTCTACATCATCACTATGTGTGTCACCAAATGTGCTGGTGCTTGCCTGTTTCTGCGCTTGTCTCCAGACCGAACTCACGTCAGATCTTCCCAAGCGGTTCTCATCACCTCGTCACTGTTTGCTATTACATCCATATTCATGTTGGCACTACGGTGCAACATGCAACATCCATGGTTGTACGCTGGCGAGCGTTGCGAAGGCTTGGTAAGTATCTCGTTCTGTGTGTAGTGTGCACTCGTGCTAATACATCACATAGTATACGAGATGGCAAGCCATCACTGCATTCGATGTTCTCACCGAGCTTGGCCTCTTCGCCATTGCCCTGCACATGGCCCATGGTCTTTTTGTCTCGCCGGGCAAAAAGGCCGTTGTATTGCTTGCATTTGCTCTCCGCCTTGGGTAAGTGACACCAGCATGGTTAACACTGCAATCTATGCTGATACTCACGCCTGGCTTCTCAGAGTTGTCGCACCATCCATCATGCGCCTGAATTATTTGAGTTCAGCTCTCGCCAGCCCGGATCCGTCACTCGACGGTGTACTGGCAGTTGTCTGTACCCAAATCGAAATATGCTATGCCATCATCGCCACAACCACACCTTGTCTGCGTCCCTTCATGTCTGCTCTCAATACAGGATATGGGGGTCCGGGCCCAATACCGACGCCAAAGGGATCCAGAGCGTCGAGCTCGGGACATGACCGCAGCTTCACTGCAAGGTCGGGCCAGAGCGCCAAGCAGAAGAAGCAGCAGCGGTTCTCTGGGTTGGGGACTTTTGAGCTCGAGGAGAAGGCGCAGCGTCCCCTCCCGGAGCTAAGGTGGGATAAGACGCAGTATAACGTCGCTATCGAGACGGGCGAGCGGCCCAGGACTGGACAGGAGATAGAACCGATGCCGGATCGTGATCAAAACAGCCTTCAAAGCCAAGACAGTAAGAGGATGATAATTGCAAAGAATACTGAATGGGCTATAGACTACGAGGATCAGTTTAGACAGAGCTAGTGTTCTTAATGAATTTAAGTTTATTATATGTTGGAACTCCGGCAATAAGTGTGATCGCACTACGGCTGTCGTCAGGTGCGGATCGGAGCAGGCAATGTGCGGAGTGCAGATCATCGGCCCGAGGCCGTAGGCCCCTGTGCTTGGCGGGCTCTAGGCAACTAAGATTCGACGCCATTTTGGACCATCTGCCACCTAGACCACAAAACCACCAGACTGAGTGGCAGAACGGCAAGGAGAATCATCAAAATCCCCCCTCCCCTTGAGTTTTAGCTAAATACCATCATGTATAACTCGCTTACATCTACCTCGAAGCTACGCAGTCTCTTCTTGCTCATCACACTCCTCGCCGGTGCATCATTCATCTCACAAGCCCACGGGCACAAGACCTCTTCATCCAGGTCCTCATTCAACGGAACGTCCGGACCCTTCATTGGATTCCATCTAGGCCAGTCATACGGGTATGTATTCCCTCCTCCGCCCATATCGATGTGCCCTCTAACATCGCCTCAGCACCTCTGTTGCCCGCTTCGAAAATGGCACAACCGTAACCATTACCAGTATCTGTGGGAGTGAAATATACACACGCCTTTTGGAGAGGCTGATTGAGGCGCCTCTAACTCCTCACTGGCTTTCCTTCGTGGGATTGGTCGGCCATTGGCTAGCCGTGCTTCGCACACTTATTCGAGGCCTAGGTCTCGTCCCCTCTAACAACAATCGCATCCTGGCCGAAATGATTCAGGCGCTCAAGGCCGCCTCAGAGGAGTCTCTCGGTGTCTCGATCGAGTCGGTCGGAGTGACTATTCCCTGGGTGGCAGCTTGGGACAACCAGGTGGCGTCTGACAGTGTGGTAAACGACGCCCTCCGGCTCGCAGGACTCAGCCCCCAAGATCATTGGAGTAACGAACAAATCTATCTCAGCGAGGTCAATACTGCATTCGCAAGCGAGGGTCAATGGTTATGCAAAAAGCACTTTTGTGCGGGTCATTGGATGGAGGTCGAAGGGGAGGCGGCCTATGGCGGTCCTGTGTTGTACATTAGGTGAGTTGGAAGCATCCGACCAAACGGATGGAGGAAGCACTAAGGCTGAATGCTAATGCTTTTGGCCCGCCCCTTTTGAAAAGCTTCACCAACCACTCACTGTACACGGCTTTTCAAACCAGCAAATGCTACTTTGCCAACTCATGGGAGAATCATCTCTCATCAATAGACCCTCGCTATGGTCTCGCCCAGAAAGACCGGGAAACATCGCCAGCCCAGTTCTGGAGTACTCTAAAGGATCATCTCGTCTCTCTTGTCAGGCAGCACGCAACCAAATCTGCCAAGTATGACTTCAACTACCTCTTTGAAACATTTCCTCGGTTGTGGGGCGACATCAAAGCGCGGCTCGTCTCCCCTGTCAAACGATACCCAGCGCAACCCCCCGAGTGTCATCTTGAGAAGCCATTCACAGTTCTAGTGGCCGGAGAGGCGGCCGACACACCCGAATTTCTCGATGTGATACATGAAGCTGTGCGAGACATGACAAGCATCTGTAAGAGAGAGACTGATCCCGTCCCTGTTGAGGAGGGGGAAGACAATATGGTTAAAGAAGATATCAGGCTTGTAGTTCTGGGTGATCAAATATATGGGCCTGCAGAGGGGGCCGCTTTTTGGGCGTGGTCGAGGAAGAGCGTGACATACTGTGGCGATTACTATGCTGAAGCGGGTATGCATGATCAGTACGAGACGCTACATGATGGCCATACAGAGCTGTAACATTCCTGGCTGTCTGTGTGCCGTCTGCCGGACCTAGATTTAAGGGAATCTATCAGATTAGCAGTGAATTAAAACAAGCCAGACTTATCTTTACTCCGCCTGCTCTAGATGCATGCCTGGTTTAACAAGCTTATCAGCCTCTCTATATTATGTCCAGGCTTAGAGACTTCTTAAACACTTGATCAATCTTACTATTAGTTAGCTAGATGACTAGTATAGATTAAGAGGTGTCCTAATATCTAGATAAATAGAGAGAGGGGAGGATGTTCTTATAGTTAATATTAATTTTAATTATAAAATAAACAAAATAGATAGATAGATAGATAGATAAAAGAGATATTAATATTAATTTTAATTATAAAAGAGAGATATATATTAATATATATCTCTCTTAGAGGGTTTATAACTATAGTATGATTCTATAGTATTAGATTGATTAATTAATTAGAACCTTATATATAAGTTATTTAAGTAGCTTCTATTAACTTTATTTAATTTATAATCTTATTAAAATAACTATTAATATAGTAAAACTACTATATAGTATAGCACTAGTTCTATTCCTTCTTTCTTCTCTAAAGATACTTAACTATCTTTCTTAGATATTCTAGTTATAATTAATATTTCTTAATATTAAAGAGATAGTTAAGATTTAAGTTATTAGATTATATCTTTTTAAGAATTATTAGACTCTTAAGTAGCTCTATAATATTAATAGTCTTTAATAGACTATATCTAAAGTCTAGAAGGTTATAGTTATTAATATTATTAATTTCTTTAGTAGTCTTATATAGTTTATCTAGATTAGGCTTAGAAAAGATAAATTCTTTAACTTTATTAAAGAGCTATTTATTCTTTTTATTAGATATTATAAAGATAAGAAAGATTAATATCTCTTTAATCTTAGATATATAGATTGATTTTATATAAGTATATATATATATATAGATATTAGATCATTTAATAGAGAAGAAGCTTAGAAGTCTTAATAGAGAATATACTTAAGAGTTTTAATATAGATAAGTATAAGAGATAGACTTAAAAGAGTTAGTAATAGAAGAATAAACTATTTTATATATATTTAAGATAGTCTTTTAATAATAGTCTTAAAGTATAATATTATAACTTATAGAATAGATTACTTATTATTAAGAGATTATTTATTATAATAATTTAATTATATCTATTATTATTAAATAACTTATATATTTAAACTTATAAACTTATATATATAGATATCTAAATAAGTTAACTTATTAACTAGTTATAGGCTAAATTATAGTTAAGAGGTTAAAAAGTTTAGAACTAATTCTAGATCTTAATTATAATTAAGAGATTTAAAAGTCTAGGATTAATTCTAGGTCTTAAATCTATATTAAAGATAGTTATTAAACTTAAAGATCTTTATAATTAATAAATTATATTTAATTAATCTATAATAATAATTATATTTTTATTATTAAGTATTATTATAATATCTTTAGAATATAGATATTATATTTATTATATCTCTTTTAATTATATTATATTAATAATATAACTTAACTTATATTTAATAGATATACTAAAAATAAATAAAATAGATAAATAGATAGATAGATATTAATATATATTAATAGTCTATTTATCTATCTATAAGTTATTTTTTAGTCTATCTATTAAATAAAAGCTAAGTTATCTATCTATTTTATTTATTTTTAATATATCTATTAGATATAAGTTAAGTTATATTATTAATATAATATAATTAAAAGAGATATAATAAATATAATATCTATATTCTAAAGATATTATAATAATATCTAATAATAAGAATATAATTATTATTATAGATTAATTAAGTATAATTCTCTAATTATAAAGATCCTTAAGTCTAATAACTATTAACTATCTTTAATATAGATTTAAAACCTAGAATTAGTTTTAGACTTTTAAACCTCTTAATTATAATTAAGGTCTAAAATTAGTTCTAGACTTTTTAATCTCTTAATTATAATTTAGTCTATAGCTAGCTAATAAGTTAATTTATCTAGATATCTATATATATAAGTTTAGAAGTTTAGATATATAAGTTATCTACTTAATAATAGATATAACTGAATTATTATAATAAATAGTCTCTTAATAATAAGTAATCTACTCTATAAGCCTTAATATAATAATAATATACTTTAAGACTATTACTAAGAGGTTATCTTAAATATATATAAAATAATCTATTCTTTTACTTTCTTAAGTCTATCTCTTATACTTATCTATATTAAGACTCTTAATTATATTTTCTATTAAATAATCTAATATATATATCTATATCTATATATACTTATATAATATTAATATATATATCTAAGACTATTAAAGAGATATTATTCTTTCTTATTTCTATAATATCTAATAAGAAGAATAGATAACTCTTTAGTAAAGTTAAGAAGTTTATCTTCTTTAAGCCTAATCTAGATAAAGTATATAAAATTATTAAGATAATTAATTATATTAATAACTATAGTCTTTTAAGATTTAAATACAGCTTATTAAAGACTATTAATATTATAGAGTTATTTAAGAATATAATTATTCTTATAGATATAGAATTTAATAATCTAAATCTTAATTAACTCTTTAATATTAAGAAATACTAACTATAGTTAGATTATCTAAGAAAGATAATTAAGTATCTTTAGAGAAGAAAGAAGAAATAGAATTGATGCTATACTATATATATATATAGTTTTACTATATTAATAGTTATTCTAGTAGGGTTATAAATTAAATAAAGTTAATAGAAGCTACTTAAATAACTTATATATAAGGTTTTAATTAATTGATTAATCTAATATTATAGATTTATACTATAGTTATAAACCCTTTAAGAGAGAAAAGCTAAGTTATATTTATTTATTTTATTTATTTTTAATCTATCTATTAGATATAAGCTAAGTTATATTATTAATATAATATAGTTAAAAGAGATATAATAAATATAATATTTATATTCTAAAGATATTATAATAATATTTAATAATAAGAATATAATTATTATTATAGATTAATTAAGTATTATTAATATCTATAGTCTTCTAGTCTTTAAATATAGGTTTCTATAGATTATTAATATAATAAAGCTACTTAAAAGCCTATATATTTTTAGTAAAAAGATATTTAATAATCTAAATCTTAACTAGCTCTTCTATATTAATAAATACTAACTATAATTAGAGTATTTAAGAAAGATAGTTAAGTATCTTTAGAAAAGAAAGAAGAAATAAAACTAATAGTAGTTTTATTATATTAATAATTATTCTAATAAGATTATAAATTAAATAAAGTTAATAGAAGCTATTTAAATAATTTATATATAAGATTCTAATTAATTACTTAATCTAATACTATAGAATTATATTATAGTTATAAATCCTTTAAGAGAGAAAGCTAAGTTATATTATTAATATAACCTCTTAAAAGATTTATAATAATAATATCTATCTATTTTATTTATTTTTAATATATCTATTAAATATAAGTTAAGTTATACTATTAATATAATATAATTAAAAAAGATATAATAAATTTTAATATTTATATTCTAAAGATATTATAATAGTTTCTAATAATAAGAATATAATTATTATTATAGATTAATTAAATATAGTTCTCTAGTTATAAAGACTCTTAAGTTTAATAATTATCTTTAATATAGATTTAAGATCTAGAATTAGTTCTAGACTTTTAAATCTCTTAATTATAATTTAAGATCTAGAATTAGATCTAGACTTTTTAGTCTTTTAATTATAGTTTAGCTTATAGCTAATTAATAAGTTAACTTATTTAAATATCTATATATATAAGTTTATAAGTCTAGATATATAAGTTATTTATTTAATAATAGATATAATTAAATTATTATAATAAATAGTTTTTTAATAATAAGTAATCTATTTTATAAGCTTTAATATAATAATAATATACTTTAAGATTATTATTAAGAGTTTATCTTAAATATATATAAAATAATATATTCTTTTATTATTAGCTCTCTTAAGTCTATCTCTTATACTTATCTATATTAAGATTCTTAAGTATATTCTCTATTAAGACTTCTAAGCCTCTTCTCTATTAAATAATCTAATATAAAATTAATCTATATATCTAAGACTATTAAAGAGATATTAATCTTTCTTATATTTATAATATCTAATAAGAAGAATAGATAGCTTTTTAATAAAGTAAAAGAGTTTATCTTTTCTAAGTCTAATCTAGATAAACTATATAAGACTACTAGAGAAATTAATAATATTAATAACTATAATTATTTAGGCTTTAGATATAGTTTATTAAAGACTATTAATATTATAAAGCTACTTAAGAGTCTAATTATCTTTAAAGAGATATAATCTAATAATCTAAATCTTAATTATCTCTTTAATATTAAGAAATACTAGCTATAATTAGAATATCTAAGAAAGATAGTTAAATATCTTTAGAGAAGAAAGGAGGAATAGAACTAGTATATATATAGTTTTATTATATTAATAGTTATTCTAATAGGGTTATAAATTAAATAAAGTTGATAAAAGCTACTTAAATGACTTATATATAAGATTCTAATTAATTAATCAATTTAATACTATAGAATTATACTATAGTTATAAACTCTTTAAGAGGGAATAGATTAGATATAAGATTAAGAGATATTATAGCTATATTATTAACTAATAATAAACTTAAGATATTATTAAGAGATAGTTATTATAAGAGGTTTTAAATCTATTATATAATTACTATACTATTAGATAGCTCTCTTTTAATAAGAAGAGAGATTATAAGAATAGGATTCTTATCTCTTATAGGTAATACTTAGTATTATTAAGATATAGTATAACTATTATAGATTTATAGAGACTATTACTAATCTTATTAGTCTATCTCTTTAATAAAGGGTTATATAGAGAGTTTAAAATATTAGAAGTATTAGTAAGATAGATAGAATAATAAGTATTAAT